AGAACGGATCTCAGAGCGGAAGAGGAAGGGGGCGGCCGATCGTCGTGATATTTCGACTGGATTGACCCGGCGACCCCGACACGTCGGAATAGAATCGAAGCCTCTCTCGCCGGATACTTTCTCCCGGCGAGTGTTCCGGCGAGAAACGTTATTAATCTCTTCATCGACTGAACGCGCGCGCGCGGGAGGGGCCGGCTTGAGCGGGAAAAGGCGAAAAAGGCGGCCCATTGTTATCGGGATTTTAGCGGTGCGCAGGTGCACCGGCTTGACCTTTCCGAGGCCCGACGTATCGGTTCGCACGGCATGTCGCTGACTTCGGCTCGCGCGAATCGACGAGGCGAGGGATGGCCGATTCCAAGTCCACACTCGGAGTATGGATTCCGTAATTGACATGCGTGTAAATGATCACGCGTATCTTGACGGTCGTTTAAACTGAAGCTTTTCAATTAACCCCTTCAATTAACTCCCAAGCGCTCCGTTGTTTATAACTGGTTCATCTATATCGAGAGACAAAAATGGCTAATCTTATTAAAATCATAGCTATTCTCGGCTATATTTTCTTGTTGTTCTAATAATAACATTATTACTTACTTATGTGTGATTGTTATTATTACTGAATAACATGTTACCATTCATGTTCGGGACATATGAACTTTTTTGTTTGAAATAAAGTAAAAACATCGCTCGATTTCCATTTCGCTTCGGAAGACTGCGAAACGTCTCGCGGGACCGTCGTCGTCGCCGCTCTTCCTCGTCGGTGGGAGCGAGGAAACCGAAAATGCCGGCGGAATTGCGTCCCATCCATCCATGCCAGAAAAACTCGCAGGACGACAGTAGAACCGGCATTAAATACCGTTGCGTAATCCCATTCGTTATGTACCGACGTGAAATAACTTTCACTGCAAACAAATCGGCAACGTATTATCCCGTGGGTCCGTCTTTGGCAGGGGACGGTCCGAGGGTTAGCAGGCTGATATTTACGCCGCCGCCGCGAATCGAGTCCTCAGATCGAGTCACGCTGGATAATGAAGTCCGCGCGGTAATGACGAGGAAGACGAACACTCGTTATTCGCTTCTGCCGTGACCCCGCGAACTCGATTCGAGACGAGCTGTGCCGGTTTCACGTCACACAACTAGGAGAACCTTCGTGCTTCGCCGAGTGGCAAAGCGCGACAGATCCTCGATTTTCGCCATTTTCCGTCCGACACATTTTTCCAAGGGTTTAATTAATCGGGCCGTTCGAGAAGCTCGGATTTTTCGACGAAGGATTCAAGGCCGATATTATTATATTTGTTGAACGTAGCTCTATTCAGTAATGTGTCAGGCAGTTTTTTTCGTTGGCAGAAGTTTCATTGGAAGAAATGAAAAGTTCCAGCTGTGTTTGACTGATGAGAGTATCGGTTTTGAGTTTTTCGCAGAAGTCACATTTTTCCAAGGGTTAATAGAACATCCTCTCCTTCGACCAAAACGCGTTTCGATTCGTTCGTCGTCACGATGGAGATTCAAATGATCAATCAATCTTTTTTTCTCCGTGTTCGTTTCGCATTCCCGTCGCTGATATATACGCTGACATAGTTTTTTCAAGGATTAACAGAACACAAGGATTGACTAAACCTTGTCTACATGTCGCGTCGCACGGATGGTTTACCGTCGGCTGTGTCATTACGTCGGCGTAACGGTGAGCCAGCGCGAAAGGGTAGAATTTGATTTGTGGCTCGTCGATCGTTACGGCTGTCCGCGATATACACGGCACGATAATGCCGTGATTACACGAGTAATGAGGGTACTAGGTCGGTTCCCGACGGTTTTTTCGGAAGTCGGCTTGCAGCGAAAGTCCGCGGTATCGCACTCGGATTCCTCGGGAGCGATAGTAGCTCCGTCCGGGGGAGGAGAAGGGAGAAGCGCGCGCATGAATAATTAGGTATTTGAGGGCCATAACCGGTCATTTCAGTCGGCAAGTCGACTCGATCGAAAAGACACACGGGGAAAACAAGTTTTGCTGTTCCAGCAAATGCTTGTCGATATTGTAACGGCACCAAAAATTGTTTAGACAGCACAAAATTTGGACAGCAGAAAGATTTGTTAAAAGTATCAATTGTTATTCGCTGGATGTATGGACAATTAATACTTTTAACAAATCTTTCTGCTGTCCAAACCAATTTTTCTCGGCGTCACTATATTGACAAACGTTCGCTGTTCCAGCGAAAAATTGGTTTCTTTTTCCGTACGCATTCTCTCTCTCTCTCTCTCGTGTATCGCGAGAGCGTGCATTTGCCGAGCGTCGCATTCCGCCATTACACTCCACAAGTGGATCAAGGTCCCCCGGTGGAACTATCAACGTAACGTAACTAACGACAACATTAATACGCAACGGCGGCGCGTCTTAATCGCCATCATCCACGATCGAGGTAGAACCGCGCACTCTAATTAATTAATATTACATGCCTGAAAACGAATGGGAAAGGAGAGGATGACAACTGGAATCTCGGTTGCGGGATGCGCGCGCGTCATCCTCGATCATCATCATCCTTCGAGCCACTTCCGTCGGGGGTCTCGGTTGTCGACGTTTCCTCTCTCCTCCCGCGATAAGGGATCCCGATTATCGCGGAAACGTGAAATTCTCGGCACGTGAACAGATTTTTTTTTGTTTTCGAGCCGCTCACTCGTTCGCTCATGTCAGATCACCCTTCCCTCTGTCAACCTACAGCCCCCATTTCTCTCCGTGGGAAGGCTGCGCGACGATAGACTCGGAAGTGGGACACCTTCTCTTATGAGCGTTAGAGCATCCCGCGAAGACGGAGACGAGAGCCCCACGTAGAGAAGAGACAGAAGGGAAAGGAAGAGAAGCCCGGAGTGAGAGTACCTGTGCTCGCGCGTGCTAACGCGCTAAGAGGCGCATCTCACCCTCACATCGAGAGAAGGGGAGGGATTTTTACCCATCCGGTCAAGCGAATATGCATCGATACTCCTCTGCTTTCGTTCGCTGACCAGTACCGATTACAGCAAGTCGATGGTTGCGACGAACATAATTATTTTTGGGAACAATGATATTCTTTTTTTTTTTTATTTTAACCACGAAAATAGCAATGGGGAACATGCACGTAAAGTTATCGTCATTAATACTATGGTAACATTTACCAGAAAAATAGTTCTCTCGACTATTTTTATGGTTAAAATGGAAAGAAAGGATACTATTGTCCCCGAAAATAACTATATTTTTCTCTCAGTGCATGCCCGACCGAACACAAGTGTCATTTTGTGAAAACATGTCCTTTTAATTTGCCAAAAGTCTTGCAGGAGTTTCGACCTTGCGTTTTCTCGTTCCGACGCCATCCACGTGCAGAAATCTCGGACCCCTTGTTTCTCGCCCGGTAATCCTTCTGGGAAGACCGGACGACTAATAAATCCCAGCCGATCGTCGATCGTCGTCACCCTTGTGATACGATCACTTTTCGCGCGGTTTCCGGAATCTTCGGGGAACGAACCTCGTTCGCGATCGTTTCGGCACCGATGCTCCTTCTGCCGGAGGCCAGTAAGCCTGAAATTACGCCGCTCAGGGGTTATCGCACAGACCGTCCGAAATTCGGGACCGCTCCTGGAAAGTGACTCCGGTACAGCTAGGTGGGACACCCGGTGCCGGCGACGGTGCCGGGGAGAGACGGAGATCAAGAGGAACGTTGCAGAGCAGCAGGGGCCCCGGAGAGAGAGAACGACGGGGATGGGGGGAGACGCGCGAAGAGAAGGAGGGAGTTGGATTACCGCTCGCGCGACGGGCGCACGACGACGACGACGACGTTTGGGTCGGCTACCTAGCGATCCGCAGAAGACCGGCCGCCTCCGAAGGAACCGGTTGTGGTCGATAAACCCGTCCTGACTCCTGGCCGAGAGAACGCAGCGATCTCTGCTAATCGCCGGCGCGACATTTAAAGCTTCTCCGGTGCTGGTGGTGGTGGTGGTGCTCGAAGAGGTCGACGAGGAGGAGGACGACGACGACGACCCATCCACACACCATGAGCGGGCGGAGCGTGGACGTTGTCTGGGACCCGCAGACACAGATGAACTCTCTGGACGGCTGGGATTATTCCATCGAGCTCGCGTGTCTTCAAGGTCCCGAAGGTACGGGAGGAAGGCGGATCTGTAGCGACTCCGGGATAATTAACGACCGTGACAACCAAGTGGCCACGGATCGGTGGATAGTGCGATCATCCGAACATTGCACGGACGCAGTGAAATTGTCCCATTGCGAGCGAGAAGGGCGCATCTCCTCGGCACAGCTCCGAGTCGTGGAGAACGCAATTGTCGTCGTCGCTCGGACGAGAATGAATCGTGCGGTGATGATGTGTCCCGAATGGTGGAACTCGGATGAGCCAAAGTGATAATATCAGGAGGGGCAAGAGGAGAGGACGTAATCGGCGATCGCTAACTAAGAGAGCACCTTTCGCACTTCCCTCTCGATAAAAAAAAAAACGAAAAAAAACTCTATGTTTACCGACTTCTGCGCGCGCGAGTTCTCCTCGATCTTGAATCCACTACCGCCTCGACGCGGCGACGCTTCCCCGCGTCGCGTCCGTCGCTGCGCGCGAGTTAACGCATCCTTGAACATGGATCCCCGCGAGCTTCTCTTCTTCTCTCGGTTCGCCGTGAAACCGAGCAAACGGTAGCTCCCGGTCGTTTGCCACACCACCAAGGTCCTTGGCCCTAGCCGGTGTCAGAAGGGAGTGCCGCGCTGCGAACCGGAGCGTCGTCCCAATGCCTCGGAAAGCAACGACCTGTAGCGCGCGTATAGTCTCCGCGCACTTCTTCCCTCTTTCCCCTCGCCTCCTTCGCGTTCGTTTGTCCGTCTCTCGCGACGCACCGGTTCGATTCAACGCGAGATTTCGATAGATTGAAGTAAGAGTGATAATCGGTACGAGAGAATACGCTTCGTATGATTTGTACGAAGATAGGGGGAAGAAAAAAAATGCCCGTGTAACAAATATGGCTCTCTGCGTTCTGTGCAGATCTGCAATTGGCGGCGGAACTCGGCAAGACTCTGTTGGAACGGAACAAGGAGCTGGAGAACATCATCAAGCTGCACCAATCCACCGTGGAGGAACAGGCGCAGGAAATCGAGGTTACTATGTTACATATCTTGTGATACCTTTTGGATTTGCATGAAAATTTTGGATTTTTCGGCTGAGGAGCGAGACTTTTTCCCTTTTCCGTGCATGCGTTTTTTTTTTCTTTACTTCGCGTAAACAATGCACGCGAGAAACGGTGAAAGATTATCTAAAACGGAGTGTTTTCACGTTTTTTCATTGATTCAAGATTATTAACGAGATAAAGATACAAGCGTCTCGTCGCTCACCGGAAAATCCGAAATCACTTGTTTCACACACGACCCACACGGGGAGAACAAGTTTCGTTGGAACAGCAAATCGTTTGTTAAAATGGTGACAGTAGAGAAATGTGTTACACGGATAAAATAATTTTGCTATCGCAAAGCAAAACGTCGTTGCGACAGCGATAAGATTTAATTGGCGTAATCAGATTATTTTGCTGTCCATATATCTGGCAAATAGCAATTAATGCTTTTAACACATCTTCCCGCTAACCAAACAAACTTATTTTGCCGTCACTATATTAACAAACAATTTGCTGTTCTAACAAGATCTTCCTCTCCCGTGCAGTGTCTTTGTATCTTGCAATAATCCGATGAAATTCTCGCGAATCATCGACGCGGGACAGCTTGAATATTGATAATTATCCTGGTAGTAGTAGTAATCGCTCGATTGGCGTTATCCCGATAATTTCATTATCATCGCGCGGAGAAAAATATCGCCTGTAAATTAACGTGATGATGAACAAACCGAATGTTTGCCTTGAAGACGATGGGATTTCTTGCGAACGAAATTCGTTCGTAAGAACCAGAAACCCCTTCAACCAAAACACGTTCAGCGTTTGTTCATTGTCGCATGTTAATTCTACCGATCCTTCTTTTCTGTCTAGTTTCTACACACAAAAAATATCACTTTGAGACTCACATTCTCATGTATATGAGCAAAAATATATAATATAGTTGAAGATAAAATCTTGCTCTTACATAAATAAAATCCCATGTAGTACCGGCAGAAAATATATATTCATGTTATTCAAGAATAATTTTTGTGAATTGAGAGGAAGAAATATTAAATGGAAAAGAGAAAAGGATATTCAAACTGACTGACAATTCTTAGGCCCGTTTCATAAAAGTTATCCTTGAATAACAAAAATATGACATTTCAAATGGAACCATAACCGATTTATTCATGTGCGAGCAAGTTTTATTTTCATATCAGATTTATATATTCTTGCTTATACATGAGAAAATACAAGTGTTGAATTTGGATATTTTTAATCTCTTTCCCGTACGCGATATCTTTACGTAACGCGCGACATTGAATAAACGATGGCCAACGTGTTGTTGCATTGTAAAGAAATTAGCATCGCAATAATCGCGACGCGATGAAGTACACTCAAAGCTCACTGCTCGTAATCCGCGCGGTCCGACGAATAAGCGCACGTGTCGTTCATTCCGCAGTACATGAAAAAGCAGACCGCCGCGCTGAGGGAGGTGAACAACTCACGGCTGAAGATCTACGAGCAGCTGGAGGTCAGCGTGCAAGATCTGGAACGCGCGAATCATCGCCTGGTGATCGAGAACACGAGCGACAAGAAACTGATCAAAAGGTAAACGCGGCGCCACGTTCCTCCTCCCCTCGTCTCTCGCGGAGACGTTCCGGGGAACGTCCGCTCTTTCGGCGCGATGCTTTCGTATTCGTGCATTCGTTCGTGGGAGGAAACGACGGAAACACCCGTTCGAGATATATCGGCTCGATGCGGAAAAGTTCGTCCCGTTTTTTCACTCTCCAAATAAGTACGTAGAAACCAATGGTGGATATTCTTTCTGTATCCAATCTTTTTCTTTGTCAATTATTCTCGAACAACATATAATAACATACAGAATTATATAGAATTTCTTCGTATATGAGAGCAAGTTTTATCTTCATTCAAGATTATATATTCTCATTCACACGTGAGAAGAACACAAATTGATACTAATCTTTTTCGACCCCGCGCGGCCGTGGAGATTCTCGGATTTCCCAGCGGAGAACCGATTACTATAAAACGGGACGAACTCTGAAATCGCCCGCTGCAAGACCCGATGTTCCATCACGTACGTTTCGCGGGAAACGTTTGCAGAACGTTAGAGCACCGAGAGAGTTCAGTTATTACATCTCTCATTAGCTTCGTGTCGGCCGTGTGAACCGTTTCGTTCTGCGCGCGAGCTCACCTTTCTAAATTCATAATTCATTATCGCCCCGGCACAATTAGAGTTTATGGAAAGTAGTTATTCGGTATTATTCTCCCCTCCCTCCTCCCCCGCCGTATGTAACACCTGGACCTAATCTGCTGATGCGATCGGCCGCGATAACAAGCCTATCTCGTTATTGTTAACCGTACCGTTGCCGACGGATCGACGTACTTGATGCGTTGCGCCGCGATCTGTGTGTTTCGCAATAATTGCACTAATAATCCCGCAACGATCTTTGCCCGCCCTCCCGCCCCCCCGACGCGTCCCGACGCAGCCAATGCATGACCATCGAAAGTTTGGAAGTGAAGTGCGAGGAGCTGCAGAAGAAGATCGACGAGTTGACGCAGCAACGCGAGGCTCTCCTGCGACAGCAGCAGCAAGCCGCCAGTCCGTCCCGGAACAACGCGCAACAGCAGGACAGCGGTTGGAAGGCCTCGGTTACGCAAGGTGGCAGCGTACAGCAGGTGAACACGCTGATAATTTTATCACGATGTGACGCGCATGCCTCGTTCATCCGATTCTTGCGACACGGTCGACGTGTCCTCCTTCAGGCCGCCGTCATTGAGGGAGAAAACGATGGCCAATTTCGCGAAAATTATACGCTCATTTTTCTTACCAACTGCGCCTCTTTGTTGTCCCAGCGGAAGAGTAGTAGCTTTACGTGTAGGGTATTATGTAAGATTATCATCGCTTACGCTCATATACGGTGACATTTACCGCGAAAATGGTGATCTTGTTAGAATTATAATCATTTCCGGCGCCAACTGCATCTTCTTGTCGTTCTAACGAAACAGTAGATATATATATATATAATAATTATTATTATTATCAGCACAAATAGTTTATTATGGAAATGATTACCCCCGATTATAATTTGTCCACTGTGAACAATCATGGTCGTAAATACCAAACTACTTTTCGCTCAGTGTGCACTTCATGACCCAGAGAATTAACTCGACCGCGCGCGCTTTCTCCTTTCTTCATCAGAGAGCTGCCCCAGGTTCGCCGAAGTCCTTCCAGGAGACAACAACGGATACTAGCGTCCGGCAGGCCACGACAATGAGCAGCGTGGCGAGCGACGAGGAAATGAACGAACTGCTGAGGCAACTGCAGGACGCTCGTAGTCAGAGGGTCAGGGAGCAGATGAAGGTGTCTGAACTCAGTCAGCAGCTGACGAGCCTGTTGCAGGAGAACAGCGCGCTGGAAGAACAGTTAACGGTGTGGCGTAACAAAGCGCAAGACGTGAAGAATCTCCAGGACGAGATCAGTACTCTGGAGGAGGTCAGGTACGTGTAAGAAGTTCGCCTTCCTCTTACTCCTCTGTGTATTTTTTTTCTTCCTCTCTCTCTCTATTTCTCTTTTCGAACGTAGATAACTCGTTTTATACGCGTCGATCGAAAAATTCCACAGTCAACTCCGCGGAAGCAGATTTTGCGCAGTGTCTGCTGTAAATTTCGCCGGCGGCAAAAATACAATATGGATTCGCCGACAGAGTAGGACGGCGGATTGACGGCTCGGGAATCGTAGTAGAATCTTCGTCAATCTTCCACGATGATTTAAATATATTTAAATAGATAGAAAACGCGCGCTCGGAGATCCATTCGCATTCGCGTCGGCGTACGGAAATGGACATCGGTGGTGAAACTGCGCTCCGTAATTCCGTTCCGATTTCCGTAAGGCGCGAAATTCGCCGTCGATCGTCGTCGTCGATTCGCGTGTCGATCGAATCCCGACGACCGAGTGACGAGGAATGAAATCTCTTTTCGCAGACGAGGTCAGTTGTGCGGGCGTTGCCTGCGCGGCATGGACACGAGGACGCACGATGAGCTCTCGATCATGCTGGACCAGGAGGAGTACGACGACATCAGCATGGCCGAGTCGCTGATCGGCGAGAACAATCAGCGGGACTCCGAGCCGATAATAGCGCAGCAGCAGGTATTCCCCTCCCTCCCTCCCTCCTTTCTTCCGATGAACGCGCGCAATGTTCGGTCCGGTGCGCATTCTTTTGCAAGCCGCTGGTCAAGTTTTAGTCAAATTGCGCCGTCTAGTCGACTAGTTTACGTCTGTGTCTGCACGAATCGAGTCTTGCTGTTTCCTTTTTTTTCTTTCGTTCTGCTCGAGTTGCTTTTGCAACGTGGTCGCTTCTCTCTCTTTCTCTCTCTCTCTCTCTCTCTCGGAGATCAATCGTGCCTCGCGAGAGGAACGACGAATCCCCGAACGCGCGCACGAGCCGGCTCGCATACATACACATACACACACACACACACACTGTGTAATCACTCTTTTATCTGCCTTAGGAAACGACAAAGTTTGCAAAAGCTTCCAAGCCAAAGACCGAACGTAAACGGTGTAGTTCGCTGTTGCGGAGGATATTCACTTGTATGTGGAAAGTGCCGTTGTTGTTGTCGTTTTATTTTCTCGGCGCAGTCGGCCGGAGAATCCGTTGCGCCCTCCCGATAGCGCTCGCTCCCTTATACCGAATACCGTTGCTCAACTTCCGGAAAGTCTTGCTGCCTGTGCTGCGTCAGAAGCTAAAGATGCTTTAGTCCCTCCCGGAGGCGGCTCTCTGCATGCTTCGCGCGCGGCGTGTCGCGATCGTCTTCGCTTTAATCCAGCATGCTGTACGTGACGAGATGCGCAGATTTTTATTAACCAGGGGTGGCGATGTGGTTCTCTCTTCACGGGGGGGTTGGGGGGGGTACGCAGAAAAATATGTTGTTGAGGATTATTAATCTTTGTTACACGGATCTTGGTTCTTCTTCTTTTTTTTCTGTCGTTTGCCTATTAGTATATATATATATATATGTGTGTGTGTGTATATATATATATATATATATATATATATATATATATANTACATATACGTAGTTGATACGAGTAGTGTTATTGTTTTTCTCTTTTAATCCGATGATATTGATTCGTTTTATCTATATGATTTATCGTCATTTTTATTCACGCGCGTAAAAATTAACGACCGATCATGGAACTACGACATTGTGTACATATCGCGAGTAAAGAAACGGATTTAGAAAAATTAGTGGTGTTGGAGCGAGTTGCTCGAATCTCGCGGCTCCGCGCGCGCTTATCTCATATTATAGCGGGGCGCATTGTCGTGGCAAATTTAATCGATGGATGCATCCAAAGAATACTGCGCCGATGAGTCGAGAGCACGATGTTACGGTAGATGTAAATACTTGTGTGCTTCTATAAATCGCCGCTGTTCCGTACATTATTATTATTTACATAGTCGTCGTCGTCGCTCGAATTGAGCGTTCATTTAAGCATGAAAGCTGAGAGCCCTTGTGATTTCGCAAATTACTCTGTGTCTAGTCGAATTATTCTCTCTTTGTCCGAATTTACTTTGTACCAATGTAAGTGCCAGATTTATAAGATCCCAAATAAAACACGTTTTCTCACGGAAATCTCTTGTTGTGCAGTTTTTGACATCCTATAAATCTGGCTCGGCTCCTCCCGCCCGTCTGCTTCCAGCTGTGTGCACAACGTGTCTGCGCAACGTCTCGTGCATACCATAATACACTAACACGATCACTAACGATTAACTAATATAACGCAAGCATTATACATATATGTATCAAGCCCAGGTACGCAGAGAAAAAGACCTTTCCTTAGATTTAATATTTCTATTTATCTGACTGAAGTTTGTTTCGCAGAAACAACATATACGAAATATTATTCGCTCGAGTGAAAATTTTATCGTCTCATTCGAGAAAACTCTATTATTTGACCGAAAGAACGCTGTGCCTTTATAAGAAAATTATCTTTCGTCTTAGACAAATTTTTTATTTAAGATAAAGATACATATTCGTTGAATAGTCGTGTTTACTGGATGCGGTAAGACTGATTAAATCTGAAGAAATCTTTTTCTCAGTTTCGGCACCAAGTCGCGGGGGTAACTCTGGTTGGGAAAATTCAAGAGAGGGCCGAGAGATCGCTTTCCTCGTACAAATGAATTTCCCCGATCGATCGCAAGACGGAAGAGAAAAGAGAATTGAATTGAAGACAAACTAGAATATAGAACACTCACATCACGTACACACGCACGCACGCACACGGCGATAACACGCCGGTGTACTTTTTCCATTCATAGAATCCAAGAACACGTAAACGCTGCGAGAAATCGGCGCTGGTGCGCAAAAAAAAAAAACACGACGCATTGCACGGTAGCCAATTTGCACACACGTTAATTGCCTGCCCACACAGGAGACGGCAGGCGGCAAGAGCGAAGGTACGAACGACGAGCTGAACAGCGCCAACCCGTACCGGGTCCTGGTGGAGAAGTATCAGGCCTTGCTGGAGGTGCAGCGACACTGTCAGCCCCGTCGCAGGGACGCCGCCGCGCCGTGCATGTCGTTGCAGGAGGAGCTCGAGATGTCCGGGGAGTTCAACAACTTCTGCCCCGTCGCCGCCTCCGGCGGCACGGAGGCGACGGCGGAGGTCGCGGAGGAGTCGGCGGGCAAGAGCGCGGGGCGCGCCGCCAAGGCGGAGGTCGCCGTCGTCCCGCCCGGCAAGAAGAGCTTCTCGGCCACGCCGACGGCGGACTTCTCCGAGGCGGAGACCTCGTCCTCCGGTTTCTCGGACGAGACGAGCAACAAGGCGACCCAGACCGACGGCAGGCCGGGCTCCTTCCTCTGCTCGATCGCCGACGGCGAGGACTGCAAGTTCAGCATATACGACGACAACAGCCCGTTCGAGAGCAGATTCCGCAAGACGCCCGAGTACCGGCAGCTCTTCAGCGAGATCTTCAGCGTGCTGAAGCGGGCGGCCGAGGCGAAGGACGAGGGTGAGAAGCTGCCGCTGCTGGACGAGTCGACGACGACGAGCGACGGGCCGGCGATTCAGGAGGATCCGCACAGCGAGACCGCGACCGACGACAATCAGAGCGTAATGTCTTCCGTCGTGTCGTCCGTCGTCTCGGAGCCGGTGTTCCGGGTGCAACCCGCCAGCCCGGCCAACAACAAGCACGAGAACAAGCCTAAAACAGCGAACCCGTCGTCACAGACGGCGGCCCATCACGGGCTCGACTACCTGTCCATCAACGTGCACGTCCGCAAGAAGCCCTCCGTGAGGAAGAACGCCGCGAAGAAGGCGGCGCACTGCAACGACCGGCCGACGACGCCGGACGTCGTCCCCACGACTAACCCGAAATTCGTGCCGCCTCGGGCGAACGGTCGCCGAAGGTACAAGCCGTTCAACGCCGCCGCCGTCGCCGATCAGGACGCGGCCGGCGGAATGTGGAACGGCCAGCACCACGTGTACTCGCGCTTCAGGGACAGGAGGCAGCAACACGGCTACGGGCGGGGCGCGAACGAGCAGCAGCAGCAACAGCGCAACAACTATAGCGAATACGGCGGCGAGTACAAGCCTAGCACCGCGTCGGAGGAGGTGGCCCGACTGAAGCGCCTGGAGATGTCCTACGCGGAGGTGCTCCGCACGCCGAACAAGCCCAAAGCCAACAATCACCATCACCATCGCAGGAGCTAAGTCGGCCACTTGGGAGGAAGCAGCTGACCTCGCGTCGACGTTCGTTGTCGGTACCGATAGAGGATCCTGCCAGTATTCGGGTTCCACAGTGAGAATTCAACCAAGCTCTGAGCCTTGAGATCGTTCTCTTCACGTTCGACTGTGATTCGTCCAGAGGCTCGGACCTTCAATTCTCATTCTGCTCTTTTACACAGATACTCTCAGTGAAAACAATTGGTGTGAGAACTCGTGATCTTGTATATAAGTAAAAATGTATGATCTCTCGTGCGAAGGTAAAAATTGCTCTCTCGAAGAGAGCGGAAGAATGGAGATATTGTTCCGCGAGAAATGTCATGTTTTCGTTGTTTGAAGATAAGTTTTATGAATCGAGAGGGAAAGATATCGGACACGAAGAAGAACGATATTTACGATTCTTCAGGACATCGTTCTTTCTGTTCGACATTTTTCCTCTCCATTCGTGAGAATTATATATATATATATATATATATATATATATAATTAATTATATATATATATATATTCTTGAATAGCACCGTGGAATTTCTTCGCGTGGGAGCAAGTTTGTCTTCGTATATTTTATAGATTATATATTCTTGCTTAATATCAGAATGTGAGTTTCGAATCGATACGAATTTCTTTCCCGTATATTGGCAGCGGATATCGGAACGCGGCCACGGGCACGATCGCTCCACGGGCGTTAGACATACACACACGAACACACACATAATACACGCACACATACAGCGAATAAGTAAAGCAGTGAAATTCAGTATTGTTTCGTACTTGTTGTAAATAATCGACGACGTGCAGCGGCACGACACAGGCGCTGGTCGCTGCCGAACGATCGTAGCTTTTCGATCCCGGGCGACTCTCGTACTTTGTCACTCTTCCCTTTCTTCTCCTTGCTCCTTTTCCATTTTCCTCTTCTGCCCGCTCATCGGACTTGGGAGCTGACGCGCTTCGATCAGCGAGCCTGAGCCATGCCGCTGCATGATGGTGCATCCCCCCCGCCCCATCCCGTCACGTAGTCGTTACGGAGAAGAGGAGAAACTTATTTATGTGCCATTTATTCTCCGTGTCAAAATACGAACTTCCGTCTCTCCGAAACTCGTACTACTACCACTCCTCGATTAACATACGCCTACTACCCCCCTGCACCCCCCCTCCCCTTCTCGCGGGGGTGTGAGTGACTCGTAGTGCATGTCGGCAGCAGCATGCGTGGTGTGTATTAGCTTTTGTATTTTGTAGGTATGAATATTGTGATCATGTTTTATGTATAAATAAATAAATTCTTTATCGTAATATCTCGGAATCGCGCCCATTTTCTCTCGCTCTCTGCGTCCTCACTCGCCGGGGAGGGGCTGCGCTGCCGGGACGCTGCGGACGGAGCGGATTTGCCGTTGGAGAACCGACTCACGCTCGCGTGAGAGAAATATAAAGAAGTGTAGGATAAATAATAGATAAATAATAAATATAAAGATAAAAAAAGGGAGTAAGAAAATAGATAAATAAGAAATATAAAGAAGTATAAAATGAATAATGGATAAATAATGATATATAATAATATAAATATACGATTGGTAATATAAGTATAAAGAAACATAAAAGAAGAGAGATGCTTAATTAAGTGATTAAGTTTCCCGGTCCGTCGCCCGCAATCATGTTGTCTGATGACGCTGGAAGCGATGAAAACGTATGGCCGAAATTCTCGCCAAGGAATGTGCCTATAAAACGATACTTTCAATCGATCGAGCACATTTTTTAAATATCCCGAAAACTTTCCTTTCGCTTCCTCCCCGAAGCAATGAATGAATAACTGTGAAATTAGCATCGAACTTTCCTTTTCAGCCTGTTTCTCCTCACGATTCCGTCACATTGACTACGGCTGCGTATTAATCGTTAAAAGGTTGTTTATTGTTAATACAATTAACGCTAAATCAGACGACTATTAAAATAAAAGAAAATTTCTCGGAATATTATTTAACAAATATGCTCGATCGTTCGTGAGCATTATTTTACGGCCACGTATCTTTTTGGTTCGGCGTGAGAATTCTGGACACACGTTTCCTCGCTTCCCATGTCATCGATCAAAACGACTGTGAGACCGAAGACTTGAAACTACACTCGCACACTCGCAGATTGTATTCGCAATCTGTGTACGTTCGCTTAAGAGCTGAGATCGTGTACGCCTGGAGGAGACATCGACGGGAGTCGCTGAACGAACGCTTTATTTCGATATATTAAATGTACAAGAAGCAATTTTTGCACCCGGCGATCATACACAATTTCGATCGCTTCTTTAGCACAGGTTTCTCTCTAGATTTCAACATATATCGGGGGGGGAGAGAGAGAGAGAGAGAGAGAGGAAGGGAGAGAGAGAGAGAGAGAGAGAGAGTCGGTTGGGTAAGGTTGTGCATACAGTTGCATAAATGTATACAATTTATTATTGTTACGAAAGGAAACGTTTACATCATACGCCTGAGATAACGAAGCAACAATTGAAGAAATACATAAAAGATGTTGAAGGAAAGAAACGTTCCTAAAAAATAATGACAGTCTAATACGCGAGCGTTCTAGTGTTGGTCGATCCACACAGAACGTACTGGCTGCGTTTCATTATAGAATGAAGTATAGTTAAATGGTACAATTTTATTGATGCAATTGCGATTAAAGTTTGGAGATCCGGGGGGGACGCGTAAGCGTCACACGCGACGCAAACAGCCGTCGTTGCGTTCCCCGTCGCCCCGAGTCAAGTTTTGCCTATATTCTCTCTGTTTCGTAAATTTCTTTTTAAACCTATAATGCGTGCGTGTGTGTGTGTGTGTGTGTGTGTGTGTGTAGGGGAGGTCCATTAGATATACATGACGTTCTTTTTATTTAAATCAGTATTGATTTATATCCGAAGAGGTGCGCACGATTAAGAATCGTCGAATAACGCGCGATGCACCGCTCCTAAACTCGGTTGTACATAACTCGAGCTGACACTGCGCCTCGATCTGCAGAGAAGATTATCATGATGTGAAGAGAGAGAAAGAGAGAGGAACTTGGCTACTTCTAACACAGGTGACTTGATATATATCTACAATGGGCAGTAGATATTTACAAGAAGAATAAGAAATTAACCAATCATATTCGAACGTGATTGGTCAATTTCTTACTTCTCACGGACATACTCCCACCGTCCATTGTAGGCTACGCTTTATAAAATCTACGGTAGAATCCTGAATATCACCAATTCATCATCACTTTCATCGTAGCGTACTGAAGAAAAAAGAAGAACTTGGTTGCTTACTCCGTGAGAGGACGAACGGCCGGCCCGGTTGGATTATTCTTCGGCCGTGGATTAACGAGAAGGCATTTCATAGGATGGCCGTCCAGCTGCCGATTGTGGTAAGTCTCGACCGCCTTGGTCGCGTCCTTCAGAGTCTTGTAGATCACCTCCGCCGTGCCTGGACGCACTAATCTCGACACGAGCAGCTCCCCGACGTCTTCGAACAGCTCCTAAAAGGCGAGCGAGCAAGAGAGAGGACGCGTGGAGATCGCCTCTTCGTATCGCGGAATTACCTTGATATCCTCTTGCGTGACGTTCGCTTGCAAGTTAGACACTACGATTCGATAGCCCGCCGGTTGCGCCGATGAACCGGAGCTCGTCTTTGGCCGGGAGAGAACACCCATGGTTCTCGACTTGTTGGGAGACGAGTCCAGGCGCGACTTGATCCCTACATCCCGCAGGCTTCTGGAATCATAATACTTGGAGTCCGTCGTCTCTTCGGCTAAGATCGTTCTGCAAGCAGGAGCGAAGAGACGCGGGTCATTCGACCGGCCAATATTCCTTTACTTCCGCGACGATACACTTCGCTCGGTAAAAAAAACTTGCCCGCGAATTATTACCTCGATTTGGTACCGAAGCTCCAGTCTTCCTTGTATGGAGGTGAAGCGGTTTTTCTCTACAACGGAAGAGAGCGGTGAATATACAGAACGAGATCGGCCCGAGAAGAGACCGCGAGAAAGAGTACAGCGTGTGTGTGAAAAGATCTCGCCCGATAGAGGGATTTATTTACTTAGCACGAAAATTACCAACCATTGAAGGCATTATTTTGTAATCTCTCTGTCTCTCTCGCTCCCTCTCTATGTCGGACTTCCGGGGCGAAATTCTGATTACGTTACTGCTCGCCGGCTTCACCCAGGTGTAAGGAGAACTCGGCTTGATATTGAACACAGGAGGTGGGGGCGGTGGGGTCGGAGCGTATTCGTTACTTACAGTTCTCCTCAATGAAGGAGACTCCATTGAATAATCTGAAAACAGAAGCCAACCGTAAGTGATCGATATTCTATCAAGACTTATCTGATCTACGCATCCATGCGTTCCCAAAAATGATTTCGCACAGTAGACGAATACACGTCGACATTCGTCAGGAAAAAAAAAAGGAACGAATAAATACGAAAAGAACGTAAAGAAGTATTCCACATTCTCGAGATTTGCTCGCAGATACTCGTGAAAAATGTCTCTCGTATTTTAACTTAAGCTATACCCGACGTTGGTTAAAATTAGAAGAAAAGACAACGTAATTATATCTCTGCGCGAATTTGAATATCCGAGCGTGAAAAACAGTCGTCTTTGTGGTAAGAAGAAATATTTGCACGCATGTAAACAGACCTTCAGCATCGCACCTCTCTCTCTCTCTCTCTTTGCGGTTCACATACCGTCATTGTAATCTATGTTCATATCGCCCAAGTAATGCGGCTCGGACATGGGAGGCGGCCTGTAGCTCACCACTACCTGTGGTATGTAATTGTTCGACACGTTCGGCGGCATTGTTACGTGCGACATCGCAGCTGGTGCTTTGTTGGTCGACAACGAAAGCCTGCCGTTTCTGCCGGTCTTGCGCGATATCCCCGGTAGCTGAGCGTCTATCTTCTTGTACTGGGACGCGCGGATCTTGTCCAACTTGAGCCTGGCATCACTTTGCTTCGCTATCTCCGCTAGTTTGTCCCTGGCGTCGGTCAGTTTCTCCCGGTTCTTCTGGATTATCTTGAACCGCGCGTCTGTTACCATGTGCGAGCCGCCGCGTCCTCTTATAAAGCCGTTTGCCCGTGCCCCTCTGCCGACGCCCCTGCGGATCCTGCGAGAGATCACACGTAGAAGTTAACAAACAGGACACTCGCCGAATCTCCCTCAGCTTTCGTTTCTCCGTTCGCTGACGGCGAAACATCGACGCTGCATTTTGCAAATCTGATTGCCTTTCAAACTATCAACGAAATATTCAAAGGGGGCGAGGATCCTCGTCCCGTGTCACCCGCGATATCCGTGATTGATCCCTCGAGTAGAATCAATTTCCGACGATCTCGGCGACGAGATCGTCGCGAGTAAGACGGGCCGAGAGAGAGATTTTCTCTCTACAAAACGATCTTAATATACTGACGTGACAAAATTTTCCCTGTCGTAGGAAAAGGATGGAAAGATCGCGAGGGGTTATGGTACTCTCGGACGCGAGAATAACGTTAACGCGGGGGTCCGGTCGGCTGTTCGGTCGAAACCTCGTTAAGTCTTACCCTCCTCTGCCTCGCATTCCTGGTGACTTGGACTTTTTAATTATGTCATCTAAACTTAGGCCCATATCAGCCATACCGTGACAATCTGCCTGCGCGGCCGCGCGGATACACACCGAAGCAGATCGAAATGTTGTAATTTCAGGTTACGGTTACCGTGCAACGACTTTGCGTATGTCGCAGGCGTCGCTTGATGGACTCCGCTGTCTCACGGTAGTCATTTCCGAGTCCGTGAGTGTCCTATCTAGCTACACTGCTACACCGTGTATACACCGTGTGATTCAGTCGCGATACTTTCTCGATGAGTTGCGAAACAGACGGAAATATTGCAGGACACGTCAAATTAACGACAACATTAATATAGCTAATGTAGTTAAGAACTAGAGACTTCAAGCTTTAAAGTGCTTTTTGAACGATCTCGTTAGCATTATTGCGAAAGTTACAACCTTTTGAATTTCGCTTACATGGATTTTATTACAATGGAATGCCTGGTCAGCCTTTGAGTCATACTACTTAAAAAAATAAAAGTATGCCTGACTCCATCGTTTAGTCATATCACGACCTCAGTTTCTCGTTAAGTATAGTGGCGACTCGTAGCGGAGACTCTGAAACTAAATTACGGAAATAACGGGTCTAATAATTCCATAAACCCGTTATTTCTGTTTAGAAATAACTTCTGTTTCGGTTTAGAAATAACGGGTTTGCGGAATTATCAGGCTCGTTATTTCTAAACAGAAATTCCGAACAGAACAAAATATATTAGCTATATTAATGTTATCGTTAATTTTCGTCAAGATATTTCGAATTAAACGAAAAATGGCGACCGTTCAATCTCAAACTTTGTCTTTCAGTTGAGTTTTCTGAGCGAAAAAAGATTTGATTCGAAAATGTGATACAGGCGTTTTAAAGAGAAAACTTTAAACTTTTTACGTATTTGTTAATGAATGTTATACATACGCAATCAAAAGTCGAATAGATGTTATTCACTAAAAACGTTGAATAACTTAGTGTGGAAAGAAATTAATTGCATCGCAATCTGCAGGTGTGTAAAATAATCTTGCAATATCCCGTTTATTCATCCTTAATAGTGTTTCTTCGATGGCAACACTACAAGGAATCTGTATGACCCCAGGTAAAGAGAATTGCCGCTAAGGTAAGGCACGTATGCCATCGACGTTCTAACGTAGTCAAACGACATGCAGAAGATATCACGCACGCATGAAAGGCGCACGTGACTTGCAACGGCACGTGAGTTTGGTGGCACGTGTATGGTCAGTGAAAGGAACGAGTTTATAATAAAAAAAAAAAGCAAGTAAATAGTCGTCGATGCTATTTAAAATGAAGGAAGGATATTGTGGTCTGAGAAACTTTGTTGTTTCGTTGCGAACTGAAGAAGGAAGAAGAGGGAAAAGTAAAGAGAAGCGAAAGTCTTTTCACTTTCTTAAAAAGCATCGCTCCATAAGCGCGTAATATTATTTATTATTAAGTAATATTTCTAGACATATTAATAAATAGATGGTTATATATGTCCCGTTATTGTGTCTGAGCCCTTTGAAAGATTTGGGTTTAAAAGCCAGCACTTCGGTCGTAGCAAGGTGGGAGTCGATGGCGCGCACTAGTGTCAGACATCTTCCCCGAGAGCAGAGGAACTTGCGTTACTTTCCCTCGCCAAACAAGTCGCTCATTCCTTCGCGATGTTACCGGTATGCGACGGGCACATGTGAGGCTGCACATGATTCCATCGAGTCTCTCGAAGTCCTTGACCCTTTTTCGCGCGACTTTTACTCAACATCGCATGTACCCTCGCGTGTCTGGCCCAGTCCCCACTTCCGAGGGAGCTCCTTTCGCTTTTTCCCGGCGCCCACCGCCTCGGACGGACCGGTCGTTTTACGGAACGACCATGGTCGTCAATAGAAGAGCGAAAGGACACAAAAGGATACCGCTAACGGTTTCTCGAAATCATCTTGCGAATATTCCCGTGGCGCGAAGTTTCACACACACACACACACACACACACACACACACACACACACACACACACACACGTCATCATCGTCGGTGCCTCTCGCGCGAAATCGAATTACGTCGTCGGTGAAGTGACGAGGTGGTCGGAATCCGAGGATTATCTCAGGAACGTCCGCAGCGATGAACACGGCAGGACTCGTCGTGTTCCCTCACGAGGTCGACGATGAGCGATTTAGATCCACGGTGATGATTTCCAAGAATGCGACACGGAAAGAAGAGCAACGTCTCAACGACGAAGAGGAGCAGGAGAAGAGCTCCAGGACGTTGCATCTTCTACAAGTCAAAGGATCTCCCCGGCTGTCGCCCGAAGGTTTCTCACTCGACGCATTCGCTATCGGTGGCACGCACGTGCGAAGCATTTCATATCTCTCTTATCTCTAATCTCTCTGGAGATTACGTGCATCGCACGTGTATGCGCGACACGTTATGCAAAATACTTCAATCAATTGTTCGGGATGTTTTGTGTGTATAAGTGCAAATATGTACGCTATACTAACACGAGTGGAATTTCGCTGAAATGTTGCACGCAACGTTTGAAAAATAAGAAAGCCCGTTTCCCGTGTATTTGTGTGTGAAAAGGGTGTTTTTCGTTTTCCATCACCAATTTTGAGTTATTAATTAAAAATGGCCGCGTACGAAAGATTCCCTTAACTAAAAAATTTGCGTCTCGCTTGCAAAATAGTAAAGGATTTTTCGTTCAAAGTGACCTAATCTACAAGTATATGGCAATTGTTGCATCTAATGCGATGTGTTTCAGGCGTCTTCGCTCTGGCTGACTATTGCCGATGTCTCCGCGAGTTATCTCTGTCGTATTCTTTACTGAGCGACGAGCTGCTCTTAGCGCTATGCTCGGCGAAACAGATTCACTTGAAGACCTTGCGAATAGAGGCGCACCCGGAAACGAGGCCTTTTCCACGAGTTAGCGAGAGAGCGTGGTCCGCGTTCTCAAGTCGCCTACCCAACATGAATCTCGTGCTGTAAGTGGAAAAGTAACCCGGTAGCGATGTGGACATAATCGACGGAAACGAACCCTATAAACGCGTAAAGTTCCTTGAAGAATATTATATGAATATTATTAAAATATTAAAATAATATTCTTGGCATATTATAAAAATGTCCTTAGAATATTAAAAAAAAAAAATATATATATATATATAAATAAGATATGCCCAGAGAATATTACTTAATATTAAGTAATATTACGCGGTTATAGGAAAGACGCGGTAACGCGGTGGAGACCGGCTGTTAATTTTCCTTCCTCATCTCGCCAGATTATCTTACATGACTGACGATGACGACGACGATCAGAAATCGTTGTTCATGTCGCACGTGCCGGTGACGCATCTCCACCTGGGCGACGTGCCGTCGCAAGCGACGATCTCGCGGATCAGCGAGCAATGTACGCGACTGGTGGAGCTGGTGATCGCCGCTTACAGCTCCGGTCCGATCGACAGCTTCTTGATCTCGATAGCCAAGAACTGCGCGCAGCTCAGTGCCGTTGGTATCGGCGATTGCGAAGTTACGTACGTACTTACGCACATAAATGATTCCTGAAATTCTTAGGACACAATGAAGGAAATATGAAGGGATTAAATATTTACGAATTCGAAATAAGATATTAGAAATAAGCTATTGTTTAAGGCATTATAAAAGGAATAAAAAATAAAAACATTTTAAAGATCACTACTTTATATATAATAATATTATAGTTGAAGAGGGTTATGTTCCGATATTCATTTCCAATATTCAAAACCTGATATTACTGCAGATTTTCCGTACAGACAGTGAATATCGGAAACGTAGCCTTTTTCAATTAGTACAGCCAGTTCGGGAATCCAAAAACAAATCCAACTGACCACTACACCTTCGTCTTCGTTTCCTACAGCTGTTCCGGGCTGGTGAGATTCGTCACGCTCTGCGCACATCGTCTTCAGGCGCTCTATGTGGCGGAAACGTCGTTGATAGAAGACGCTGAATTCGACATCGGCAAGATCTCGGCGAACGTGTCATCGCTCCTAGGTCGTACGTGGATGCCGGAATACGTGCCGTTATGGTGAGAATTCCCTAAGAAGATGTGTGAAGAAGTGTGTCGATCGCGCAAGAGAACTCGCAATATGCAAACGAAATACATCGAGAAGATAGCATTCACGACGTACTGTTCCGTTTCTTCGCAGATTACCCCTTACAAGTTACAAAAATGTTTGTAACATTCCGTAATGATAAACCATAGTTAAGCCTTTAAATACGAAACATTCGGATCGTTATAACACAAAATCTCGAAAAGATGGTATATATATGAATACATTATGCTATATATATACATCTCAATATGTATCATATGCATTGTGATATTGCTCCAAATGTCGAGTAATAGTATTGTAGAAATTAATTGATCGTTGCTGTTGATACCAAAAAATAGAAACTTTATTAGATTATAATAGTACTTTTGTTTTATATAGATATATATATATACATACATACGCCGTGAATATGTATGTATATGCATGCATGTATATAAAATAACAATGTTACTAGTATTCGTTTGCCGCTATACGGTAGACCCATATAATATTCAATATTCATGATATCATATATATATATATACATACATATATATATATATATATATATATATAATATACACGTAATGTTATTGTGATATATAACAGTCTGTACAATTATTTCTACATTTTGTAACATAATAAATGATCGGGCATTCAATATTACGATGTCCAGCAACGTTTTAACAGCAACATCGCTCGTCTAGATATTATGTCCATTTTCTTTTTCGCCGTTTTTCTCCTCCACTCCCTATGTTTTTCCCGTTTCAACGACACTAGTTTAGAGATGCGAGGTGCTCAGTCTTGTATCCCAACTGGCATATATATTCATATAATTCCATTCTTTGCTTAATAAGGCCTAAGATAAAGCAGAGCAGCCAATATACAAACAATACGCCAAGTGTACTTTCCTTATGTTTAAACATCTATTTATTTAATATAGTAACTATTTAGACAGTTACCTGCTTATTTTATACAAGATATACGGCTTCTGTATAAACCAATTGTGTTGAAAATAACACTTGTAAAATATCCGAGCAAACCCTACAAAATATCAGAGACACGCGAAACATAACGGAAGAATTTCAGTCCAATTCACTTTGTTATATGAGCTTTTTATTGAGAAAAAAAAGAAAAAAAATGAGAGTAATAAATTCCCAAGGCAAATACCTGCTTCGAACCAATCAGTCAGGCATGTCTATAGAGATTATAGGCACAACAGGTTTCATTAGGTCGATTTTCTTAATGAGCTTTTCGCCTTTCTCCGAAATCATTGGCTCAGATGGTGGTTGATCTCGCTCGTCTCTCGGCTGATACGAAATATTACCATATTCTTGAAGCAACGGGCATAAGCCTAGCAGAAAGTGACAAAAGTCCTTCCTGATACCAAACCACCCTAAGCAAAGATCACATTGGTTCTATACATGCTAATTAAGATTCATAATAAAAAAATATCTCTTTCAAATGATGTATAAAAATAATATACAACTATACTGAGACGATAAACTGCATATATATGTATATATATTATCTTGGAATATTATAAATGTAATTCAAAAGAGTATTCCTTACATCTATTGCCACCCTTTGCACCAAAGGACATAAAAATAAGGGTCATGTGTGACACAAGCAGCGGCATCGCTACCGTTGTGTAATTCAATGAAATATCTCCATCCAATTTATTTGCCAGCAGTACCTACGGCAGAATTACAAATTATTAAGTAATTAATGATACGATACAGTGAGAAGATCAAATTGCAAATTAATCGGAGATCGTGATTTTTATTGAGAAAAGCGCAGACAAGAGAGTTGCAATACCTGAAACACTAAAATGGGAACAACGAGAAACGTGTACGCCAACGCCGAATTCAACGAGGTTCGCCTCTGTCGGGCGTTAATTTGCGGCGTTCTCAGTAAAACAGCGGCAAATACTATCGCATATAAAACAGCCACCAAGGATAAACAAAGGAGCGCCCACAGCGGCACAAATACAACCTCCCAGCTCCATGTTATAAAACCATCCAATCTCAATGCCAGAAAAATAAATTGCAACACATTCACCGCGCAGAACAGTTCAAGCTCGAACGATCGATCGTGCTTTACAGCCCAGATGCAGACCTAAATCATAAAGAGAACGATTGTCAGAATAGAAAAGTACTTGTACAATAATCAGGAATTATCGATAGAGTTACAATCGTTAAGACGTTACTCACAGCGATTGATACTATTGAGATAAATATCAAAGGTATGAATACGAGTATCCACAAGTGTCTCTCGGATTCTAACTTGTCGCACACCAACAGCTCGAACATCAGCAGAATCAGGTGTAACGCCAAGGTGATCAGCATCGCCTTATAATGCACATAAGCGTCTCCCTCTAATCTCGCATGCGGATGCCTCCACCAGACGTAGCTTCCTATTATAGCGCCCAAAATAACCATACCCTTCCAGAACCATATCGGGCCGAATATCGACCAGTAACTCCATTCTATGAAGCCGTCCAATCGAAGCGCGAACAGAGATGTGAATATCATCAAGCATGAATGTACCAGAAATTTGCTGAAATTTAAGTTAACGCACATTATTCACACGCTTTTTTACTTGAATCATAAGTGGCATATCGCTGTGGGGAGCAGCCAGTTGTGAAGTTGTGTCGGGGTGACCGATGTTCTGCATCGTCAGATAAACACGCAAGAATTACCTTGGATTGAAGTCTTGGAAAAGCGTTTGCAAATTCATAATTGTTAGGTTATGTAGGCCAATCAGTGGAAGAGAACCTTTCGATGAGCGGTCGAGTGGAAATACATGCTATGGTAAACACGCGATTTCATTTACCGCACAGAGACTATTATGGAAGAGCGCAAGCGGCAGCGGCGGCTCGTACATTTGTGTTCGGGAAAAAAAATAAGCGACGACCCATTAGAAAAGCAAAATTTCCGAACATACTGAAGTCACCTAACAGTCATCGGTTCCTTCTGGCTCTCCCCCACCCCGCGCTCTTATTCCCTCTCTTTCCCAGGTGTTTTTCATCCTTTTCTCCTTCGTCGTTCGCTGCTTGTGTTCGAAAACTCGCGTTCATTCGACAATTAAACAGGTCAATCGGAATAATGAATCCTATCGGATTAGCAAATAATCGAATATCGAACGGATCAGGGAAAGTTATTACGAAGAAAATAACAGAATGCTGAATGTAGGACGGCCGATTGTTCCAACTTCTTGGTAAGATTCACACGACGGTCGCCCATTGAACAGACCAATCAACAATAGCCATTGATGTTCACCTAAGGTGCTTTTGCAAAGAGAATTTCTAGAGTCGGCCAATGGCTGCGTTTAGTAGAAAAAATATGGGGCATTAGGCCCATATCACACTATGAATTAAGATTGAGATTGAATTGAAATCTGACCAATCAAATTTAACTAAAATTTAATTTAGTGAAATTTGCACTGATTGGTCAAATTTCGATTTAATCTCAATCCCCAATCCGTAATCTAACATGGGCTTTACGGCTTCTACACACGGGACGCGGCAAGCGTTTTCTCATACTGTGTGCGGAAGCCCTAAGAAGCGAGCACTTCCTCAGCCATCACACTGCCTGGTTTCTTTTCGCTTGCCACTCTGGAACCATGGCGGTAGGCAAGAATAAGGGACTTTCGAAAGGCGGTAAAAAGGGAGTGAAGAAGAAGATGTAAGTGAGACATATTGCGTTTGAAATATCGCTAAATACTAGATATTCGCGAAAAATAAGTCTTCGACTTGTCGTTTTGCGCGATGCCTTTGGTTATGTTGGATGCTCGCGTGCCGACACCAACATTACATATATACCGCTAGATAAGTTTTAATTTTTGTATATTTTAAAACATTGTCCCTGAAAACAACAAGATGATTTAACTACCCGACGTCTTTTAAATATTTCCTTCTGACGTACTTTAACATTCCTCGAGTGAACGTAAAAGAATCACTTTTAGGTCAGATAACACATGGTGAAACAGAGAGTTGTGAAATATACATTAGAAATCTTGAATGTTTCACTCCCACAACGATTAGTTTCATCGTTAGTACATTTCATTTTATGTTTCATCTCGTGTGTATTGTTTCAGTGTGGATCCTTTCACACGCAAAGACTGGTACGATGTGAAGGCACCTTCTATGTTTGCCAACCGTCAGGTGGGCAAAACTCTGGTCAACAGGACTCAGGGCACCAGTAAGAACTTTTCTCATCAAATTTCCATATATCTGATAAAATCATGATCTTTTCTTGCCATATAAGATAGTTTTTCTTTGTTTTGTATTCCCGGTTGCTTCCTCCTGCTTTGTTTAACGATGTATACAGAATAAACTTCAATCTCGACAGAAATCGCATCGGAGGGCCTGAAGTTTCGAGTATTCGAGGTATCACTCGCTGATCTTCAGAGTGACCAGGACGCAGAGAGGTCCTTCCGTAAATTCAGACTGATCGCCGAGGATGTCCAAGGTAGGAATGTCTTGACCAATTTCCACGGGATGGACCTGACAACCGATAAGCTTAGATCGATGGTGAAAAAGTGGCAGACCCTGATAGAAGCTAATGTGGACGTTAAAACTACGGATGGCTATTTATTACGAGTTTTCTGCATCGGTTTCACGAATAAAGATCAGCTGAGCACGAGGAAGACGTGTTACGCTCAGCACGCGCAGGTTTGTACCTGGCTCTGTTCATGTGTGTCGCGCAGCTTTGTACATCTGTTACGGTCTTTACTGTGGCAAGATGAGAAACGTTGCGTATATCAATGCAGTCACTTACCACACTACTTTACGTACAAGTAAGTGGTGATAAAAGAACTTGCTACAGATCATATAATATTTATTTTATTATTATTAAGTATTCTATCATATTCACTCGATCAATTTGTATGACTTTAATTCTTTTTGTCGTATCGTATAACATGTAACTGAATTTAGGTCAAGAAAATCAGACAAAAGATGGTTGAAACCATCACCGAGGACGTAACCAAGACCGACCTCAAAGGTGTAGTGAGTAAGTTGCTTCCTGATGCCACAGCCAAGGACATCGAAAAAGCATCGCAGGGAATTTATCCTCTGCATGACGTTTACATCCGTAAAGTGAGTGTAATACATTCATTGGTTACTTAAGATACACAATTATATATAATTCATTTTTTTTCCAAGAAGATAATTAGTGAACCTAATTTCCGTTTATTCTTACGAACGTCAATGAACTGCAGCGAATTTTAAAATGTAATTTTCAAAAATCAGGTGAAAGTTTTGAAGAAACCTCGTTTCGAACTCAGCAAACTGCTGGAGTTGCACGGGGACGGAGGCGGTAACAAGAGCGAAGAAGTCGGGGAAAGCGGCTCCAAGATCGACAGGCCGGAGGGTTATGAGCCACCGGTACAGGAATCCGTCTAAGAAAATTCTTGGAAAAAATAAAAGCAACACTTTATCGTGTAAATAAATTAGTAAACCTTCCGCTCATTTTATTTATATTTAATTTTTTATTTATATAATTTTCGTACAGAGTTATACAACGTATATATAGAGAGACACTGACATGTCTCTTGGAGTAATTAAGTGGTAGAACCATTGATAATTTAATTCACTTGAACGATCTCTATGATCGTCAGTAAAAACAAAAAAAGAATCTTGGTCTAACGATATATTAACACTAAAACTACCGAAAAAATGACCGATTCGCAATTTTTTTTTTTTTTTCTTATAAAAGTTGCTCCAATTTCTAATGGCGCATTCTCCTAGATTAACCTGCGTAATTTTTGTCACAATGTGTAAACGAATAAATATTTTTTTTCCAAAAATATTCAAACCGCTTCGGTGGAAAGGTCTGTGCACGTTGATCGTCGGTAGTTTTAGTGTTAAAGAAATTGTACCGCGGCAGAGGATTCAAGTGAGAGGAATTGTTGAAACTTTTTTACAACGTATGTCGCACTGTCGGCGACTATCGTTCTGGTGAAATCGCTGCAATTCGCCAGCATGTAAAACAGAAACAGGAAAAACAAGGTTTTCACGATCACGTCCACCCAGTACATGCTGCGGAAGAAGAAGAAGAAGATGAAATTATTGAACTGTCGTGATCACAGGCCGGTGTTTTTACGAAATATTTCAAACTCACATTCTCAAATGTCGACGAGCAGCCGGCAGTGTTTCCGGAGGCTCGTTTAAAATGAAAATCCTGGCGGATCGAATGCAAGTCTCGAAGTACGCGTCTATATCCATGTCGTCGCCGTGCAATTGATACTTCTCGAATTCCAGACTGTTCAGCTTTTGTCTCAGATCGATGACATACGAATTGTCGAAGTCCCACTGATTGTTTGCATAGTATTCGAAAACCTCAAATCCCTTTAGTATACGGCGATGCACACGGCACATGCTGCGTATGAATAATGAATTGTAGAATCCACATTATATTTCCAATAGCCTTCAATAGCCCCGATCAATATTATCAGACGCACTTTGATTTCTTAACAGAATATAGACTAGGAAGGGAAGAAAAACTATTAATTTTATATTTATATTGATTAGAATAATCTTACGAGATTTTTAGCCTTGAGTTGAGTTCAAGTAACACTCGTATCGATATAGATTTAATCAAATCAAGGCTAAAAGTCTCCCAAGAAGATTATAATATTTTTGCTTACATATGAGAATATCTATTTTTGATTTAAAACTAATTTCTTTCCGCGTTGAATCGGTCGAATATTGTTTTTTTCCATCTAGAATGTGTGGGAAAATAGTGAGAAAGAACTGAGACTTACATAGGCTTGTAGCCGGCTAGAAAAATAATAGTGTCAATGAAATAAGCAGGTATCAGGTGAAATAGCAAAATGCAAATGTTATGCAGGAGTCGCGATTTCTTCATACTACCGCCCGGATACCAGACGACTCCGTTCAGCGGCACTCGCTGGGTGATTTTTCGACCTCGTTCTATTATCTCCGCCCAAGAAATCTGCAAAGGAAAGATTTATCCCATTTTACATCGACCTCGTTTTCACGGAGAAATCATCACGCATCAGGGCATAGTTCGCGTACTTGGAATTCGCTACTGCTCGTGAGATTATAGACTCGTTTCTCATGATCCTTGAAATAAAGATAATTCCATGTTGCTACGAGAATAGCGTTAATGGCGATGTCGACTGGCAGGTAATCGGCGTATGTGTTTTGATCGCAATACATCGTCCTGATTACTCCTTTCCCGGCGCCGATTAACAGACCGGTAGGCCCGTTGATGTTGTCCGTCCAACCGGGCACCGGTTCCTTCCACACGGGAATAATGATGCTTGGCCTAAAACGAGTATCATTTTAATGAGTTGGAAATATTTGACTTGGCAGCTAATCCAGACATAGCATAGGAATATTCTATAAATATACACTACGAATATTTGTTACGAATATTTTTATATCCACAGAATGTATTGAAAACATGTTACGTGTTTATAGCACGTTTTCAATATACATTTGAATAACACAATATAAACGTTATGTGAATGATGAATTGAATTGTGCATGGAATATTTTATTAAATGTTGTAGGCAATGTATAGGGAGGTCCTGAGACTCAGACACGTGAGAGACACGTTCTCACGTTTGTACACGTGGATCTTGCAAGAGAATGGTCCGATCTGACGCGCACTGATTTCACTGAAACTCCAATTACAGTTACAGTACAAAATCTACTTATCCCCGATCAGTAAATAGTCGAGTGGTACGGCGCAACTCAAGCGTTTGCGAGACATTTGCACGGTAAAGTTTCTCGCATTACATAAGACCGCTTTTCTATCATGTTAATATACGAATTTCTGGTTACGGTATGTTCTACAACGGTATTCTCCGTAACTATATCCGTATCGGATATTCTGAAATTAAACATCATTCGTGTTTTAATTTATAGAATATTTTATGCTATCTGGGAATGCCCGGAAGATTGGGGCGCGAAGGCAGCCCTCGTTGATACCTTAAAATTATCGACGGGATGTGCGGAAAGGATTCTTCAATGAGACCTTCCGCTAAGGCTTTCGTGAAGGCGTACGTATTGGGATACGATCCCAGGATCTTGTCTGTCATGGCTTCGACCAAGTCGTCATCCATCCACTCCACGCACTTGATCACGTTGTGGGGATCGGTGGGCGGAGGATACGTGCGCTGGCCCAAAATCTACCCAGAGACACCGGCCATTCTTAATTTGTCAGGTTTTTCTTTTCGAGCAACTTGCATGCAAATGTGCTGCTTATGTAAAAATCCCGCCAGGATCTTTCTGGGGACTCCCTTGTAGAAACGTTTATGGCGCGAGGATCATTATTTTGAAAAAGAAAAAAAGCGGACAAATCTCGAGACAAATGTGACGCACAGATGATATGCAATGATTGTACTTACTTTTTCATCGAGATGGCAATAGGCCGTGCTGATGTAAGCGAACAGAACTAAATGTTTCATCTCCTTGGCCAGCTCTACCATCAGTTTCGTGCCGCGTGTATTCATAAGCACGGCTTTTTTCAGCATCTCGTCAAATCTGCAAAACAATCTGTTATTAAATCTGACGCGAGATAAACGATCTCTCTCTCTCTCTCTTTCTGTCTTCCTTTTTGTCTATCAAGAAACGGACGCGATTATTGGCGTATTTAAAAAAACATTTCTCCTTCTTGGTCTGGTCAAAACTCACCTGACCGTAGCCGCCGCGTGATACACGATGTTGACGTTCTCGCACAGCATCATTCTGTCCTCCGGAGATATCCCGAGTTCTGGTAGCATCATATCTCCGTTGACGACCGTTACTGCCTCCTTAAGTGCCGCCAGTCCTCTTTGAGCCTTGACTTTCTCGAAAAGCTGAACAACAGTTACAATTCGCCGAATCGTTGATTCATCCGTGTTGGATTATTGTGTTAGCAAACGCGATACACTCACGTCATATTACGCGTAAACAGAGTAATAATTCTTAAGTCAAATTAGAATACAAAGAAGCAGAAGAAAATACGGTTGACAAAGGTCAGTAGAAAAAACGGAGATATACTTCATCATCTACCACCAGCTTTGATACTAGTAGTTCCCCTTGTCTAATTTTCTTTCTTCTCTCTGTTTCTTCTGCTTTTTATAAAATAATAAACGAGATTAGCAACAGAACTTGGATCGATCCCGACGGATTATTATAGCTACCGCTATATTTTCCCGTTAATATGATTCAACAACTTTAAGACAGGTTTTCAGATCGATGCAAACATATTTTTTTTTTATAAAACACACGTTGTTGTCGCGAGGAAGAAATTGTGTCTTCAATCAGTTTTCGATAAAGTGGCATAATTTGTTACTTGTATTTGCATGATTTGTTGTTCGAAAACAAGGCCATACACGTTAATTCTCGTAAAAAAGAGTAGGAGTCGTAGGTGTCATAATTCCAAGAGACGTTTATTTATCATATTATTTTTATATTTTTGAAAAATATACTCTTGCTTATTGTGTATTTATGACTTTCTCGTGTCCTTTCCTTGTTTTAATTAAACAAAATGCAATTTACATATTTTGCTCACTCGTAACCCTACCTTTTCTTACGAAAGTTAATTGTCTCTAATTTAAGGAGATTATGAGGTCTTTAGTTCAGAAGATTTTAAAAATAGAAATGCAAAATCTCAAAGACCACGTATAACAAGTGTCAACTTTAGTTGCAAATATCTCAGCGTGCGAATAGTCAATTTTCTTCTAATTGTACGAGCAGTTAGCACAATATTTCAATATGTACAGTGCAAGTTTCATAGAATTCTCATAAAATTCATGTCGCCTTAAAACCTCGTTAAATAACTCGACTGTAGTCGATAAGGATTGTTCGAATCAGGAATAACCCGCATACGTACGGACATTCTCGGGAAAAGAAATGGTCATATAAGAAATTTGGCCATATATGACTACATATAATCATATATGTCCACAAACGAAAAAGTATAATCATATACAATTATATATAATCGTATATAATGATTTTTTCCCAGGTTGAATCATATCGAGTCCAAACTTCTTCGGAACACAATCCTTTCAGTCCGGACGGACACCAGAAACGAGGAAGTTCCGCATTTTGATAACAATTTATGCGTATCTCTGGGACATGCACGCACACAATACATGCTCATGCATACATATGCAAACACGTACACACGCGCGCACGCACACACACATATACGTGCACGGACACACGCACATATCGTGTCGCGCATGACGTAGCGTATTTACCATGTTACGTTAGAATTCGTAAGACATGACATAACACGGCACGAAATCCGGACTTTCACCGGCTCGGTCTAAGAAACGACATTAATAATCACCCGTGTCCCACTATATTTCCGACGAGGCCTTGACTTCATTTCTTTTTTTTTCTTCCTCTCTTTTTTTTTTTTAATCTCTTCAAGACCTGTCGCACGCCACGTGGTTGGTGATCCGGTTGATATACCTTTCACCGGATGTATTGCTTTTATCCCGGGGAGGAGGAGGTGCACTCGAAGTGCACGAAGAAACGCGTTGTCGGACCCTATGTACCTGTTGTTGCGGCATCGCGGCGTGCGTTATCGTCGCCGGGGAGCAACAATGTTGCAACTTGCAAAGTCATACCTTCTACATACGGAGGGGGGGGGGGGACTAGTTACTTTCTCTTTTTCACGCACCCGTCGAGAGATCGGGACGATACTGCTCGAGCCCATTGAATGCAAACTCCGGGGTGAACTTGCGCTCGCGTTCGGTTCAGCTTCGGCTCTTTCTTTTCCTCAAGAAAAGTTTCTTCGAGGAACGTGTCTTCTCGCCCGAGTATTCAATTATAATAACCGATAGATTATAAACACTTCGTAGATTCCATCGTTTCATTCCATCGTTTCATCATCTCGCGGTAAAACAGAACAAATTGCTTATCTCGTACAGGCCTGTATTTTTTCGCATACGCTAGTTTCACGCAGGAACTTCGCTCCTTTCCTTTCTTTAACTCAATAACTTGAACTTATTTCACTTTAAAGCGCGATCTAATTCAGCCGAAAGGACCTGTTTCAAGTATGCACGCATGGACGGGCACACGAGAATCGTAAGTGCATACACACGCGCGCATATTTCGAATGCTTCGACCTGGGAAAGGAAAGATCATGTATGAAATTTGCCCGTATATGACTATATATAATCATATATGCAACCACATATACGGGTGAAATTCATATATGATTTTATATAATCATATATATACATATATAATCATTTTTTCGACTCGGTCTTCCGAAAACATTATCAACGGGTGATCTTACCGGGGAATTGAATATTTCTTCCAGTCGCTGTTTAGCATTCTTCCCCTTTTTTGGCCTCACGAGCAGGTAGATATGCGCTATGTCAGGCAAGGATCGCAGCAACTTTTCTATGAGGACCTTCCCTAAGAAACCCGTGCCACCCGTTATCATGATCTTGCGTCCGACGAAAGTCTCCACTATCCTGTCCGTTATCTCGTCGGGTTTGCTTGTCTGCTCCATCGTTTCCCACAAGAGAGTTCTTCACCTGCAACGCACAGTTTTGACGAATATCAGGTAACAACCAAGAATGTGTTCCACGTTTGCTCGCAACGATCCATATTGCCAGCCGTCCCACTAAACGCCCAGGCGTTTACCGATTATATTATTGTAATTAGCCTCGTGGCTAATTCTATACGAGGCTACTTTTATAACGTTTATAATTATTATTAGTTAGTTATTTATAGTAGATTATAGTTTTGTAACGTTTTGTAACTTTTGTAACATTTATAACACTTGCACCGAGGAAGTGGATTGGCGGGAGCGTTTGGTGAATTTTATCCGGACTTTTTACAATTTGAGTAAACTCGAAGACAAAGTTAATATCTAATCTAAAAAAGGCTGTCCAATTCATAGTATACAACGGGAAACTGCACAGAAAAAAGGTCCGGTTTTATATTAATCAGAAAAGGAACGACCGGATGCGTTTTGGTTGGAGAAAACAGAATTTCTGATTGCAAAAACCGGAAATTCCGTTTCCTTCGATCAGAATACATTTAGTTCTTTTTTTCCAATTGATGCAACCAGGTTTTTTCCCGTATACGATCAATTTGTATACGATCTTGTATTCTCGTAAGACACGTTTCTATTTTTCTTGTCCCTTCTTTTTATTCTTCTTAGTCAGAGGTTGAGTTCAGAATCACCGATCGATGACTACTTCCTACTTCATAGAGACAATTTGCATTTCTTAAATAATAATATGATGAGATGAACAAATTCACGATTCTCGAGAATTGCAATTTACCAGCTGTAACAACACGTTAGTAGAACGAATACCCGCGAGCGTTACGTGAGCGTGACATCGTTGCGAGAAGCGTGCGTAGCAGAACGCGCCCGATGTATCGTCGTCGATGCGAGAAATACGCATGGAACAGGGAAATCGACTTGATCCGAGAACTGTATCTTGTTTAAGCAGAGGAGAAAAAAAAAGAACGATTACAAGAACGAGATCACAAGTTGCGAAACGGGCAATAATTCAGAACTCTGAACACGCATGCAATACACAACACAATATGTTTGCACAACAGCAGCGCCGATGAATACAATAGCCCGGCGTTAGAACAATTCATCATTATACGACTAGATAGACGCAAGCGGAAACAATGACTGATAAAAATTTTCAATTGACGTTAGATCGCCATTCAAGTCACATGTCAAATTGTGTTGAACCTTCGAAATATCGCGGACGGAAAGAGAGATGTCTGCTGGGTTGAATTTGCTATCCGACAACGAACCAGACACGGTTTTGTTCGGAAGAAAACAGAATTTCTGGTCACGAGGACTCCGCTTCTTAAAAAACAGAAATTCCGAAAGGCTTGTTCGTTCATGTCAGATTAATCCAACCAAACGTTTCCCATACAGATGTTCATTCATCCTAGAGACGTCCAGAATATTCGAATATTCCTGGGACGTTTTTTGAACATTTGTACTGTATGGATTATTTCCGTATATACGTACGAGAATTTTTTTCTTCCAGTATGCTACGTTCAAGTAACATTTATCTAATCTGAATAAAATAAACTACTCCAATATTCCTTAGAAAATATTTACTCGAACGTAGCGATTTTTTTCAGTGTATATTTTCGCGACGGTAGTAAACGAAATTTCCTTTATCTCGGTCCATTATTATTGTGATTTTTCAGGAAGTTCCTTCTTTCACCAATTAACTCGCGACAGTCCGACAGTGTTCAGTTCTCAGCGATAGCTTAACTCCGAAGTGTTCTATTTTCAAAGGATTAAATACTTCTGAGATAATATAAATTTGTGAAAGACGTTTTAAAGACATCTGAAAGATCATCTAAGAATTGTATGTTCTTTGAACTATTTAAGACATTTCTTTCAGAAACTTGTACTATCTGGCTTCTAACTTTCAGATAATATCGAACAAAACAACTGAGGCTTTTCAGATATTCATTTATGCCAACGTATATGTAAATCATATGCATGCAGAAATATTTGCAATGCAATCGATTCTATTAATTATAAAAAAAATTGTTATTATAGACACAAAAAATATATTTACATATAACATCTTATATAACATCTTTTATAAAAACAATTGATCAAAATGCGTTAATTACAAAAGTGACTTGGCCGTATTCAACGAAAATACAACAGGATTCTCGTTCGGTCGATTGTAAATTGCAAAACGATACTGAATTTTTGGTAATAAGAATCATAATTTTGGTCGTGAGAGCCAGAAATTCCGTTTTTTTTCAACCAGAACGCATCTGGTTGTTCCCTTTTTAGTTAACGCAGATTTTTCCCACGTGCCAATTTGCATAACCTTGTATTCTTGAACGTAAACTACATTTCTGTTTTTTTCATTTATTGATGTCCAAGTCCTTATGATGATTTTTATTTTCATTCATATCATTACAATAAATTGTAATTATGTAAATCGTAATTGTTGCGATACTCTTCAAGAAGAGGCATGTATATTTGGTTCCAATACGACTCTAATCTGACTACTTTGCGGAAAACACTGACACGGAATGATAAGTGAAACGGAGGTTAATCGAGAGTGAATTTCGGTAAAATTTTCAGCTTGACATTTCCTTCATCGGGGTATGCCTGGCGAAATAAGCCGGTGATTAACACACCTGCGACATCGCGGTACAAGGCGTAGGAATTTCCTGGAGAGAATCAACAATTCATTATATACATATCACCGTTAACATCTAACGCGGCCACGAGCCACGCGCGAACTCGAGAGAGAGATTCTTCCACGAGCGTGCTCATCATCATCTGCGCGCGGATCACTTTACGATATAGCCGCGCTATCATTTTTACCGCACGTCATCACATTTCTAACGGCCGTCGAAATCGCTTAATGAACACCGGTGTGTGTCGATACACACACACACACACCCACCCACACACACATACCGTCCGTATCGTGCACGTATGTACTCGCGCGATTTTCACGCTCCCGCGTTTGTAACCCGCGATCGTTCAAATGAGATTCAAAGACACGAAGAACGCGCGGACATAGATACAGGCAGATCCTGCACTTCGTAGCATCAACACTTACCGCGGTAAAATGGAAAACGGTCGCCGGGCACTGGCGGGCACTGAATGGCACGACGTGGGTACCGTGCGCGTAGGTAACCGCTCGGGTTCGCCGGACAGTCGTCTCTTCGCTTGCTCGGACGGCGATCCGGTAGTAGTAGACCGAGAAAGTTCGCCAATATAACTTGATGCTTCCTGCGTTCATTGGTTCATTCTCATAGCGAATCGCGTTTTACCTGCGAACGTAAACTTACGTAAGCGCGCGCGCGTGCGCGTGCAAGCGCGACGTGTTACCCGCTACTACTCGCGTTACACGCTAAACGAATTCTTGTTTTATTGTAGCGGGTTTCGACAAGGTGGCCTCCACGAAATCCGTCGTTGCCTACGCGCATTACTCGCTTAGAGGCGCTCTGGACGACCTACGAGTGAGCGCGAAGACAATTCCTGAGCGGAGACTCGGGACGGTCGAGATTTCTCGATTTCTTCTACGTTTCTCTGAGACCGACGACAATAGTGCCTCCTCGCGTAAAAACGCACATTTCGCGAAGATGCATCGAGAGAAAAATTGTTATTTTACGGGGACAACAGGATCCTTTTTTTTTATCTTAATCGCGCAAAGAAAAAGGTTCCTTTAGATTTAGTATTTCTGTTTACTTATAAAATTGATCAAGTTTGAAGAAATCTTGTTTTCACAGTGCGCAAAAATAATAGTAGCATGCACTGTCAAGTTATTATCACTGACACTATATGATAACACACTAGAGAAATAGTTCTCTCGACCATTTTTGTGGTTGAAAATGAAAAAAAGATATTCCTGTCCCCGAAAATAACTATATTTTTCTCTCTCAGTATGTGTTTCGTCTTGTCTTTTGCCGGTATTTTCATCGGCGCAGTCGGTGGCGGTTATTCCGACGACACGGTTCTGGATTGGGCGGTTGCGACGTCTCTTGTTCTTTCCTGGAAGAAAGTCACGGATATATATACCTGTGTATATGCGTAAGTGTGCGAGTAAAAAAAACGCGATGCTAGAAAAAGAAAATGCTGAAACGACTTACGGGCAGACGTTAAACTTTAAAATAAGATCACATTCGCGTCCGCAGGTGCCTTCCGTTCGCCTATCAAGATCTCTTCTTTGCATTCCAGCCTCGTCGCACACAATTCCTTCCGGCAAATAATAAGCAATCGCATATCTCCAGTATAATTATCCGAAATTCCCATCTTATCCAGTGAATATCCTTAGACAATCTAATATAATATTAATGATCACCGTCGTGATTTATCGTAATTAACGTCCAGCAGAGAAATACTTAAACATATCACATTCCGCTTTTGAATCGCTCGTCATCCATTCAATTTGCAGAAGTTCCGAAAAAGGGCAATTACTTTTGAAAGATTACCGAATTTTATTAGAACGACGAAGATGCAAAGCAGCAGTTGTTTTTTTTTCTCTTTTTTTTATTTTGCGCACGTTTCAACAAAGCGAAGAGAAACACTGCCGCAAATAAAGGATTTCTCTCTCTGGGCGTCTCTACCGTCAAAACGAGATCTCCTTTCTCCCGTTCTCTTTTTCTCTTTCACCTCAAATAGTAATTCTTTTTTTATTTAACGTGAACACCATTGATGGTATTGTTTTAACGATGTCCAAATATATGACGCAGTCTTTCTTTCGTAACTACGTCTATCTTCCTTTCTCTCTCTCCGCTCCGCTCTCACTATCACCATTTTAATAACGATGTATGTAAAATCATGACGAAAGTCCTTTTACGTGCGCGGCAACGTTACCGGTAATAAATGCTATTTATTTATGTTACGACTCGTGCCGTTTTCCTCATGACGAGCAAACATGCGTGAAAAGAGAAAAGCAGTTTGCAACATGAGTGTGCAAACTCGTTGAAAAATATCGCAAAATCACATTTGTTCAACAAATTATTGGCATGTTATTAGAATATAATAAAGTCATTCTGTAAAATCATGCCGTATTCTGCGTAGAAAATTCATCCGCGATTATATGCAAACTCGTAGATGACTTTAACTTATATCTAGAACATATTTTTATCGACAAATGCTACGTTGAAAAAGTTTCACGGAACGTTAGACGTGGCGCGATAAATACGTGACGATATTCTGAGCGCAATCTTTTATTGCAATTTTGAGATGAAGAATGTCGGTCTTCCTTTAAAGGATGTATTTTAAGCGAAAATGTTATTTTGACGCCATATTTATGGTACATTTAAACGTTACCTACTAAATATGAGCACATTTGGTGACATTTTAATATTTAATGGCAGCATACTGGGCTTTTATTTCAAAGTTTCGATAAAAATGTTTCGCTCAGAATATCGTTATATTTATCAAATATAGGTATTTATCACTTGAGGCATATTTGATAGCACACTTATCGATAAAAGAAAGTTCAGAATATGGGCCTTCATCTTTTATTCGAATACTGGCGCTTTCTTAGCGTCTCTAAGGAAAAGAGGAAGTTACAAAAAGCTGAAGGGAATTTATGGAAAAGTACGAAAGAATAGGAAGAGAAACGCTTCAATTATTCCACTTTGGGATTCTATCTCGTCTTTCTAAAGTTTATCCGGCTAGCAACGTGTACTTGGTGATCTTGTTCGGCTAACAAAGCGTTTTTATAATGCCAAGAATCAATTTTATTATACGAAAGATATAACAAAATATAAAACCTGAAATAAGAATTTTACAGCTGAAATACAAAAGTGCGCATTAATGAAGTTGCCTGACTGATTCCTTAAATCGTGCAACTTCGTACTTCAATCAGAGTAACTTAGAGAGAAAAAGAATCGCTCTAACGAAACAGACGTGTTTTCTTCTAATACTCGTCTCGACTCGGAGAAAGTACTCCGCTGAACTTTACTGAACCATGAGGCTCATTAAATCTTCGTTGCATCTGCCGTAGCGTTAATCGACTGGTCATAATCTTACATGACTGAGTAACCTTAATCGCGATTTTTAATAAAGGAATCGATGTTTTCAGAAATTTCAAAAGCTCTAATCACGTTTATAGAAAAATGGATTGAGAGAGAACGAAATTGACAAAAATTGACACAACACATCGATATCAATCGTTCAAATGACGAGTTTGCAAGTGAAAATCGAGTTAAATATGAAATATTAGACACTTCACTGCAATTCTAACTGATTTTTAATAATTATCACTGTAATTATAATCAGTATAGCGTATAATTCTAGGATATTTTATATATATATACTATAATATAATTAGAGTATAATGTGCTTTTACAGAAATTTAACACTAGTAAGTTAGTGATTAATTATTTATTTTGTTATTAAAATATTAAAAGTACCGTTGTCAGTAATTTTTAGTGATTTCATTACAGAGCTCATAGTGGTTATAAATATTTTAGTGTTTAAAATTACAAAGTGATTAACGACCCTTATAGAAAAATATTAGTGGTTGATCAGTAATGAATTATTCTTATTGTTAGTGAATTATTGTTGCGCAACATTTTTTTAACTAGCTAATAATTTTTAGCACTTAGATTATAAACTTACTCATATTTCAGATTGATTCAATAATGTTTCATATCAGTAATTAGCATCTCTAGCAGCAGTAGATCTCAGGATATATTATAAACTTGTATGCGGCGTTCCATTTCTTTCATCGAATATTATAAATATATTCTGGAGATAACATAAACATTTTTAGTAAAATTAAAACTTTCGATAACAAGGACGAGAGATGTAAAAATTAAAATGGCACTTTCTTTATTTAAATAAAATGATCCCTCTAATATTAGTTTGTTCTCGCATCTTTGCATCAACATAATTTTGCTGCAAATAACATTCTGATTATTATGATTCCTCATTCCTGCGATATTTAACTGCAATGATTAAGCACTGGTCAATAATAAATAATTACTGAAGTACACCGGCGGTATTTGATCACTGCAAATTTCTTAATAATTTTCGGTGTTAAATTTCTGTAAGATGTGCACATGTAACGATAGTACTGATATATTGGCACATTTCTTCATTGGCAAATTACGTCAGTGTGTATGTGCGTGTGTGTGTATATGTGTATGACCGTCCTCATCCCGCTGTTTAAATACGCGCGGAATATAGCACAGGGTCATCGAGAGAGTGAGTCTGGGAAAGTCAGAAAGATTCGGCAGAAACACGTTTTCGGACTCGACAATTCCTACCCTCCTCCGTTTCCCCCTTCCCAACTCTCTATTCCTCTTTGCTTTTGGACCTGATAAGTGGTAAGATAATACAAAGTTTCATTCTCTCTCTCTCTCTCTCTCTCTCTCATTTATTCGATTAGCATCGCTATGGTGGACTTAGCGGATATCATCCAGGTGTACATTATCCAAACAACGAGACATCCGAATAGCACTTTAAGCAGCCAATCGGCGAAATATAGGTACATGAGGACTCGTCTCGCACGTGGTAGCGTCGAGGGATCGTCCTTTAGGCAGTATCGCCTTGTACCTAAGATGTACGCCAGGATATACTCGTCCCAACGGATAACGTTCGTGTCCATGTAAAACGTCTCTTTATCCGCGGGGCATAGTCGGTGTTGCAGGTCACGCAGATTGTCGTTACTACGGACAACAGTTCTCTCAGCAGAGCTCGAAAAAGCGTAGCAAGCTTTAACGAGCTGAAACTCCAAAAAAAAAAAGAAAAAAGAATCTCACCGGAACGTCCATTGTTTCGTGGTGTAATACTGGAGCACCCTCAGACCGGACTTTATCCTGGCCTGCACCCGCACGAGGAAAGGTTTGTTGCCGGTGATGATCAGTCCAATGTCCAGCAGGTAGGCGGGTATGAGATGCAATAGCACGACGACAAGCCAATGGCGGATCCTCGAGGAGGTGAGTCCTCCGCCAGGGTACCAGAGCGGCTCTACAAAGGAGATTACTCTATAAGTGTCTAACGTTTCCTAGAATATTGTATGAATATTACTAAATATTAAAATAATATTCTTATAATATTCTAAGAATGTTGTGTAATATCTGTTTAATATTACAGGAATATTCTCTATTGATGTTACACGTCCTACACTTCACATAATATTCCGGGCATGTTACAAAAATGTTCTTAGAATAAAAAAAAATATAAAATAATAATATAGAGAGAAATATATAAATAGAAAAAAATCGCCGAGTGTGATGTACTATAATGTCCGTGCAGCGGTTTAAGCGAATTAATTGAAAAAGGATTTGCCTTACGCGAAAACGGATTGGCGAGCATGTGCTTCTTGCCGGTTTCCAAAGCGTGGTTCCAAGAAATGAGGTTCTCCTCGTTCACGGTGACGTTCAGGAACAACGGCTCGACGGGCTTCTTCATGCCGACCTGCCAGCCCAGCGCGATCGTCGCGTTGACGGCCATGTCGCAGGGGATCATATTGATCATATAGTTCGAATTGCAGAGCATTGATCGTATGACTCCTTTTCCGGCGCCGATCATCAGCCCGGTCGGTCCTTGCAGATTATCCACCCAGCCGGGCGCCGGTTCCTTCCATGACGCCACCACTGGCAATAATCATCACAACGAGAGAGAGAGTGGGTATCGATAATGTCACATTACAGGGAAGAGAGAAGTCACCCTCTTTACCTATCGACGGCCGAATGACCCCTGCCGGTAATCCACATCTCGACACCACGTCCTCGCAGAGCGCCTTGCTGAAGGCGTACGTGTTCGGCTGATCGCCCAGCAATTCCGGTGTCATTATCTCCAGTATTTCATTCGTCATCGTGTTGACCGTCTGAATGATGCTTTCAGGCGCGACGGTGGTTTGGTAAGCGCGTTCCTCCAGCACCGGTTCGCCGCATTGGCAGAAGGATGTCGAAACATGGATGAATGATTCGAGAAGGGGCATCTGGAAAGGTAATGCATGCTGCTGCATTACGTTACATCTCTCGCGACCTATCTCTCGGATCTCGTCGAGCAAAGAGTGAACTCTTGTATTCTTGACATTTTGTCTTCGAGCCGGGAGACGTTTCATGTCTTTTTCTTTTTCCCCAAACCGGCCTTGCGGAAAATGTGACTATGTCGATCATCATTCTCCGCGAATGTTGCCACTCGTTATTGACGAATTTTAACGCATATACATACCGCGTCATGTCCCTATAAGCGCGTAATATTCCTAGAATATTATATTAATATTATTAAGTATTAAAATAATATTCTTATAATACTCTAAGGATGATATATCAAATTTTTTAGTATTCCAGGGATATTCTCTATTGATGTTGTATGTCCACGTCACATAATATTCTCGGCATATTATTCAAAATGTTCTTAGAATATTAAAAAACAATATATATATATTGTTTATTAGAACATATATATATATATATATGTGTGTAATAAAAATAATATATATATAGATATATAATTTTTTAAATACGAAACGTATCTTTACGAAATGTTACTTAATATCAAATAATATTACGCGCTTATAGGGGCCTATATCGACACATTATATTCGTTAGTCGTTAGAACGTTTATTTATCTGAACTAATTTCTCCTATCTATATAATTTTCGCTATTATCGCCAAACTATTCTTTCGAACGTATTTTATCTTCTTCCTCTTTTTCTCAATAGGGAGAGAGGGAAAGCTTGTGACCGTTTACCTGTTTCGCGAACGCTACAATATTCATGGTGCCCACGAGGTTCGTCCTGATGGCGGTTTTCAATGGCAGATCAAACTTGACGTCGGCGGCCATGTGAAAGACGACGGAGACCTGAGCCGTGAGGAGTTCCTTGTCCGCGTCGGACAGAGAGATTTCCTGCGCGGCGGTGTCGCCGGCCACCGCCGTCAGTTTCTTCAGCCGCTCCGGATATTCTTCCCGCAGTCTCCTGAACGGCTCTTGCTGCAAGCAGAATTTCCCCGTCGTGGTCGCGGCAACAATTCGCGAGGCTGGCTCGCGCGCGATCAGGTTTGACGGGCGATGCCGTCGCCCGCGGCACAACGTTCGCGCGCGCGCTTTCACTTCAGTTTCATTTAAAATCGTTTAGCATGTTTCCCGTGCGTGTATTAGCGGTCCATTAGCGGAACGCGATCGATCGCGTCGGAAAACACTGTCGTTTTTCCCGATTCCGCGATTGACGCACGCGACACATGCTATCGCGAATCAACTTGAGATCGCGGCGAACAGAACGCACGGGCGTGAAGGAAAGAAAAAGGGAAAAACGAACGGCCTTCAACGTGACTCTGCGACTCTGCGGACAGAAAAAGAATCCCTTGCGAAATATCTTCGCGACGGAGGAGCTCCCGAAGATAGAAATGATGTAATAAATCGCAAATTTCTGACGGTATGATCGGTGCCAAGGTGATTTACGACGTGCGGAAGAAAGAGACGATTGCACAGCACATACATAGTGTGTGATACGTCCCGTTCGCGTCGTAATCGTAATTTCCGTTCGAAATCCGACGATACGCGCAAAGACGAAGGACGTTTCGTGGGCGGGCTCAATTGGAAAAAGCTGTGTGAAAAGTGGCGCACAGCGACGAAGATGCGCCGAGGAAAATTCACGCGCGCGCGATTCTTCTTTCTACTCCCCTACACACGATAGTTTGAAAGTAACTCGAAAGTTCTTGGCCGAAACACTGAATCTTAATGGAAATGTGATGATTTTTCATACATGGTGTGCTCGGACACGACATCCGCGTGGGCGCGAATGGTAGAGGACTTTTTGATTCACTTCAATCCATTTTACGCCATCACGAAATTCGCGAATGTTTTTCCAAGACACTTTATATATACAGAAAGTGTCTAATGAAGAAACAAATGTAAAAGTTCAAAATATACAGGAAATGTCTTCTAATGGAGACAAGTAACTATTAGCGGGTGATTCAGCGTTTATATTTTTCTTTTCAGATAAATACTCGAAATAATCCGATTTTTTTACGAATGCTTTCTTCTAAACGTCTCATATCTCTTGTTACAATATTCTTGAATAATTTCACATAATTTTTAGTCGAGTAGTTTTGTTTTCTGATTCTTTTTAAACCTCGTACGGAATTAGAACCTCATATGGACGATAGAACACGTTATACGGATCTGAAAGAGAACATTTTTTTGTCTAATACAACATAATTCAAGGTTAGCTTTAAGATCATGCTAAAGATTCATCTTGAATCATGTTATACTGGACAAAAACACTTTCAAATGGTCCATTAACAGCGGAATAAGTTAAGCTAATTATGTTATACGACGTTTATCCTGTATATATAATACAATAATCATTAATTAATATAATATAATATGTAGTGCAATTTTGATAGCATAATAGATATGACTAAGGATCACCTTTGAGTTTAAAGCTTACTTTTGAATAATATTTTTAATATCATATTTACCGATAAATGATAAAACAATAGTAAATGATAGCACGATTCATGTTTATTTAAATATATGACATCACAGGACAGCATCGTATCAATTTGAGGTGAGACTTAAAAAGAATGAGTTTTGACTAAGAAATGTAGCTTAGGCCGCTGTGCGAACGTTAGGAAAAGCTTGGCATACAAGGTAACGTTTGCCGATTGCCACACAAGCGGAATTCGTTGTTGCTACAAGTGAAGAATCGTCAGTCTAATCGTCCTTTTTAAGAAATCTTCGAGACGAAAGAGGTTTCACCGAAGGTGTCGGCTGTCGCAACCACCCGTACGCTGTTGCTTGAATGCAGTTTCTATAAACTTTAATGAACTGAACACACGATACACACCGGATGAGAGGCAGCAACATTACCACCTATGCGTGTTGCAATCTGTGAATAATAATGTGTGCACTATTTTTAACCACATGTTACGAAAGCTGCATGCGCAGATAGGGAAGGAGAGAGAGAGAGAGAAAGAGAGAGAGAGAGAGAGAGGGAGGGGGAGGGAGGGAGAGGATGTGGGCGGAGAGAAAATTATTAGAAATAATAAATTTCAACTTCCGAGAAAATAAGTGCAACATATTGCAAAGTGTCGGGTAAGGTGTGTTGCGTATTTCGAAAAAATAACCGCAACACGTTTGTCAGGTAAAGCGTATTGCTTCATCATTGGCTCAAGCTATTTTAACGATAGCGCATTCAAAGGTGATCGTAATACGAACCCGTTATTATTATTTTTATTACTCAACGCACCGATAAGCGCCCCGCACATTCGCGGCCTCTTTCACGATCTACGTCGGACGTGAAATATTCCTTACCGATATTTATTCATAGGTAATTAAATTCACATGAATAAATATACGAGAGATATTTGTCGCATTATTGATTATTAAACGCGTGATATCCGTTGACGTCGTTGATAAACCGCACTCGAGTGTCTCGATTCTCATTTCCCCGGCATAAATGATCGAACTTGAAAGAAACGATACCTGCAGCATGAGATGCAACCTTGTTTGCGAATCGACGCCTTTCTTCTTCCTTATTATCAAATAAACATTGCCTACGTCGGGACAGCTCAGTAGCAATTTCGAGATTAGAACCTTCCCCATAAATCCGGTGCCTCCGGTGATGAGAACGTTTCTCTTGGAGAACCAATCGGCTATCGATAATTCCGGAGCCATTCTCGGGGGAGGACTGAAAAAATATACCGAGCGAAATATTTGCTTTTACAATCTTGAAGCTTAAGCTGAACACTCGCGCTGGAGCTACACTTTGTCTTGTCCGTCGATGTTGTTGCGATGTGAAATTACAATTGCACGAAGGATTATCAGATCACCAACTCATCGCGCACACTGAATTTGGTTTTCTTTTTTCTTTGCGTGTACCGTACTTGAAATTGAAGTTTTACGAGCGTCGGTTCAGTGTTCGAAATTCCGGGACCGTACACCAAAAAGTACAACGAGAAGCGAGGTAGACCGAAAGTTGAAATAACGATCGCACACACCACTACCCTCTCAGTCTCCAAATTCAAGTTCGAAAAATAGAATTGATCAGAACCGGAGCAGCTCGACGTTACATGCGTAGAGAAGAAAGTGAGATTCTGTCGCCTTCCATATCGCTTCAATCGATAGCACGGACTGAACGCAAATACGCGGTGGACTCCGACTTTATCCCTTTTACACGACTGACCGCCACACGATCATTTCTTCGCGTCTTTGTCCCGCACGATGCGGCGAACGAAATGTGTGACGGAGATTGCAGACTTTCAGGGTCTCACATTCCCTCTCATTCTCCTGCTATGCTCCTTCGTCCCCGCTGTAGTGGCGGGATCGAGTCACATTGGTATATGAATCTTTGCGGCATCGGTAATAAGGAAAATTCGTCGTCATTGCATCAGTGTAAAATTTCACACATGGTTAATTTTGTTTCGTGGTTTCGCAAGGTTTTGAAAGAGCCAAAAGTGGAATGTCCCCGAGTACCTTAAGTCAGTTAGTTATAACCTATTTACCTGTTGATTGAACATTTCATATATCGACGTCAAACACATATCTAAAAGAAAGAGAGAGGAAGGGGAGTGCAGATGATGCAAATGTTTCAATCCTATTGTTCAAAGATTTTTACATGCACACGGGACGAAGTGTTCTCGAAATCGGGCCTCATTGATCAGATGTAATATTATCAGCTAAATATTCGAAGGATATTTCCTTTCGACAATGATCGATCTGAGAGGTAGTAAGCTTAAAATATAAAATATTTCGCTTCATTACAAACTATCTGTTCCTCTTTCTTTCTCTCTTTCTTTCTCATTCTCTATAATTTTATATATGTATGTATGTATACACTAAATTTTTTCTTTAGAGAACGAACGATATTACACGTAACGCGAACGTGAGCTGGATTCGAGTCGAGATCCGGATTCGTGGCGTCGCTACTCGTCGTCTACATAAAAAGAACAATGAACAACCACCATCTCGGGACTTTCTGACGATTCAACGACCTTGCGGCTCCTCACAATACGTTATAGAATTAGATCCTACAGGTTTTCGGGATGAAATTTAAATACGAGTGAAATAATACCAGAAATAATCAATTAATACATGTCCATAACATCCTATCTAAATACAGGATATTCTATAAATATCCTATTAAAATACGAATAATCTTAATTCCAGCAAATTTGGATATATCCTATAAATATATATAAAATATTACGTAAAATATACATAAAATATAGTTAATATACATATTTATAGTTAATATTTATATTTATAGTAAACAACATATTTTGCAACATTTATGTGCAAATTATATCCGCATTTATATGCAAATTACTCGAAAGCAATTAATCAATAAGAATGACCGATTTCGAGTAAATTTAAGATCAAAGAATTATCCTCTGCCGACAGTACGATTCCGACAACGCGATCAGATATATGATCACGTTGAATGAATATAAATGTCCTGCTGATTTTGAAATATCGTCGCTCAGGTAACACAGTAATATTATGTGAAAGTCCTATAAATACAACAATTACGAATATTTAATATATTCATAAAATATAGTCTTATAAATATAACTATTACGAATATTTAGTATATTCATAAAATATACTAAAAAACATTTTGTTATACATTCGAGGTCTTGGAGTTAAAAAACTCATGCTCTCATGCGTGCACCCGATTTCAGTTTCTAATTAAATAAATTATAGGCCAGTATTCATAGTTTAAGATCGTCGTAAGTTCATCTTTAGATGCATTGTATGCAAATACATGCCAGTGAAACAATCCGTACAGCGCCTAAGAACTCAAGACAATCTTAAATATAAGATCTGACTATGAATACCGCCTATAGTGTATATATGTGTCCTATAAACGTCTCATATTCCTAGTTGTTCAAGGTCATTTCCAGGCCAAATTAATTTTTTTAAATAGTTTTTTTTTCATATAGTTTTTTTTTTTTTTTTACACAAATCGATTCCTCTGTCCATTGTACATTGCACGTATAAAAGTATTAAGGCAAGGTGATCTAAATACTTTTCGAATACACATACTTTTCGAGTTATTTTATTTTTTATTCTGATATCTTTCAGTACAAGATACAACAATATCTCATAAAGTATTCCTTTCCCGATATTATCACCTTAAAATGAAATACCCCGTATATATTTACGTTTGTATATTTATATATAATGCATATTTAAATATATCGCATTACACTTATATTTGATCGAAAAGCAGATAAATTATCGGTACAATGAAAGCAGTTTTTGTCCATGTTGTGGTAAAAGAGACCTTAACCAGCCACCAAATCAAACCAAGCAGAGTAGCTTGTAAGCCTAGGTGAGCAACCATCAATCTACAAACATAAACGTATTTATTAATGCTGTGTTAGTAATAATTAACAACTACCAATCAATTAAGAACTTTTGTACAACGAAATATACTTACATTTTATCTTTGGAACGTGCCTTCGGTAAAGATTCGGGAGACTCCTTACTCAGATATATTCGAATACCTTGTATTAAATCGTAGAAATAATCTATCCAAATCAACGACCTGATGTCCAAAGTGAAAAATTTCTTGTCATCCGGAAACAACGATTCGTGCAGTTGCAACATACGTAGATTATCAAATTTCCATTCATTGGAAATAAATCTTTCAAGAAGCCGTACTGATCTGTTAACGTTCGTGTGCAGGCGAACTAAACTGAAAAAATAGAAAGGATGTTATTAGAAAACTTTTGAAGTATTTTATACGGGAGCGGCATGGGTAGAAACTTACATTGGACGATCTCCGTATAATTTTATGATTGTGTCCAAGATGTACGCCGGTATAAAATGAAGAAAAATGGCCGAAATTCTGAATGATAACAACGACGATGAAAACTTGAAACCCGGATACCACACGGCACTTTTTAACGGATATTTATGCAACAAAACATTAACTTCTTTCCGCACCTCAATCCACCGGAGTGGATTGCACGTGCTTGATGTGCAATGGTATATCTTTAATCCTTTATCGCTGAAAATATATATTATTTTTCAGGAATCTTAAATATTAGAATCAAACGAATGCTTATAAGCAAAGCATACGCTTTTCTTACAACAAGAAAAAAGCAAAAAATATTTTTTCTTAGAATTACCTATCACGATCGACGGCATACGCGGCGACGATAAGGCTGTTTATTACTACATCTACTGGAATGCAATCGTAAGTAAAATGTTCTACAATTGGTAATCTCCTTATTACACCTTTGCTGATACCCATTAAGAAGCCTTGCAGCCCATTTTTCGATATTGTCCATCCCGGAATAGGTTCTTTCCATATTCCTGATACTAGATGTACAAAATTAAATCTTAAGTCCAATAATGGAAAATATAATTGTTGGATAAGTAACACAAATGTAAAAAAAAAACTCACTCATTGAAGGTCGCACGATAACCGCTGGTAATCCTCCATTTGCTACTTCATGTTCGGCTAAATGCTTGGTGAACGTATAAAAATTCGCATGGTTTTTCAGTATCTCCGGTGTTCGTGCTTCCAAGGCAGCAACATCTAATTCATTGACTAATTTTATAATTTCATTCGCATCAGCTGGCGCAGGATACAATATTTCATTAACATTTTGCTGCTCAATATTGACATATGCACTAGAAACATGAACCAATACCTATATATAAAAAAATACAATATTAGACAAAATTTAATAAGAAAATATGAAAATTAGTTTACTTATAAGTTGTATGATTGCAAATTAAATCTTATTTAGAAGTTGCTCTATAAAATTTTCCAAAATGTCTATGTAAAATATCAATATGCAACTTTTAGATGTACGTAGTATTCCATTTTAATTGTCCCGAGTGAATATCTCGAAAAAATATGAAAGATACTGAGATATGTTTTAGATAAAAGTCGTAGGATTTGAAAGGAGACATTAAAATGGGACATCTTATATATGTGAGCCAAGAAAGACTACGCTGCTGAGACTTTGAAAAATGCTAACGTACGACGATAAAAAGTAACGTCATGAATATAATTTCTCGCTCCAATGAGTAGTTTTGTCGCTGGTAATTGTTTAAACTTTACATATATAGTATATTTGCATATCTCAACTTTCTTATAGATTTGCACGGATTGATCGTTCTTGAACAATGAACAAAATACCAATTTACTTTAAGATCATTAATTTCTCGACACAGTTGAATAATTCTTCGAGTTCCCAATAAATTGATATTCGTCGTGGTTTTCAAATCAGCTTCAAAATCAAGCGTGGCGGCTGCATGAAAGACAACTTGCACTGTATTAATTAAAGTTTCACGATCTTCCGGAGATAATCCTAGATTTTCTTCGCCAACATCCCCGGTGACTGCGATTAGTTTCCTGAACAAGTCAGCTTGCTCCTTCTCTCGTAACATATTAAAAATCTACACATGGAAAATTACAATATAAGAGACGCATCGTGTGAGAAAACACATAAACAAATTATGATACGAAGACTATGTGTTTACATGACTATGTGTTTACATATATATTCTATGGTATAGTCTAGTGTACTCTAGCGTTAATTAATCACTTTTCTCACCGAATTTTGCGTCAACTCTATCAATCTTTCTGCGATATTTTTCCCCTTTTTCGGACGCATTAGCAGATAAATATTTTTAATGCCGGGACAGCATCTCAGCAGTTTTTCTATTAAGCAAACTCCAACAAAACCGGTGCCGCCGGTAATAAATATGCTTTTTGCACTGTAGAAATCCGTTACACGCGATGCCATTGTTTCTGGTTTTTTTATCCTTAACAGATCGTAAACCTTGCTATGTCATCTTTCAGATTACAAAAGATATACAAAAGATATTTCAACCTTAAACATCAACAGTACGACTTTTTGGTACAAACAAAATGTGATGTAAATATTATTGTCACGTTATTAAAACATAAAACAAAATACTTTTTTCAAAAAACGGTTAAAAAAGGAGCCAAGTGCACACGAATAACCGTTTTCTTTAAATATAAAAAAATTGTTTCCGAGAGAACGTTATTATATTAAATTAAATTTATTATATTAAACATTAATTCTGAGTTATTCCAATTTAATCTTACATTCACAAAAAATGATATTAAGAGGTTAACGCCTAGTGAAAATGAACGTCCTAAAACAAAAAAATTAGAACCTTCTAAAGACGCCCTAAATTTAAAAAATTATATTGTATATATATATATAATTTAATAAAAATATGTACAAGAAGAGCAATTTTAAAGAACTGGAACCGAAATAAATTGTAATTTAAACAGTACTTTCATTAACCGAGAAACTAAAACTGAAATCAGAACCGAAGCCGGAATCGTTATTAAATATCTTAACGAACCGATAACGGTATATTACCGAGCCAATATTTTCGTCTGATTCTTTATAATACATAAAACATGTAAAATGATGTAAAATTATTTACCTGAATTAAGAGAAGTAATTGTAACGATAAGTGCGAACGCAAGCGGCGCGGAAGTCAGTTGTCATGCAACTGCGGGCTCTATGTTGCTTCTCTCTGTGCTTAGGCGAACACTATGATGCTTCTCTCTGTGCTTAGGCGAACTCTATGATGCTTCTCTCTATGCTTAGGTAGTTACATTATTATTCGTGTTCACCTTTGTAACATTACGTAGTTTCTGCAAGTCAACATCAATTCTAACGCAAAAAGAATGATGCCACGGTTGACAAGTTCAGGATATTTCCCGAAAGATATTTTTAATGTCAAGACAGCATCTCAGCAGTTTTTCTATTAAGCAAACTCCAATAAAACCAGTGCCGCCGGTACTGAGATATTTTTGCAATGAGCGAAGATCACTTGGAAAAAGAATTATTATTCATACTTCTACTATTTGTTTGTCAAACGTATAACGCATTCGCAATACGCGTCAATAGGTTTACTTGTCGAGGAAAACTAAATTTCAAGCCGATATATTCATAATTAATATTGGTACTTATATTTAAAATCGTGTTGAGTTCATCTTCAACATAATCCACCAAAATATCGCTACACTTGGAAATTCTTATTCGATCATTAACAACGCTAATCATGGCTAGGAAAAGGATAGGACCCGCTATAGAGTAAAAATCACAAAGGGATTCATTATGAGATGAGAAGATGCAAAAAATAAAATAACAGTAATTTTTCATTTAAACCAAATTATTTAATATTAGTTTGTTTTATCTTGCTTGTTTGTATCAATATAATTTAGTTGTATATGATATTTTGTAATTGTATATGCATATAAAATTATATATTATATACATAAAGATGGCCGAATTGTCCGTTCTTATCTAAATAGTTTTACTCGTAAACATAGCACAGAACAGAACCAAGAAATCGTGCGCATAGCACGGAACAGAATCAAAAAGCTGTGGATACTGGTTTCGCAGTTCGTATAAAAACACTTCAAAATAAAATAACAGCTTTATCGCGGCCATGACTACTTTCAGGCCTTTCTCTGGTATATGTATACGTATACATATTGCGTGATGTACGCTGCATCTTTTAATTAGAGTTACTTATGTCATTTTCAACTTCTTGAGAGTTACTTATGTCATTTTCTACTTCTTGAGAGTTACTTATGTCACTTTCAACTTCTTGCGTATATGGTTTAGGACAGAAAATCATATAATTATTTTATTGAAATTGTTATAATATTATTATTAATATTCTTGAAATTGTTATAATATTATTATTATTAATATTATTAATAACGAAAAAAATAAAATTAGTCAAACAGAAAGCGGCAACCGTCTTACTAAAATATTAAGTGTCATTGCGAAAAGACTAGGCATTGTATTGTGAGCATTGCTATATATATATATATATATATATATATGTGTATGTATGTATGTATGTATGTATGTATGTATGTGTGCAGAGTTTATCACTATTATAGACCACTAAAATATAAAATATTTATCCACTTATTTGTAATCTTCTGGCAGCTACTATATTGGTACTTATTACAAGAAATGACTACTTACCTATTAGTGGTACAATTTTTTGAGAGAGAAGGACAAGCCAATATTGGTATAATAAGCAGCAATTGGATGACACCAAGTAAGCGAAAATGCTTTTGTTAAAAACTGCAGTAGTTAGTAAGTTTTTATTTTTATTACTACATCATATGCGGGATTGAGAAATGTATACTAACTAATTGCAAAATATATTGGAGATACCGTGAAAATCTGCTATTCAGATGTAACCGACCGCGACGTGGAGGAATTGTGAAGATATGGTTAAAGCACGCACCGCAACGTTTTAAAACTTTGCAAAACAAGATTGTCACTAATAACTAATAAGCTATTACCTTTGTTTCTGATATTTATAACGGGAAGATATACACAACGCGATAACACACATCCACTCACATTGGCCGGTGCCTACAGTCTTTCCGCTGGATCACCGATTAGAACATTTTATATTAAATTAGCCAATTATCTATATAGGCTATCGGAACCCGCCGATCTATAATAATGTGCTGTGAATATCACGTCCAAAAACATAACGTTTAATTTGTTAAATATTAAGAATTATATTGAAGTATATAACGTCGCCTGAAGAAATGCTTTCCTGAGATTAATCGTTTTACGTTATTTACTTCTGATAATTAGTATTAATATGTTTAATAAGAAACAAAAATAGTTTTACAATATATTTAATATCTTCCTCTACTACATACAAATAACGTATCAAAAAATGATATATATATATTAAGCCATAAATTTTATTATATATATATGTTTAATGTATATTTAAATATATCACCTTATAATTGGTCGAAAAGCAGATAAATTATCGGTACAATTAAACCAGTTTTTGTCCATGTTGTGGTAAAAGAGACCTTAACCAGCCACCAAATCAAACCAAGCAGAGTAGCTTGTAAGCCTAGGTGAGCAACCATCAATCTACAAACATAAACGTATTTATTAATGCTGTGTTAGTAATAATTAACAACTACCAATCAATTAAGAACTTTTGTACAACGAAATATACTTACATTTTATCTTTGGAACGTGCCTTCGGTAAAGATTTCGGAGATTCCTTATTCAGGTACATTCGAACCCCTTGCGTTAAATTGCAAAAATAATCTACCCAAACCAACGACTTGATGTCCAAGGTGAAAAATTCTTTGTCATCCGGAGACAACGATTCGTTCAATTGCAACATATGTGGATTATTGAATTTCCACTCATTAAAGATAAATCTTTCAAGACGCCCTAATGATTTGCTGACGTTTGTGTGCAGGCGAACTAAACTGGAAAAAATAGAAAAGATATTGGGGTTTAGTAAAAAATTTTCGAAATATTTTATACGAGACATGGAAACTTACATTGGACGGCCTCCGCATAATTTTGTAATTGTGTCCAAGATGTACGCCGGTATAAAATGAAAAAAAATGGCGGAGATTCTGAATAATAAGAGCGACGGTAAAAACTTTAAATGTGGGTACCACACGGCACTTTTTAACGGATATTTGTGCAAAAAGATGTTAATTTCTTTCTGCACCTCAATCCACCGGAATGGATTGCACGTGCTTGATGTGCAATGGTATATCTTTAATCCTTTATCGCTGAAAATATATAAGTTATTTTTCAGGAATCTTAGATATTAGAATCAAACGAACGCTTATACGCAAAGCATATGCTTTTCTTACAATAAAAAGAAGCAAAAAAATAGAATTACCTATCACGATCGACGGCATACGCTGCGACGATAAGGCTATTTACTACAACATCTACTGGAATGTAATCGTAAATAAGACGTTCTGCAACTGGCAATCTCCTTACAATACCTTTACTGGCGCCCATTAAAAAGCCCTGCGGCCCATTTTTCGATATTGTCCATCCCTGGACAGGCTCTTTCCATGCTGCTGTTACTAGATGTACAAAATTAAATCTTAAGTCCAATAATGGAAAATATAATTGTTGGATAAGTAACACAAATGTAAAAAAAAAACTCACTCATTGAAGGTCGCACGATAACCGCTGGTAATCCTCCATTTGCTACTTCATGTTCGGCCAAATGCTTTGTGAATGTATAAGGATTAGGATGGCTCTTCAATATCTCCGATGTTTTTGCTTCCAGAGCAGCGATATCTAATTCATTAACTAATTTGATGATTGCATTTGCATCAGCTGGCGCGGGATACAATATTTCATCAACATTTTGTAGCTTGGAATTAACATATGCGCTAGAAATATGCACCAACGCCTAAACAGTAGATATTAAAAACGCAATATTAAAAATAAGTTTGATACGAAAATGTAAAGATAAATTTAACCATAAGTTACACGGTCACAAAATAAATCTTGTTTAAAAGCTGCCACAGATAATTTTTCAAAATATCTATGTGTGTGTGTGTGTGTGTGTGTGTGTATGAAATATCAGTGTGACTTTTAGGTGTATATGTGAATCAACAAATTGTGTCAATGAGACTTTTGTTTATTAGACATATGCCAATGTACGAAGACAAAATCTATGCACTTATTCATAAATTCATTACATCAATAAGTTGCCTTCGTTGTCCATAATTGCGTAATCTTCACGTGTACATTTGCATATCTCAAAATTCCCCTTGACTCGTATAGGTCTGCTATTATTAAACAAAAAACAAAATACCAATTTACTTTAAAATCATTAATTTCTCGGCACAGTTGAATGATCCTTCGAGTTCCCAATAAATTGATATTCGTCGTGGTTTTCAAATCAGCTTCAAAATCAAGCGTGGCGGCTGCATGAAAGACAACTTGCACTGTATTAATTAAAGTTTCACGATCTTCTAGAGATAATCCTAGATTTTCTTCGCCAACATCCCCGGTGACTGCGATTAGTTTCTTGAACAAATCAGTTTGCTTTTCCTCTCGTAACCTGTTGAAAACCTATATAGAGGAAATTACGAAATATGAGTTATGTACTGTACAACAACATAAATTATGGATATGATTAGACCGTATAATTATATATATATTAGTTTCGATTAACTAGTAAAAAACTTACCGAATTTTGTGTCAACTCTGTCAATCTTTCTGCGATGTCTTTCTGCTTCTTCGGGCGTATCAGCAAGTAAATATTTTTAATGTCAGGACAGGATCTCAGCAGTTTTTCTATCAAGCAGATTCCAACGAAACCGGTACCGCCAGTAATAAATATGTTTTTTTCATTATAGAAATCCATTACAGGCGATGCCATTTTTATAACCGGTTTTCTACCGGATCTGAAAAAAAAATGGATTATCTTTCGTCGCCTTTCAAATTATAGAATCAATCGTGATAATATTTTCGATTTTTGTTTTATCTCAGTATATAGTAAAAATGTCTTCTCTTGATATTTCAAGGCGAAAAATGTTTTTGAACGTGTTATTGATTACTGGGTCTCAGAAAGCACATGTTAGTTGTACAACGTAAGGTGTAATAACCTATTATACGAGTAGATATTTCAAAAATGTGTATGAAAGTAATTGTATCACCTGTCATCTCTTATTTAAAATCGTCTTTAGTTCATCTTTAGATGCTGTGCGGATCGTTTTGTCGACTATGGAATATCTGAAGGTGAACTTTTAACACGAATAAAATATAATATCACATATATCATAATTTCTTTTGGACTTGCATAGCAAAAAATTTCAAAAAATATAAATGGAATTCGTTCGCGAAGAAACTGTCAGGATTTGAAGCAATAACGACACGACTGAATTTCGTGACTAAAGTTCGAGACGCCCAAAAGAATATAAATCAATCAACTAACATTTTATTACAATATACACTTAACATTTTAATACAATAATTTATTAATACGTATAATTGCAATCAGAAATCATCTAGACGATCATTTTAAGATCCTCGAGCTGATTGGTTGACTCGCTTTGTCGTTTTCGCATTCATTCATTCACCCGAGCCAAACTTACGACAGAGATTGTACGATGCTTTTGCAATTGGCTGTATTCCGAAATATGCAGAAGATGGCTGAAAATCTACAGTTCACGTCACGTGTGCTATGGATTTTCAATACTGTCAGTACTTCGAGCACATTTTTCGGAATGTAATTATAATTTAACTACGAATTTTATTGATTACGAGTCACTTTCTTACTAACCGGCTTTTCGAGTTACAACATATGTTTACCACACGCAGGTTTCACTTGACGTTCACAACGAGCGTCAAAAGTTCTATCTTCGTTTTTCGCTTGATGTTAAATAAAGATAAAATATCGGCGCATGTGTCATTGCAAGCTCGGTTAAGTGAAGAATCCGATTCCACATATCACTCGAGTTTAATGATAATTGCCCAAGAGATATGAACAAATTACATTTCTGTATCCCCCGTGTAACACGTGAAGTATGCGGAACGAAATATTTACCTGAACTACGAAAGTAGCTGGAACAACGTAACACGAGAGCGAGCGATGCGGAAGTCGGTTTGCGACTGTGAGCGCTGCGATGCTCCTCTTTCCCCACTTAGGCACACATACATACCATCGCCCTTCTTCGACACGAAGCTTCCTTTCCTCTTTCGCACTACTGCGCAATCTCTGCAAACCAACTCCGCCACCACGACAACGCAGAAAAATTATGTCATGCCTGGAATATGAGAAAATTCACGACACTTCTCTCGAGATATATTTGCGAAGTGAGTGAAAACTGCATAAAGAGAGAAATTACTCGTAAGGTAACGCGGTCTCAGTTATGGATCGAGTCCCAATTTCGGATCAAATTTAATTCATTAATTTAATATGTTAAAAAAATACACATATATAATGAAAGCAAGGGGAAATATTTTTTTATATATTTCAGTTCACATATATAGAGATGAATATTAAAAAAAATATAAAATATTACAATAACATTAAATAATACTGTTTTTTTAATATTTTTAGGAGTGAACATATCACATGGCGGACATGGTACAGCATCTGAAAATGAACCAAAGACGGTCTCGAACACGAGATCCCAAGCAGTATATTTTATACACGTCTTTGAAACGTACATATAGCAAACGTTATAAAACGTTACGTTATAAAAACACGTACTACCTGGGATTTAACAAAAAAAAAAAAATCGCAGGACTTTGTCCACTTCCGCGCGGAAACTCTTCCCGCGTGATTTAACAAAAAATATTTAAAACACTTTTTTTGCCTGGAAATATATAAAAAATACTATAATTTTATTTGACTTTGAGCATAAACATGCTGTTGCGTGTTATATAAATACATAGCAAGAAATCTCGACGTCAGCATGAAAAATTTAACATAAAAAACAGAATATTTACTCGTATCCACATTCCAAGTTGTATGCGGGTTGATTTCACCTCGCGCCTCAGAAATATCCTTACTAAGCGTGCAATATCATTGCCGTGCAGGTGTACGATATGCGTGAAAACAAAGAGGGGGAGTCGATTTTGGCACACGGCAGCATGCTTTTCATATCATCGAGATACGCTGAGCTATGACTCAGGTGATTTTTAACTCGTGCGAGTTAACGTTCTTGCGTCACTATGTGCCGCTTGTGCAAATTCGAAACGTAAACTTTCTGTTTTGTTTGACAATCGCAGATGTTCGTGCAGTTCTTGTTTGCTTACTTTTCTGTAACACATATGCGCTACTTTGTTCCATCGCGAAGGAAGCAAAAAGGCGCATTTACGAATGTCAGTCAAATATATTTGCATCTCACGCTACGCGTTTGCGCGTTTCTATCGTTCAAAATGTTATGAAACTCGTATTTTGATTACGTGTCTCACGTATTTTCATGACTTATACCGTACGATCGAATGATCGAAATAAACAGCCTTGATTGTATTCGAGGAAACACTTTCCATTTAATAGCGGAGAATTGAGCTGCTTTCGCAATGAAAACAGCGTGGTAACGGAGTAGCGTGAAACGATTGCGGCAATGTCATGTTGTTCGATTCATCACGCGGAAGAGGACAAAGTTCTGCGATTTACGAACTCTAAGTCCGTCACATTCCTCAAGCCGATAAAATTGCCGAACGCTTTTCAGTTTTCCAGTTCTCACAAGACGTACTATTGTTTTTCTTTTTTTAAATATCGGGTGTCCGCTACAACAGCAAATACTACAACAACAAAAACTATTCAATAAATGAAAATTATTTCTTCTTAAATCGCACTTACAAGGTCATTTGAGAATTTTTTTCCCAAAAACTCTCCTTTCCTTCTGATAATAAATTCAGTTCAAACTCAAATTATCCTATAGTATCCTATTGTGCAAAAGGATTTTTAATCTTGTACAGCCGATAACGAATATAATGCTAATGATTTTGCAAAAAAACCGGACGATTCCAGGATCCCCTTAATTAAACAAGCCTTTATACATGGCCATTTTCGATAATTAACAACTCTTACTTTGTATGTTATTTGCAAAATGGTAAAGAATTTTTCCGCTTATCTCAATTCATTCGTGAAGTTTTTTCATGTTGATCTGGGAGACGCTGTATAAAAGTCATGTAGATAATAATTTAAAAGTTATGACAATAAGAAAAGAATGCATTCTAGTATTCGAATTCAGTAATATCTGCTGGTCGATAATGTCGGTGTTTGCCAAGTCGGTCGAGTATTTTTTTTATTTCGAAATCCAGTCGGTGACGTCAATTAACAATAATTTTTGATTAGTCACAGCTCTAAAAGATAATTATACAACGCTCACATCATCGACCTTTACTTTTGATCATTCGGTATACATTTATCGTGCGCAATAGAAACTCAAAAGGAAGGGAAAGCGTAATAATAAAATACTTTTATTACATCAATCTGATGGTATGATTGTTTTTGCACTTCAAACTTCAAAATGCTTCTTGAACGATCTCGAAAGCATCGTTATTGCGAAAATTACAGCCTGTTGAATTTCGTCTGTTTATTACAATGAAAACTATGCCTGACCAGCCCTCGAGTCATACTACTTGAAAAATAGAAGTACGGCTGACTCCATCGTATAGTCATATCACGACTTCAGTTTCTCATTAAATATAGTGACGACACGTAGCGGAGACTCTGGAACTAAATTATGGAAATAACAGGTCTAATAATTCTGTACACCCGTTATTTTTGTTCAGTATTCTGCTTAGAAATAATAGGTTTACGGAATTATTAGACCCGTTATTTTCGTAATTTAGTTCCAGAGTCTCCGCTACTAGTCACCACTATACTTAACGAGAAACTCAGGTCGTGATATGACTGAACAATGAAGTCAGACATACTTTTATTTCTCAAGTAGCATGACTCAAGGTTTGGTCAGGCATACTTTCCATTGTAATGAAACATAGGCGAAATTCGACAGGCTGTAACTTTCGCAATAATGATGCTATCGAGATCGTTCAAAAAGCACTTTAAAGCTTGAAGTATTTAGTTTTTAACCACATTGGCTATATTAATGTTGTTGTTAATTTTCGTCAAGATATTTCGAGTTAAACGAAAAATGGCAACCGCTCAATCTCAAGCCTCGTCTTTCAGTTAAGTTTTCAGAACGAAACATTATTTGAAGTCGAGTCGAAAATGTGATACAGGCGTTTTAAAGAGAAAACTTTAAACTTTTTGTGTATTTGTTAACGAATGTTGTACGTACTTTTGGTTTGCTGGAAAACATTGCAAGTTAAACTCGAACGTATTTAACTACAGCACAACTTCGTCGCGCGAGACAGTCGAGCGCATCGTGCAACTCGATTAATCGAATGATATGAAGCAGCCAGGGAGATAGACAACGATAGCTCAGGTATTCGATGGAAAACTCGGAAACGATGTTTTAAGTAAAAAATATCGGCCAGAGTATTTGTACCGTCTCTGAGAACAGGTGTTAATATTTGACGATAAATATCGGTGTACGTTTGTTTGCAAAGTTAAGTTAGACCACGTGATAACTACATATGAAAAGTATGCGGTGGATGTGAACTTACCTGGAAATATGACTCTGCTAATAGAACTTGTTTATTCAATCGCGACTCGGGAAAAAAAGATCATATATGTAAAATTTGCTCGTATATAATTATATATAATCATGGATGTCCGCAACGAGAAAATGCTGCTGTTTATACATTATATGCAAATGCAATCGAGATAAATGCTTCGGGCTACTTGCGATTTCCAGACAGCACGTAATATCGACATTTAATCAAATGACATAACTTACTTTTTTCGTATAATTATATATAATCATATATAATCATTTTTTCCCGGGCTCGAGTTTATTTCTTTTAAAAGTTCCTCGGTATTCCAGATGCGAAGTACGTTCTTCACCTTTGCATGCTTTGGAGCGGCGTTCTTTACTGAAAATTCCGAATATAACGAGAATTCGACGATGTCCGTTCGTCTATCCGAAAACGCCTCCGCAAACGCGTGCAAGCGCGTTGACACAGAAAGCTACCCGTGGAAGAACGCGACGATTATTCTGAGGTCTCTTGATTCTTCAAATTACAACCTAGTTCGAGTTGGGAAGACCTTCGATCGAAAAATCGCGGAAGCGCGTATGACGACAACGACGATGCTCACTTAGCGAGTACTTCTCAGATCCTCCCCACACAGCGTGTCCATTTAGTTGTTAACCTATAAGTACGTAATATTATTTAATATTATTGTAATATTATATATTTTTTGAATATTCAACTCTATGTATATATATAATATACATAATTGTAGTTTCTTTATTCCAAATGTGTGTATTGCAATACTAATTGTTTTACTATATAAATAAAGTTAAAAATAAAGTTTTATTATATAAATAAAACTAAATAAATTATCGAAATAATTTTGTGTAAAAATGTGTATCATACTAAACAAATTACATACACACACATATATGTTTCGTGGTTCCGCGAGACGCGCTCCGCTCTTGAGTCTCGCGCAGCCCAGTGCGCTAATTCAGCAACTTCAAACGGCTCTCGTTCAAAAGCTATCCTTCGAACGAGATTTTTTGGTTAACGAAAAGTCGTCTCCTCGTTCAGTTCACCGAGAATCTCTCGGTGCACTCCGCATGCGCTCATCCCAGTACACCCTGTACATTTACAGAAAGGGCGAAACGGCACAGCAGATGCGACACGCGCAGGGCGAGCGCTCGGCGAGCGGGAGGGAGAGAGAGAGAGAGAGAGAGAGAGGAAGAAAGAGTAAGAGAGAGAAGGAAATAGAGAGCAGTGATTTCCCGCGCGCAGCAGTTGGCCGGCCTGCGGGTATTTGGCAGTTCAGCGAAGATGGCGGACTCGGTTGGCATGCGACGGATATTGGCTGTGAGGCGGCGAGGACGCGAGAATTCGGCGATTCTGTGCTGAAGTGGATACTGCCAGCGTCGGTGGTGATCAGCGTGGGCATCGCGCGACGAAGCAGGTGGCCCCGCGATCGCGTAGGTAAGTGCGACATTGATTCTTTCCGCGATATACGAGGCGATGCCGATGCGGAAAGGAGTCGCCGCCGCAGCAGCCGCCGCCGCTAGCCGCGCCTATTACCGTATGCGACTACTTCGCACCCTCTGTGCCTTCCTCCGTCGCTTTATTTCCGTTTCGCAATCTCGAGACCGTTCTCCCACTCTCTCGCTCGCACGAGCAAGTGTCCGTCGCTCCCGTCGGTTAATCCGTCCGACTTCTCGCCCGACGCAACCCTTTCACCACCTCGATGTGAGAGAGAGAGAGAGAGCGAGCTTTCGGCGGTGGTACAGCGAAGGACAGAGCGGGGTAGTGGTGTTTTGAAAAATCGACCAAGGCTGTGCGAACCGTCCCGCGTTCGGTCCTTCTCTCTTCGGCCAGCCGTGGGCCCCCGGAGGCCGGTGCATGTCATCCCAGGTTCACGAGCATCTCTTGCGGTTCTCCTCCGCGGTCTCTCGCTCATCGCAACGGGAACGTGGTGGTGCCGTGGAGCGAGCGAGCTGGTTGCTGACCGCGCCTCCTCGCCGGCGCCGCGCTCGGGTGAAACAGCCTCCTCGCGCCGGGACCCGGAGCACGGATACGCCTCGCTCTTGCTCCGCCGGTTCGTCCCTTCTCTCACCGAGCCCTCTCGTCGGCGGCCTCGAGCTTTTCGTCTTCAGTCCTCGTTTCTCGCCGTCGAAGCTGGCGAGTCGGGACGTCTGTTGTTCTCAGCCGCGCCTCCTGTGCGTCCCTCTTCCCCTCGTCGTCGTCGACGTCGATCCTCTCTCTCTCTCTCTCTCTCTCGGCGATACGCGATATATGTGTGTATACATTGATGTATACATTGCTCAATGTATTGCTCAATGCATATTTTGCTCAAGTACACGGGAAGAATACACAGCGCGCGCGCGCGCAGTTGACAAGAACAGAGTCCTCGATCGCGCCGATCGGGCCGTCCCGGTGCAAATTACCGATGCGTCGGGGATGTGTCAGGGTATGTTCCGCGACGTGCCATCCGCGTCTCGCATCGTTCCCTCCCTGCCTTTGCGTAGTAGGAGAAAAAGAATTAGTCTCAAATCAAGAATAAATATTCTCATATACGTATAAGCGAAAATGTCGTAATCTCCTTGGAAGATTTCTAGTCTTTTGAATTGAATTCAAGTGATACCCGCGTAAATATAAATTCAGTCAAGTCGAGACTGAAAAAAGCTCCCTGAGAAGATTACGATATTCTTGTTTATATATGAGAATAACTATTCTTGATTTAAGACTCATTTTCTTTCCCGTGTAGCGGGAGGACTTTCCGGGCTTCCCCGTGATTTCTCCGCTACTTCCGCGACACACCGTGCAACTCGGAAACGCGGAAAACGGCGAGTTCGGCGCGATATACTTCGAGTGCTTCCTTCTTACGGGTTGCAACCTTCCTCCTCCCCCTCTCCTACTGCCGACGCCGGGTCGTTTGCGATTTTATGGTTTGTTAGGTTTTCCCTCTTTTTTTTTTCTTCCTTTTGTCTCTCTCCTTTTTTTCTTTTAATCTCACATCGGTAAGTCCGCGGAGAAACCTGATCGATATACGGCGTGTCACTTCCGTGTATGCCTCCATTAGCGAGTCGACAGAGAGAGAGAGAGAGAGGCGAAAACTCGCAACTTGCACATGTAACTCTTTTTTTCTTCCTCGCTTTTTCTCTCTTTCGCTTGCCTTGCTTGCAGTAAATTTCGATCTCTTTGTCCCTGACATGTGTCCGATTCATGCTTGGTCGGATATTAGTGACATTTACGAGCCGATTCGCAGTACCTTCGAGCGCACTGCGTTGGTTGCATCTCGTTGCAGTGGTTGCCGCACCGTCTCGCTGTCGCAATTCTCCTTTTCCCTCGTGCGTCGAATTCTTGACGTTGGCACATTTGCAAATTTACGGTCTACGCGAAATATCACAGACTTTGCATTAGTTTCTGCGCATATTTACTCAGTTTGTTAAACAAATCTTTAATTCTTTATATTCGCACGTACACAATGTGTCGCAATCATAACCGGAAATCTGAATAATGGCTCGAAAAACAATTTGCGACACTTTACGCAGACTATTTCGCATTCCTAATTGAAAAATGGATATCTATTTTGATATGTTTCGTTACGTTTGCCAGATGAAGAGGATATATTTCCATTGCCATTCGTGTGTCGTGTTTTTCTTCTATTTTGTTAACGCAATACACATAAAATGGTTTATAGTAAAACTGAGTGCGCTTAACAATTCAAATTCACGTTTGTATTGCCAGTGCATAGAAAGAAAGAAACATTTCTCATGAGTTGGCTAATTTCATTTATACCACTTCTAAAACTATCCATTCGAAATATCATGAGATATAACACGAAAGCTCCCCACCTTGTTTGCCCCGTTGTGTGTAAATGTTGCGAAAGCGCACGTTTTATTCTGGAGTTAGCGAAGCGCAAGAAAATTTTACCAGGTTACCTTTCGTCGCGAGCTTAAGTCGTTCGATTGAACGATTCCGCCGCTTTAAAATAATGAAATCGCATGATATAGCGAATAACTCCGCGGATAATCCGATAAACTCGCATGATTAACCTTTAACGCTCCGCTCCGCTACGGAGACATTCGTTGTTTGTTCCGTAACTCAACAATATGAGTCAAGTTATTGCTTTTTTAAGAAAATCAAATAAGTGGTTGCGCAAACTTTCTGAAAAATGGAAATATCTATTATAAATTCATATATTTTATATAAAACTGTACAACATAATAAAAATGAAAAAACACTGGTGCATTTACAATATCGAAAAAATGCGCGGAATGTAAAAAGTTAATAACGCGCAATCATTGCTATATTTAAAATGTTCGCGGAGTTTAATATATTCGACACGACGCCGAGAAGATTAACATTTTTCCTCGTGTCCATTGTTTATGTTGGTTAATATTTAAAATATATGTTGGTTGAGACCTTCCGGGTTATTGAACATATAAACGGATACGTATACTGAGAAAAAGATTTCTTCAGATTTAATCAAGTTTATCACATTTAAACAAATTTCATCATTGTCATGCTCCAGAGAAACTAATATTTCGATTAATAAGTTTCGATTGTTAGACTTTCCAACGGATATGTATCTTTATTTTAAATAAAACATTTGTTTGAAACGAAAGATAATTTTCTTAAGTATTAAAAAAAATTGTGTCTAGCGTCGGAAGCTAAGATATTCGCAACTAAAGATAACACCTTTTACACCGTTTTTAACCTTCTAACGACAAGATGGATTTTCAGAACGTATCCAGTAAGGTTTGGCCTATACTCTGTTTTATTCATTTTTCATTTAATCAATGTACAAAATGAATAAAAAAAGTAAATAACGTGAATCTTTTGATTTAAATGATTAAGCTGATTTTAAATAACTGCAATAAAACGAAAAACACTTAATGATTAATTGCCCCTAAAATAATTTCTAAGTACTAGAAGTGTAAATTGCCTCAATTTCAAGGTATTTAATATTTATGTTTATGACAATTTTATGTTTATGATAATTAATATATAATTTTTAAATTAATAAGGATTAATTAAATTAATATAATTATATATTATGAAATGATTGAAAAAGCATTGCAGTTCAATATGATAATCGGGCTTAGCTGTCAAAAGAAAAGTTAACACTAAAACATCTCCTCTGCATTGAAATTGTCGATTTCATCATTGCCGTTGGATAAAATATTGTTATCCATACTTTTGAGTAGGTTTCATCTGGATTCTTATCCAAATCTTCGTCAGAATCTTATCGACATCTTTGTTCTTGGGATCTATTTAAGAGTAATAAATCGTGTTTTCCATTCCATGATTAGAAAGAGAAGATAAAGTGAGAATAAAGTGAACTTAATTTTAAAAAATCTATGACTTTAATAGTAAGGTAGGTTTATGTAGGATCCGCTATTGGAGGAATCCCGACATAAACAAGAATTAGGACATCCTGTCACTCACCCGAACGACCTTCAACGATAAGACAAACTAGAGAACGAATGGAAAATATGTTAGCCGAGACCACGTGACCTTAAATGAGACAGACTGTAAAATAAACGAGCATCCGTAGGGTCGCATCCGACCCCAACTTTGTTGGTAGAAGGTTGACATCGCCACGGTTGAAAATTTTCTCTACGACTACCGTAAAATCGTCTCTTGCGGTCTCATGTGTGCTATACCATTCCTTAGATGTAGAGTCACACGATGAGCTTTATATATAAAGTTAACCTAGTAGAGAGCGTTGCATCAACACATCAAGCGGTATGTCGGAATTGCCGCTGCAAAAGCACTTCTGTCAGAGAGCGAGCCTTTCTTTTATTCGAACAATCAATGAACAGCCGCAAAATTTGACACAGAGCCAGTCATTTTAACCTCTTTTCTCACGATTTTATCAATGTTAATTTTACGACTATTTATCGTTTTAAACAAGGACAGTTGCAGCGACTACTCAAGAACCTTAATAGTAAAAAGTTTCAAGGGAATAATGTAGCACACATGATATAATTGAATTTTTTCCTCTTATTATCAACGTTACATACATACGACAACAGATTGCACAAATAAGATAGTAACATTATTTGCCGCCCGGAAACATGATTTTAGACGAGTATTTATTTTCCTACGCAACCTTTCTTTTCAATTCTGCTCATAAACATAATCATAAGAAACACATTTTTTGCCTCGGTATTTGGCCTTTACGATTCTCGAATCTCCAAAGGTCTCGAGTTAGACAAGAAATTTGAGAAAAGGCTGTAATGTACGTGGCATAAAATTTAATCAACGATTGACAGGTGAATTTGATTAACTCCTTGACATAAAATGACGTCAGGGAGACGTCGTTCATTTTATGTGCCATTCTAGACTTTGACGTCTTCGAGATGTCAAGAACTGTCTCCGGCGGACGCCGTGCAATATATTATTAGATTATTCAATTGTTTCACTTGTGTGTCGACTCTGTTTTGTTTAGAATGTTCAAGATATTCCCTCCTTATCAACAGTACCAATAACAAAATCGCATCGGCAAACCAATAAATCAGAAAGAAGTACATTGAAAGCAGTATTCAGTATAGCAGTGATCTCGCACGGCGAATGCCATACTATATATTTTAATTTTTGTAAAAATTAGAAATAATCCTTGTAACATGTCTGAGTCGAATGTATTGTATGAAAATGGCGATTGGCAGTATAAAAAAGTTCTGCTTCTAAACTTGCACATAACTGTCCATTGAGCAAAATTAATTAGTATTCTTCGGACGCATCAAATTCCATTTTATTTGTATGTCAAAGGATTAAGCACGTAAAAACAACTTCGTTGACCTCTGCACGTTTGAAAGATAGTTTGAGGCGTTTGATGTTTTGTCGACTGATCTAAGTTTCGCGTCGCCCGAGTTAGATCGCGACAACAATCGGTTTATCTCGCAATTAGAAAGGCGATCTTGATCACGGGGCTTCCATTCTTTCTTGTCACTCTTGCCCGACAAAAGGATATGGAAAAAGTCTTTCGCACGCATACGCGATAGGATCGGGTCATGTAACGCGTGTATCGCGATGAGGTGTACGGTTCGCGCGATCGCGGAGAGCTCGTAGAGTGGGAGAGAGAGAACGCTCCGTTCTCTATCAGGCCGGCCAGGTATAAGGAACTTGCGTTAGTTGCAGGTGGGCTCAGTACATGTTTCGTTTCACGAAGGAAGTCGATTCATCGCGCCTTATCATCGCCAGCCGACCGAGTAACAGAGAAAGAGAGAGAGAGAGAGAGAGCATTCCTGCGAGTTAGCAGATACGCGCTCATCACGCCGTCGTTTCGATCGACGAGCCGTCTTTTCGTAATTTTGTTCGTTCGACAAACTGAAGATACAAACGCGTGAGATGCGGTCGCCGAGGTAAGCGAGAAGAACTCTGTTCGAGAGATAGACAATTGATATTTGCGTTTGTGAATCGCGGGCACACGGCGACTGGCGCATTTCGCTCTCCGCGACGAATCGAAAATCGGCGAATGAGAATTTCGGCGGGCGCGAAACTTCGAATGCGCGGATTTGAAGCGTGAATGGAGTTTCTCAGTTTTATCTCGCTCATTCGCGCCGGAGCATTTCGGTTCGCCTGATTGGGATTCGTAAAAGATCACGTGTGATTTGCCTCTCTTGATTGCAGAGTCGATAATATAGTTATAGTTGGGTGTTTTTTTTCTGGACCAGCGGTCGTTTAACCATGTTTAACGCACGTAGTACATTCGAACCATGAGACTCACCATATCTTCCGAGTATCTTCCCAACTGTTATAACATTTTACGAATTGCTAATGTACACGTTTGAGATCGCTAATAAGGCGTAAGATAAAGTCGTATAAATGAATTTTTCGTTTGCCAAGTCTGTTACGGACGACTGATTAATCTTCCTCACGTTGCTTCATGCATATATTTAATTTTTTTCGAGTGGAGAAGAAAGCAAGTATAAAGTAATTTGGGGTAAATTCTTCTGCGTGCGCGTTACACGAGTGGAGAAGAAAGCAACTATAAAGTAATTTGGGGTAAATTCTTCTGCGTGCGCGTTACACGCGTGCCCTGTGTGTGTGTGTGTGTGTGTATGTGTTGATCGATAATGACCAAGTATAATCAAGAATAAATACGCGAACGTGTGCAATTGCTTGTTGCGAAAAAACTCACATCTTCGAATACATAATTCAACGTAAGCTACAATCATTATTTATTCTCTCTGTATTTTCTCGATTTATTATTGCTCATGAGTTTTCTCCTCTTCTTACTTACTACCGTCCGAGTTCTTAAATATATTTACATTCCGAAGGGATGTGTTATTACACAGAATGTGTATTTTAATATTTCGAAGTTATCTCAGAGGGATTTATTTATAGTCGGAAGAGAAACGTAAAATCAAGTTACTCATACGTGTGCACTCGGCCGTGGAACAGGTTGCACCAAGTTTTTTCTTACATACTCCGAATATACAAGAAATACTCAGGATATACAAGAAATATGATGAAGCGAATCCGTAATTTATGAACATTCAGGCATATTTTTACGACATATCTTGTTGTCTTATTATAATATTTGCTTCATCTATACTTGTAAGTAAAAATAACGCAAATCGTAAATAAATTAATACGTGGCTATGAAATTTACATTACCTTTAGTCATCCACAAAAGAATATGTTTATCTGAATCTCGTTGCATCTAATTGAAAAATAAATGTTACGTTTATGTGTCCGCGGATGTTGATGCAATCGCTTCTAATCGCCTTAAATATATACAAATAGCGAAACGTAGTTTTAACACGTATCTTTCTTCTCTATTTTCCTACACAATCTTATTTATATTCGCAACGAAAATACGCGCAAAATTACTCTATTAAAATATCTCTTTGTTATATCATATTTAAAGAGTTTGTTCTCCTCCGTAAATTATTTTTTCCTCGTGCTTCATATATGAAACTCAATTTCGCATTTTATTCTCGATTCTTTCATATTTGCATAATATATTCCTATATTTCTTACGTATATAGAATGTGTTTAATTTGTATCAAGTAAAATAATCAATTACATTTGCAGAATCATGTCGTATGTGCATACGATTAATAAACGGTATACCGGAATATCGGTTTCCAGTATCTTCATATACATAAATGCAGATCACGACATATTGAATATATCTTACAATCCGATTAACGCATTAGAAACGCATTAGAAAAAGGAGGGAAAAAACCTAAACAATCACACTGCAGATCCTAATCTGTTATTTTGCATGCATAAACATTTAAAAATGACAGATATGAAGCTCTTTTTACATGTTTCTTCAATTTTTCAATTTAAAACGTTAAATCGTGTTAAATTATAAGCCTTAACCTAATAAGCCTTAATAAATAAGCGTTAACCTTTTTACTTTGCGAACGCGTTACACTTCCGACATACACTTCTCTTACAGTTTCCTATACTTGAGATGGCGTTTTCGAACGGTGATAAGATATATATAAACGTTATACGATATATAAACTGTTCTCGGAAGTCGCGAGAGTGTCGGTCTCTCGGAGTGATACGCGCTGGAAGTGCCGATTCGTCGCGCTAATCGCAACGATCACTTCGATCGCGATCACTTTTTTCGCCGGTATCGATGTCAAACAGCGTAAGAATTTCTTGTCACGCTTCTCCGGCCGCGCTCCGACGCGGTGACGCGCGCGTTTCGGAAGTCAATGTCCCGCTAACACACTTTGAACGCCAATTGCACGCCAGTGCATGTCGGATGGCGTGTATGTGCTATTGGCCGCTATGACAGCCGAGCCACGTCGCCGTCTTACCATCGCCGCCGACTCCAGATGCATTTCACGAAAAAAAAAAAAAAATATATATATATATATATATCCGGAATACGAATTTGATGAGCCCCGGTGTCGCGTCCAATTCGCATCCGGACGTTCCGGCAACTGCTTTAGGTACGTTAACGGGTTAACGTCGCGCCGACGATTCGACTCTTCTTGTGTGCGATTGCGTGAATAAAATTCGAGATTTCGAGGGCGAGCCGCGCAACACAAATTGCGAAATAATTTCGGGATTAAAACGAGTTAAGCCCGTCACACACATTGGACATTATACAAGCTAGACTCCGCGTCACGACAGCGGCGCGACGAGAACCGACAATTAGCTCTTATGAGACTAAGAAATATACAGGGTGTCTGACGCGACTCGTATGTCTGCTGGTGTGCAAGAATAGACGACTCGCGAACCTGGACGCGAAAGTCTTCCCTTCGTTATTGCAAACAATCGCGATAATTATTGTGAGATGTTAATTGAAAGAGATTGACGAATTGCGGAACGAGCTCTGTAAGATAATCTGAAGAGACATCCCAGGCAGCGAATTTCCAAAAGACGTCTGAAAACAACTTGCTCTTCGGACATCTTTGAAACGTCTTTTAGAAATTTCTGCTTTGTCTGGAATGTACTCGCACATTATCGAGAGAAAAAGGATGCTACATTCAGATACATATTTGCCAAGGTATATTAAAGTAATTATTTCAGGGACGAATCCATCATCGTACTACTTAAGATATTATTTTCAAGATTGTTTATATTGTTTATATCACACAGAAAACACAATGCAATTCTCTCGAGTTTTGGTTATTTTGTTTTTCATTGCACATTTATTTCTTATATTTATCCCACTGGATTGCATTTATATTCAATAATTACGGAAAAAAACAATGACAAGGTATAATTTAAGTGACCGGTACGAATTAAGCAACTCTTCTTTACTTAGCTCAGATAAATATTACTTGGATGTGGCATACCGAAGAAAAGAATTGTGCTACATTCAAATAACATTTATTCGATCCAAGCAAAATAATTACTTCAATACCCCTTAGCAAAGATTTATTTTAACGCAGCACTTTTTTCATTCGATTCATGTTGACATTTCTCTACACTCCATCTTGGATCACACGCTTGCATTCGTTATTGCCGGATTAAGAAACAACCTCGAGACGTATTTCTTCAGATTGTCTGAGTTCGTCCCACCGTATCATACGCACTCATTCGTCAATTATCTTCAATTAATATCTCAATAATTATCGCGGTTGTTTGCAGAATGATAAAGGAATTTTTGTTTTGTTTTTAACTTCTACCTGTACACGAACGTATATAGACGTTACGTCAAGCATTCTTTGTACATAAATATGGTATAAGAGCTAAAACAGATCTTCCAAAAAGAAAACATGATTATTAGGATGTGCAATCTGAAATATACTGAAAGAAGTTGTGCTAAATTTAAGTAAACATTTGCTAAAATGTATTGGAGCAATTATTTTCCTTGAACTAAGTGAATATCACTTGAACGTAGCCCAGAATGTAGAAAGAAAAAAGTGCTACATTCAACTAATATTTACTTGGCGATTAAACAATTTTCTCCGATTAGTTTAATCGATCGATTAAATGTCAACCGTGATTGGTTATTTCTGGTCGATTCCGTTTAATAACAAATGCGATTGGTCAATCCCAATAGAATAATCAGCCGATTGAGTTAATTCAGATTAAATTAACCGGAGGTTGTAAAACTGGCTCTTCATCTAAGCGAAATAATTATTCCGTTATTCCGTAGCAAATATTTATTTGAACGTGCAGCATTTTTTTTTTCTTCCGATGTAGATAGTGACGAAAAGGGCTAAGATTGATCTGTACACTGAGAAAAAGATTTCTTCAGATTTAATAAATTTTATTCAAACATATTTCATCATTGGCACGCTCCAAAGAGACTGTTGTTTCGATTAACAAGCACAATCGTTAGACTTCTCAACGAATGTGTACGAATCTTCATCTTAAATAAAAAATTCGTTTGCGAAACGAAAGATAATTTTCCTATAAAGAAATTATTTGCGCTTCGTTTCTCATATTTCATTATCGTAAAAATAATATTTTACTCGGTTAAGAGATATTATTTCAAATAGCAGCGTTCTTTCTGTTAAAAGATCGAGTTTTCTTGATTGAGACGGTAATATTTTTCAACTCAATCAAATAACATTCGTACGTGCAATCATAGATGGGTGGTGCATGCAGTCGGTAGGTGACTGATAAGTACTTGAAACTCGGTCGAATCTATTCGAGTTATCGGCGACTGAGTTGCGCGTGCAGACAGGTTCTCCCTGCTCGAAAGCTTTCTAAGATACAGGTTGCGCGTTTCGAGACACAGATCAATTCTGAAATAAGATGCCGCGGCGTAACAGAGTTCCTTCGAAGTGTGCCGATCCTTCGGTCTCTCTTTTCCTAATGAACGAAGCAGTCAAACGAAAGGGGCGAAATCTATAATTCCCCAACTACGGAAGCCGTACTATCTCGCCGCTGTAGCTGCAGCGGTCGGTGCGATATGTAACAGGCACCAGAGAGCCTCTCTCCGCGAGCTTCTTCGTCCTCCGCTACGGAACGAACGAGCGTGTGCAGATTTTCGTTCTTGTGAACTTGTTGAAAATGCGTTACGACGTCCGAGGTGCGGTCGGTTTATCAAAGAGAGTTCGTGGGCGTTTAAGAGAATTCCAAGTTCCCAAGATCACCGAAATCTATATCGTGCGAGAAAGGACGAGAAGGACGATTATTCTTTCTTCCTGTTGTGTACTGGGGAAACAAGGAGCGGAATAAGGAGGAGGAAGACGAGGGAAGGAGAGAGAGAGAGAGAGTGACGGCCGAAAGGGAGAGAAAAAGCAGCGAAAGATGAAGTGAGTGAGGGGGTGAGGTCGGATCGGTGCTTTCACGGTCGTTGCGGTCGCGATCACGGTCACGATCTCGCGATCTCGCGCACTCCTTCCTCCCCCTCGTTGTATCCGCACATAACGGGTCTTCATGTAACGGGCTGTGCCGACGGTTTCTCCCGGCAGTTGCGTCGCTCCGCTTCGAGGCCAGGACGGTGACCTAGAAGCCTCGTCGTCGTCGTATGTACTCGCGTATCCGTTTCTCTCTAATACAAGCGGCCGATCTAACGCGACGACCGAAGATCGTCGTCCTCGGAAAGATTTACCGGCCTCTTAGTCTTTCTCGCTTTCTCTCTCTCTCTCTCTCTCTCGCGTCAGGATCGCGATAGCAGGGCAGCTTTCGAAAGGCGACTTCGGGTGAATTTTTCGCGGGGCGGGCGTTCGCCTAACGCGCCTTTCATGTCGCGCACTTTCTCGCGATTTCGCGTGCACCGGGAGCGCACGCCGCTTTTTCGACACGAGTGTATCCGAGGCGAGTTCTGGAAGTTGGTTTTTCCAGTTTTTCCTCGCGTGTTTCTTGCGCAATGCGCTGTTGAAACGCGCTATCGCAAAATTGGGCCACCGGCGAAACGCGCGAAGCAAAAGCACAGGATCGCGATTTCTTCATCGCGGCGCGAAATGTTTAACCGGACTGCCTGCGTACAGTTACGACACCATGTGATTGGTAAAAGAAAATAATCACGACATTCCTCAGCCGTCGCAGGCGCAAGTTGTCATTATCGGTCCGCACGGTGGTAATCCGAAAACGAAAGGTGTTTTACAGTCGTGGCGTAACGGGGAGGTCGAAGTCGCTCCGAGGGAGCAAATAGGAAAAAAAACGCCGAAAGAAATCGAACACCGGCACGCTATGTTGCTGGCGTGCTACTGCGTGATTTGTACGGCCGAGGATTGGATGTATTTTACGCGTAAAATGAAATAGCCCGCGTGTAAAAAGAAGACCACGCGGTTCTAAGAAGAGGATCTACGTGTAGACTAATTATGTATAATAATATATCATCTGTGCGTAGGCTATGATGTATAAACCGTTATGGAAAGACTCGACTTCTTTTTACATCTCTAAATAAGTCTTATTTCTATATTTCATCCCTATTCAAAGCTCACGGATAAATCTGAACGATAACATATGTGAATACGGTATTCATCAATATTCATTGTAAAAAAAAAGATATCGTCGGCTCTGAAAATAACCATATTTTCCTCTCAGTGCGGTGCAACTTCGCACGTGACTATTCTGTAACACCCTGTACATACGCATAGATCGATCAAAGCTCTACAGTCGGTGATCTTATTTTTCGGCGTCTCGTTCTCCGCCATCAATCCGACCACCGAGGTCGATCGGCATGTCATTCGACTGGAAGAAAAGAAAGATACACTCTCCCGTCATGTGCCGTGAACTATACTTGTTTCTACAGTGTTTCGTGAGAACGTTTGAACGACAATTATGTAAATGTCGCATTGTGAATCCGCTAAGTAACACGCTGGCAAATCGCTTGTAATTATCTGCACGAGTAGCGCGCGATATCGACTGCGAGGAAATCGCGGGTCAGAAATAGATTTTCCCGTATCGTATAACTCTTCCTCGAGCTTAGCTCCTTTATCGTGCTCGCCTTACCGTTAACACTTGTTCTCCGATTTTTTAGCCGCGAATCTCGCGCGTTCGATTTCCGATAAAATTGATGATAGACGGCAACGGCCATGCCGGATGATAACATCGCGCGTCGCGTTGATACTTCGCGATGAGATTATGCGACGTGATAACGAGTATTCCTCCGCCACTTTCGATGTACACGTGCATATATATCGCTCCGTTCGCAATCTTTGAAGGTCAACGATTTGATTTTGTCCACGAGCTCGTTCTTTTCGAACACCCTCGTAACCCTCTTACGGTACGTTAGAGCGCACCGCTCGCTCGCAAATCGGCCGACAAGGCGCGCTTACGCCCTTTCGTGACAGACGATTATCGATCTCCTATCTGTTCTCTCTCTTATTACAACCACCGCTCGGGAAGCAGCGAGACCGTATCCGGCGAGTATGCACGTTCGATATATTTATAATTACGTCGCGTTGCGTAATCTGTCTGTTTGACGATGAGCGGTCGCGTCCTCGCGTGAAAAATGCAATCGCAAGCAAAGCATGGGAGTGTTGGAAAAAAAACTAGTTTTGCAAGTGCACACGTCTCAATGCAAACAGAGTGACGTTTGAGAAAGTCAAATAATGTATTTTAAAGACGTACCAATCACAAACGTCATCGTTACGTCATCATGTTTTTGCCAGGGGGTTAACATCAATATAATTGGGTTGACTTACGTTTAAAAAGAGAGAAAAAGAGCGAGGGGAAAAATTGTGCTTTTGCGCCATGTATAAACTTCGTCGTCGAACAATAGCATGTAACAAGGAATCATTTACAGGATACTTCGTTCTTTTTTGTGTTCCACAGATTTGTAACTACAAAGGACGCGAAATGAATCCGACGGGCACTGGATTTGATCGTAGCAAGTCGCTCGAGAGATCACAGCACGACGTACACGACGTATGCAAAAAAGGGACGTCGCGTAGCTCATCGCAGACGTTGCATCCTCGTCTCTGAGAGCTCTTCTGCACATCATCTCTCAGACATATATCCGATAAAATAGAAGTGATTTGCTAGAAGAATAAATTAATTGGACCGAAAGAGACAAGTATAGCAGGTAGCTAGCATATCGGCCGGTATAAAGAGTGATCACCTTTTTTTCTGAATTTCTTCACACTTTTGTCATATTAAATTCTCTCTCTCTCTCTCTCTCTCTCTCTCTCATTTCTGTTATGTTAAATTATCACTTTTAACACATCGAATTATGATAATTGAATTGCCATTTCTGTCATATCAAAGAAAAGATACTTCTTTGATATTTACGATAGAAACGTTTGTAATTTACATTTCGCTAAGGGCAACGAAAAGGACTAAAGTTTGAGAATATAAGCTTGACCGAACGAGCGATCGTGCAGCACACACAACAGGTGAGAGATCTGAGAATAACTTTTATTTTTTCCCCCACCATCTAATATTTCTTAACCTCGCCCGGTGTTGGAATGCTAAAGCACGACCTCAAACGACCCACGTGTCATCCACAGATCATTAAAATGGCTACGATGTCTAGCAGCGAGTACATGTCCGTAAGGGAGTTCTACCGGGACAGGTCGATTTTTATAACCGGCGGCACCGGCTTCATGGGCAAAGTCCTTGTGGAGAAACTGCTGCGATCGTGTCCGGACATCAAGAACATCTACCTTTTGATGAGACCTAAGAAAAGCCAGGACGTGCAGCAGAGGTTGCAGGAACTGTTAGATGCACCGGTGACGATCTCTCTCTCTCTCTCTCTCTCTCTCTTCGTCGCTATTTTAACAATATCGCTTCGCTTTCGTGGAAAAACGCTCACGCTCATGCTCCCTCTTTTCTTTTTTCGACAGCTATTTGAGAAATTACGGCGGGATTCGCCGGGCGAGCTCTCGAAGATCATTCCCGTGGCCGGTGACGTCACGGAACCGGATCTGGGCATCTCGGAGACCGATCAGAACACGTTGATACGTTCCGTGTCGGTGGTCTTTCACTCGGCGGCTACCGTGAAATTCGACGAGGCTCTGAAACTCTCGGTCACCATAAACATGTTGGGCACCAAACGATTGGTCCAACTGTGCCACCGGATGCACAACGTCGAGGTAAGGCAACGTCTCTCTCTCCCATAAAGAAAAGAAAAAAAAGAGAAAAACGTGCTTGCTCGGGCGGTGTAGCCCGAACAAACCGCCCGCCGTAGAGCCAAGATACTTGCTTTGCAATCGCAGATCTTAGATCTAAATCTCGGCTAATCGGGGATGCTTTCCGTATCCCGGGATCCCCCGGGTTTTGACGACTCTTCACGATAACTTACAGCGTCTTCCTTACGAAAGGTTGTTTGACGCCCTTCATCGCATCCTCGAGAGAAAACGCTCCTCGAGAGAAAGAGAGAGAGAGAGAGAGTGCGCTTTCGAAATGCTTCGTTTGCTCGTTTGTTCGTTGGCGTACGTCTCATCGATTTTTAATTAGCCGACAGCTAGTCCCACAGTTTCCGCTTAATAGCGAAAATACGTTCGATTGGTCGGTCAATTACTGCAAATCCCGAAGGTAAATAGAGCCGGCTTATGTGCAAGTGTGTTTGTCCTGTGCACCTTTATACTATAAACGCGCGATCTTGCCTCAAACGTCTAACGGCACTCAATCGATCAATCGGTCGGCCGACGATCCTTCCTTTTTCGTACAATCAATACGCGGATCCGTGCAGCATACATGTCTATCACCTATATGCATCTTTACACTTAGTAGCTGTCACTAGGAGCGCACGACACGCCGATTGGCACACGGCGATTGGCGCGAGCCGCGAGTGTGTGCTGGCGAGCACGATCGCAATGTATATTTATCTCTCTTCTCCCACGATATGTGATGACAATGACAGAAAGAAAAAAAATCCGTGACAAAGGCGAGACACACACACCACCTTCGCGTTGCAGGCGCTCGTACACGTCTCGACGGCGTATTGCAATTGCGACCGGAACGACGTGGCCGAGGAGATTTATCCTCTGGGCAAGGAGCCCGAACAGGTGATCGCACTGACGAAATGGATGGACGATAAGATGGTCGAGGATCTTACGCCGAGTCTGATCGCCGGCCGACCGAACACGTACACGTTTACCAAAGCACTGACCGAGCGGATGCTCCAGAGGGAGAAGGGTTCCTTGCCGATAGCAATCGTCAGGCCGTCGATCGTGTTGTCGTCGTACAGAGAACCGGTCGCCGGTTGGGTGGACAATTGCAACGGGCCTACCGGTATCATCGCCGCCGCCGGCAAGGGTTTCTTCAGGTACGGTCTTCTTCTGTGAATCTTCGCGCGCTCGAATGCTCCTTAATGATCTTTCCGCTGCGTACGCGTCTCTGTGGCCTGGTATTACTGGACGCACTTTGATCCTTTGATAGAATGCAGGTTAGGAGGAGAAGAAAAGCTACCGATTTTTATTCTTACTCGATCAGAATGATTTTCATTCTGAAGGAAAAAAGTTGATCCTCCTCCCCCTCGCCGGGATGAATAAATCAGCCTAGTGTAAATGGAATTCTCGCTTCCGCAGGAACATGCTGTGCCATGAAAACATGGTGGCCGACCTGGTGCCAGTCGACATGGTGATCAATCTGATGATCTGCGCGGCATGGAGAACCGCCACCCACCGCACCGACACCATCTCCATCTATAACTGTTGCACCGGCCAGCAAAATCCCATCACGTGGAAGCATTTTATCGAGCTGTCGTTCAAATACAGCCGGCTGCACCCGATGAATGACTTGGTCTGGTATCCGGGCGGGCGTTGCCACTATTCCGTCATCCTGCATAAATTGTGCGTGACGCTCGAGCACACGCTACCGGCGCACATTCTAGATATCTTCGCACGGCTCAAAGGCACGCGGCCCGTGATGGTACGCCTGCAAACGAAACTCTACAAGGCCACCAAGTGCTTGCAGTATTTCAGCACGCACCAGTGGAACTTCCGAGACGACAACGTGCGACGATTGGGCGAGCAACTCAGTCCAGAGGACCGGGAGATATTTATGTTCGACGTCAAGCAAATCGACTGGACGTCGTACTTGGAGCATTACATACTGGGAATACGACAGTTCATCCTTAAGGAGAGTCCGGACACACTGCCAGCCGCCCGTTCACACATCACGAGGTTAGAACATCTCAATTCTCTCTCTCTTTCTCTTTTCAATATATGGCCTTAGAGAAGCGTCCTAAAAATGTCCACAGGACGTGTGTGGGCTCCTACAATGCTTTAACCGTTTTAGTGCCAGGGTTTTTTTAAAAATCCGTGTCGGATTGTGCCATGCAGCGCGATAGCGCTTCGTTCATTTATCCGCGAGTAATGCCGATCGACGCGATCGCGCTGCTCTTTTTTTTTCGTCGAAATATGCTCGCGCTTCATTTCATCGGTTATATCAGAAACGTTATACTAAACACTCAAAAGTTTGCGAAATTACGTTTTACACAGATGAGTTTTACAAGTTAAACGATTAAACTGAGCAGAAAAGTCATGTACTATTTCGCAATAATTAATGAGGAATTAATTGTTATAAATATTAATATTATTAATATTATATAAATATTAATATCATTAGTATTAATATTTATAACAATTAATTCCTCACTAATCAATTCCTCATTAATTATTGCGAAATAGTACATGACTTTTCTGCTCAGTTTAATCGTTTAACCTGTAAAACTCATCTGTGTAAAACGCATAATTTAAAAGTTTCAGAAAAAAATTCATTTCCCCCTCCAATTTTTTCACGGATTTCTTTGGTTTTTGCTTTCCAAGGGTACGGAAATTCGTTTAAAACAATTCCCATGTGTTCGGTTGAACCTGCCACATTTGCTTTTTTCCGCAAAGAAAATAAAAAAACAAAAAAAAATCCGTAGAAAAATGGGAGAAAACGGTTTCTCCCCCGAAACTTTAAAACTATAATCAAAAATTATCAAACATCCTGTATATGTTCATGTGTATAACATGGGCGGAAGAATGTACTTATTTTTGTCTTGTACATCATAAATTTAATTGATACATAGATTATGTAATAATAAATCACGTCCACGAACAAGGTGGCGATGTTTATTCAATCTAAAAGAAACGACGTTACTTATATGGATATCCCGCACTATATTTCTCTGTTCTCTTCTTTTCCTCCGTTTCTCCTTTCCACCTACACCCATCTCGCTCTGTTCTTCGGAACTCTGACTCACCGTCTCGGTGATTATCGTCTGTTGCAGACTGTACTGGCTCCACAGAGCCGTGCAATTCGGGATGCTGTTAATAATGCTACGCGTCCTGTTGTTACGCAGTCCGGTGACGCGAGGGGCCTTCTTCTCGCTGCTGTCCATCGTACTTCGCATGTGCCGCATGATTGTTTGACGGCTGAGAGCCATTCCGGTCGACGATCGCGATCAATTCACCACGAAGCGGCCGCTACCTAAGGAGCGTTATTTAAAGGTGCGATTTGTTCTACGACCTCGTTGCTCAGCCACCCCGGTAAAGCGCTACCTTCACATCCATCGATTGGCCTTCTCGATGTTGCTATCCGTTAACGACGAGTAAGAAGTAATGAACGCCAGCTGCACATACAGGTGCGGTACTCTCTCTCTCTCGAGGAGAGGCGTTGGTTCACCGATTCGGTTTCAACGGGAAAATTCCGCAAGCGCATAAATATCGCCCCCGAAATATTAAACGTATATATATATATATATATATATATATGTGTATATATATATATATATANGTTATACTTCTTGTTGCCCCATGATTTAAAAAAGGGAAAATGAGACCCGTCTTACGGAATCGATCGAGAGTTGTCGTGTGTCAAGTTATATATATATATATATATATACATATATATATATATTACATACATATATATAGAAGCGATGTGATCGTCATTGCGTGTTTCATTACGCTAGAGAATAAAGATAAAGGGCGCGCGCACATCGCCGCAATTGTTCCGTTTAGCGTCATCGTATTGTACATCGATACTTTGCACAACGTCAATTTCTAACAGATAGAAGCAGCCAGGTTGTCACACACACACACACACAACACACAGAGTACGCGCGACGTTGCTGATGCGAGCACCGGTATGTTAGTCTAGCTAGCTCGGTTTTTCCCCGGCAATGTAACAACGCTCGCTAAATAGTAACCTCACCATCCTCGCAGCACGACGAAGCATCCGAGTATCCGTCGTGCCTTTATATTGTCGGTATCTGACATCCCTTTCTTTTTACTCTGTGACGTAAGATACCTAGATAGATATTTTGCTACGACCGCACGACGACTCACATAGTTAACTCACAGGCGTAACAGAGGCGACGATTGCTACGATTTAGAGATAAACACGATAGGAAGAGAAGAAAGGAGGAAGGAGGGGGGAGGGGGGAGAGAAGCCGCCGCGATCACGTAGAACGGTTATATCATAATAGGCGCACGTTAGCGTTAGAACGAAGTACGATTACCACCGTATACAGCGTTTTTTTGATAAACTGCCACTGCTGCGCGGAAATTTTAGCCACGTTTAAAAACCGTGTCTCGTCCGGAGAACAACGAGAGAGAGAACGGAAAAACGGGGCGCGTAAGAGAAAAAAAAAAGATAGAAAGAGAAAATCTTCCCTTGTTGCAAACTGCTCTCGAAGAGCTAACGCGCTACGTTACAGACTACTACAATTAATGAAATATCTCTATGTATCTTACACGCGTAAAATCGTTGTCACAGGATCAGTGTGCGACGAATTTTGAAGGCGTTGGCAATGGTCCGCCGCGACGAGTGGAACGATCGCCCGAGAGACCGGTCAGCCGATCGATCCGCTCCGTGGAGAGAGAGAAGCTACGTGGATGCGGATAAACCAAAGTCGGATAACAAAATTTCCTCGAGTCGCCGAGATTCATGTACATAAAATAAAAAACGAAAAAAAAACAATTCATCGTGATCGGTTGAGATGCGCGCGCGTTACTACGCCGCGTACGAAGACACGCAAAAAAACGTCGACTTCACGTTCCATCCTATGACATATCGTTGAATCATTATAGAAAAAGATACGAGAGAGAGAGAGAGAGAGAGAGAGAGACGATGATTACGCATCGCGCTTTTGCCGATGCCTTCAAGATGACGATCATATTTATGCTTCGTGTATTATTATTTATTCAGCGTATTCTTGCGTAAACGAAATATTTCACTGCTGCGCGCAGAATGATTTTTTTTATTATTCATCCAAAAAATCGGAGCGGGCTTCCCCTTGTGTTCTCTTCTTGCGGTCGTTGAGAGACGAACTCCGCTCGTCGGATCTGTTGGGAACGTGAGAGCATTCTACTCGAGAGAATAGATAAGCATGAAACGGGAGATAAATCCCACGTTAAAATAAATTAACAACGCGAAAGAACGACAAATAATTCTAATTTTTGCGCCATTTAATGAGAGAGGGGTAGCGCTACGAAGGTCACCATCTGCTAGTCTCATCTGTATTGTTACTCGGTCACACACAGTGCATACAAAAACAATATTTAATATATAATTAATTTAATTAATATTATACTATGTGCTACTACAAATTACATTAAAAACGATGAACCATTATGGGAACGAGTGTTTTTAGTGTATCTTCCTCTTCAATGTCCTATGGAGCCTTATGCCGTTTATTTTTATGTTAATTTATTGATTTATTCTTCTCAAGGAATTTAACTAATTTTGATATATAAAGACTAATAAAAATTAATAATTAAGATTGTAAAAGCCTCGAAGTGGAATCATATCGCGCCAGATAACCACTGGCTAATATAAAAATAGGTAATATAAAATGTGTACAATTTATTTCAAATAGAAATAACATATGTTCACATACTATTTCACTTTATCTCAATTAATTTATATTTCCCTTTCATACGATCATTTAATAATTACTTAGTGATTATTTTCAGCTTTGGTTTTCAAAACACTTTTTAAGGAAACTTGGAAGAAAAAAAATAAGTTTAAACGCATATAATTTTTTTCCCCTTTTAGACCTCGCGTTTCTCTTTTTCCGAGAAATCATGTCAGTGCATCGTTACCAGGTGAAAATAACACTGCCGAAAAACCTTCCGTACGTTACGCAAGATGAAACAAATTACAGAGATGATGGACCAATATTCGTATATCCTATCATTCATCGCTCACAATAGTCAGCGATAGTTACCTCGATATTATCGCAGAGCGCGTTTCTCCCGATCAGATTACCTGCTGTGTTCAGCTGCATCATGTCGCGCTATCTACACTTGGAACAAAGTGGACATACATTTAGCGTTCGGCGGAGGGTGAAGACTCGAAAAGACGAGAACCACATGCGAGGAATGGTTGGTTGAAGACAGATCTACGCGTCTCTTCTTCAGAGCCGAGTCGGTCGCGCGATCTCGCGCAAGTTCACGAACTTAACCTAACCTCACACCGAGCCGACCCAACTCGACCCGAACAAACCGACGATTGCCGCGCGCGCTGTCGACTCTCTCCGATCGATCGGAATTGCGCGCGCGTCGCCAGTGAGCGGATAACTTCAGGCCGGTTAGTAAGTCTCCAGGCGCGCGAGAGAGAGAGCGAGAGAGAGATAGAGATGCCGAGCGCAGCGCGCGCACGCCGATAGCAACGCGACGGTCGACACACGGCACGGATAATATGCGTCGACGACCGGCGACGCCGTCGCACATGCGCGCCCCGACGCGCCCCTGTTCGTTCCACCGATTTCGATTTTAGTCACTCCCGGGTTCGGCTTCGGAGAAAATCGCAACCGCGTGCCGCCGACGCCGCCGCGTAGTAGCTACGGGTGGGCCGCCACCCAAAATTTCGGTATCGCGCACGATCTCTCTCTCTCACTCACTCACACACACACACATACACACAAAGGCCTCTCGCGATCCTGACGCCGGCCGAGGCAGAGGGTGGCGCGTCGACGATGATCCTCATCTTGTGACTTTTCAGCGAGATAGATATATTCGTAAAGAACGCCGTGAGAGAAGAGGGAGAGAGAGGTGGACAAAGAAGGAAAGAAAGAGAGAGAGGGAGCAGACAACACGGACGAACACGCGCGATCGTCGATTTCCACGTACCTACGACGATATCGCGCTCCTCATTCGCTATCCATTGCCGTCGAGCCGCGCCGGGAGAGATCGATCCGATCGTGCCTCGATTATCTCGGCGATTAAGAGAGGTACTCGGGAGGTAAGAATCTCGCGCGCGCGCGACGATCGTGGGGGGCAACAACGCGATGCAGCGCGGCGCGACATGACGCTCAGCCAAGCCACGAGCTGTGTCTCTCTTTCTCTCTCGAAAGAGAGAGAGACGGGCCGAGAATCGATCGGGAGAGCAGTGCGTCGCGAGCGATATTCGTTTACAGCGCCGATCGCCGCGCGTGAGAGAGAGAGAGAATATCGACGTAGCGCGTGTTTCTCTCTCTCTCTCTGCTCGCGCAGAGAGCACGGCTCGTTCGATGGCGAACGTCGTCGTCGTCGGATATCACATTCCCTCCGATCGGGGGAGGATCCGCTTCCACGGCTAGCGTGGCTCAATGTGTCGCGTGCCCTCCTCCTCGTTGCCGCTTTATAGCCGGTCGCTGCAACGCCTTCCGCGAGGAACGGCCAACACCGTGGCGTACGCGCGGACCGAGTGGGTTGCGAGAAACGCGCGCAGAGAAAGAGAGAGAGAGAGAGAGAGAGAATATATGTGTATGCATGTGGTAGCTGTGTGTAAGAGAAAGAGCGGGAACGAGCAAACGAACGCAAGGGCAGCGTTTTGCGAGGATCGCGATTTTCGAGCCGTCCGCTGGGAACGATCACAATTTCGCGTCGATACGCATCGAAAAAAATCGCTCGTCACCCACCTCTGTCGCTAAATCGCGCGGTCCTACGCACACGCGCGATAAAACGCGGAAGAGAAAGAGAAAAAGAAAGAGAGAGAGGGAGAAGCAGATCTGTTCCTTTTGCACTTTCTCCCTTAGGAGTAGAGGAAGGGCGAAAACGAGCGTCGAAGGGAGAAGGAACAACGCAGTTTCAGTGCAGCACTGGCGTGCACCGAAAACGACAGGTCTAAAGAGAGAGAGAGAGGGAGTGAGAAAAGTGGCGCGTGCAGAGCGGAGCGAATGCGAGCCAGTGACGTAGCGAGAATCGCACGCTCATTGGTTTTTCTCTATTCTCAATGTACTCGGAATATTGTTGTTTTTACGGTTTGTGGTGCGCCGAGCACGTGCCTTCTTTTGGTGTTGACATTTAAGTCGAGGAACGGCTGGACGAGGACGGACGGGCACTTGATTTCAGCCTCGCGTCCCCGGGCTGTGCCGTTTCCTAACCTCCTCGCTAACGTTTCTGGAAAACGGGTGATTTCAGCGTCTGAATGCAAACGAGGTACATCCGAGACGACGACACCGTGCGTGAACTCGTGCGCGTGAAACTCCCCTGTAGGCCTTCCGCTGGTGAAAAAAAACTTGTCGCGTTAACCTGTCGTTGTCGTCGTCCCGGCGCGATGTTTCGGCATCGAATCTCACAATGGTTTCTCTCTCTCTCTCTCTCTCTCTACCCATCCTTCCTCCCTCTTTCTCGATGTCGGGCTAGCGGAGACGCGCGCGCGGTTTCTATAAAAAGCGCCGACGATAATCGCGTCGTTCGGGCGATCAAGTATGCGTGCAGTGTCGTAGCCACGCGGCGACGGGCCCGCGGAACTTGCCGTCCAACGCTTTTCCGTAGAGAAACCACGACGACGACAACGATGCTTCCCGCGATCCCGCGTCACCGAAATTCCGGCAGAATCGCGGCGTGGGGGCGGGTTTGTTTTTCACTCGCCGAAACGTGAACGACGATTCGACGTTCCTTTTTCAGACGTAACACGTTTTGTGTTTCCGCAGACAATACCCGGTCGACTCGTGTCGTGACCCAATAGGGGCCAAGCACATCGTCATCGTGACGGCCTCCACGGACGATATCAAGGAGGACTTCGTGATGAAGCAGGAACCGGAAGACGAGGAAGACTGTTATCTCGACGACGACTCGATGCCGGCATCCTCGCCACCGCCGCCGCCGACGGCGCGCACACATTCGTCGACCCTGCTACCGACGCAGTCGTCCTCCTCGTCGTCGTCGTCGTCGGCAGGTAGACACGGCGTCCACCGCGTGCGTTCCCACACCGGCAGCCTGCGCGCCATGGCGAATCCGAGCGCAGTATGGGCGCACTTCGACCTCTGCGCCAACGATCCCCTGCGCGCACAGTGCCGTATCTGTGGGGCGGTTGTGGTCCGGGGCGGTGCGAACCCGCGTCAGTGCGGCACGACGAATCTCCACCGGCATCTGCGAGTGCATCACGGCGGCAGGTTGATCGGCAGGCGATATCACGGTGATGATCGACATTGCGATTTCACGCACGCATTTTACGCACGTGCTCTTCCTCCTCCTCTTTTTCTGTCTTATGTATGGATTTTGGATTCGAGATCCAGAATTTCGAATTTAGCCCTATGCGTATATTCAAACGTTCGAGGAATCGCTCCTTTAAGAGCGTGTGCGTGTGTGTGTGTAATAATTTTACTCGAAGGCCCGTATTCTGAATATACTTACAACGATGTTAGCGCTCTAACGAGTCAACTTATTGGTAGTTCTGAATAAGTATCTTGCTGCGAAAACCTGTAATTATCGATTTTCCCTGTTACAAAGTATTGTTATCACGTTTACGATATAAGCGATACTAAAAATGCTCGTATGTCTTGTTGGTGTATTAACATCGTAAGCGCATTCCGAATACGTGCCGAAAAGTCGTATATTTCCTTCGGCTACTTAATAATGAGCGAACGTTTCTTGTCAACTTCCGTAGATATTGTTGTAACTATTTCTTCGGATCTTATATCGGATCGGTCGGAAAGTTGGATTCGATCTTTGAATGTCAGCCTTGGTTCAATGGGAAGGAATTATCCACATTTGTTCACAGTACCAGCGCCGGGAAAAGGAAGATCATACATGAAGTTTGCTTACATATGACTGTATATGATCATATATGTCCATGATGAAAAAATACTGTTTACAAATAACATGTAAATACAATTGAAGTAAATGCTTCTGTAGCTACTTGTGCTTCTGACAGCGTGTGATATCGATATTTAATTAAATGACGTAACATAATATTTTTCGTATGGACACATACGATCGTATATGTAATCACATATATGAGCGAAATTCATGTACGGTTTTACATAATTATACATAATCATATATAATAATTTTTTCACCGTTAGTGAATGGAACACGGAGCTTACAGGTCCTGCATGCAAGAACTTACGCGGCACCGGCAACTGAAGTCAGCCCTGACTGAGACGCTTTTGTTTATCTGTTTGTAGTGATGCAGTCAACCTCTCAAGGGAATGCGGCCGCTAAGACTATAAGGATAGCACAGTCTTTGGTGAGACCGCAGTTTCGCAATATCGCGCCAGCACCGTTGTCTCAGCAGCAGCAGCAGCCGCAGCAACAGCAGCAGCAACAACCGCGGCAAACGAAGACTCTTGTATTGAAGACTATTCCGTTGAAGGTGAAGCAGGTCGCACCTACGACTATCAAGATGCCATCACGGCAGAGCAGTGGATTGCCGCACAACATTGTGCACCAACAACCCACGGAAGTACGTAGATTCCACGTAAAACGTTATATTTCCCCTTATTGCGATTACGTGTTAACACGATGTTCCACCGAACTTGTATCTTCCTACATCATTTTTCAGGTTTGCTTGAGGTGGAACAGTTATCACAGTAATATGCAGAACAGCTTCCCGTCGCTGCTGGACGCGGAACAGTTTGTCGATGTGACCTTAGCGTGCGAGGGACGTTCTCTCAAGTGTCACAAGATGATCCTGTCCTCTTGCAGCGACTACCTGGCGGATTTGCTGCGGGAGAACCCGTGCCAACATCCCATTATCTTGATGAAAGATCTGAAGTTCTGGGAAGTGGAGGCGCTGGTTAAGTTCATGTATCGCGGAGAGGTCAATGTTGCCCACGATAAGCTGCCGCAGTTATTGAACGCCGCCGAGGCGTTGCAAGTAAAAGGATTGGCCGGTCCGAGTCCATCGTCCCAAGTAAATCAATTGATGCAACTTATTATAATTGAATCTAAATACACACACACACACAGTGAGTAAAAATTCGCTCGTATTGTTTCGCCGACAGAGCACAAAGCCACCGCTACTCATACCTCAGTCGAAGCCATTGCCGTCGCAACCTGTAGTTCCTAGAGGCATTACGGAATCCAAAGAGAACAAGGCGTCACCTTCGGGAGGTGGAGTGTCCACGCCTTCTAGTCCTAAGCGCGCACAGAAGCGGCAACAGTCCGAACCCTTAGAACCAAGGCCTTTTACCAAAATACGTTTGCAGCGGCCCGTTACGCCGTTGTCGCCGTGTCCTACCGTGAAAATGGAGCCCCTGGACATACCCCTCAGCCCGACCGAGTTATTCTCCGAGGGCAACGAGGACGCGGTAACACCGTCCCCGGATCTGGACAACCTCATGAGCCTGCACGAGGAGGACGACGATCCAGGCGGCGAGGAGATGAACGACGAGGTCGGGAGATTACATTTTTGCGAACTGCCAGCTCCGCCGGACTTGAACGACAGCGAGGACCAAATGGAATTTGTACCAACCGACTTCCTCGAACAGCAGCAGCAAGAGGAGGAGATTCTCGAGGAGGCAGAATCGAGTTGCAATAAGGATAACGATAGCAGTGGTAGTAAAAAGGATTCTCCCGATTATACGTCCGCCGACGAGGCCGGGGAAGATGACGCGGCGGCGAGCGAAACGCAGCCGTCGAAGGAGAAGAAAGTGACATAGTAAGATACAGGATACTTTTCAGACGTAACGATCGTATGGAACTGCATGACGACAATTAATTTAAGTGCGAGTTAACGTATAAGAGATAACCGTGATCTGGCTTCTCGAGATTTTCACGATTTTGAGAGTACATATTCTTTACGGTGACGAGCGGCCGCACAAACACCATGGGAACGAACATGTGTGTGTGTGTGTGTGTGTGTGTGTGTGTATATGCGCGAGATTCTATTGTCGTTCGAGAGAGTTTCATGAAATCAACGTAGATTCTCTTTTCGTTTTTCAACGTGCACGAAATAGAGAAATATCGTGTTAGATATTACCGTAAAAATATGTGCAGATCGTTCTTATGCATCGGCCATCATATATACCTTAACATTATGTACATTTAGGATTACTTCAGAGGCACGTAGGCTATGCATCCATTGGATACGTCGAGAATATTTCTCAAAGTTATACGGTTAGCGGTGGCTCTGTGACTAACATTAAGTTTGTTGTTGAAGAGAGCCATCAACCTCGTAACTGAAAGGAATATTTTCAACACATCTAACAGAATGCACCTATAAAAGTATATTGGGCACTGCTAAAAGGCCGCTCTTGTAGAAGACCTCTTGTAGGAGACTTGATTAAAACGATCTGTGCCACAGGCGATTTTTCTTCAAAACTTTTATAAGGAGCAACCCTTCTCTGTATATATGTAACTCTATGGATAAGGTTGAAGTTATTAAGAAATTCTAATGAACTATACTTACATTGGTCTGCGCTTGAGGGAATCTGACCCGGGAAGCGGTGAATAAATTGTACTTTAATATTAACGATAAGTGTTAAGGCATATATAATGTCTGATGATTCCGACGGAATATTCATTTCGCGTTAACGGAAGCATAAAATTACAGTTTTGATGAAAATATAATTAATAATGGAGAAGATGATCGGTACGATTAGTGGCAATAGCGACTATAATTAAACCGAAATTGTTTCTATCACAATGTGAAGGGGAGGCTGAATTCTATTCATGCAACTGTGTAAATAATGCGTACGAAACACGAAGAGATCGTTATTTTTGGAATGTATGTATTGAGTATACTCGAGAACGTTTGCCGTTTTATCTTCAGTCTTGTCGTCGTCAATCAGGTTTTCGATAAGGGACTTCCTATTTTTATTAATGTACAGCATTTGACAAGCCTTGAGAGAAAAAGGTGTATGATATGTTAGAAATATTTCTCCGCTAGTCCAGTGCATCTTTTTTTCTTTTCATCGCGTACGTATTTATTTCAACATCTATGTGTGCTAACTTCCTATATACATATATATATATATATATATATATACGATACGACATCCGATATAGAGACAAGGCATTTATAAGAATTAATAGTACCGCTCGATATTATATCGAAGTACGTATATTCGTTCAGTCGTAAGTGGATGCGATGAAGATTTTACTTTGTATGAGGGAAAATTCGAATTTTAGACTTTAGAGTTGTCTTGTAACTTATTTCGTCTATAAAGAAAAAAGTCGAATGTATCGTGCGTATCAATTAATTGTGAATTGTAATTATTTGCTGTCTTGAATGCGAACGAGCGACATGCCTGTTGTTGTGTAAAACCGTGCGTGATTGGAATATAGTGTGTAAATTGTAATGTATGCAGATACATTCACAAATAAACAGATATTGTAACTTACATCGTTACGAATATACGCCTAGCGCGCGTGTTCGAGGACGTAAGTCTGGAACTAAAATTTCAGCAGGGTCCGCAATGAGAATGTAACCCTTAAGAAATTGACCAATCGCATCCGATTATTCTCCTCATATTCGACTGTGATTGGTCAATTTCTAAGGCTGCAAACACCTCGTATAGACCGAAACTTATGAATTCGAACTAATGTAGCGCGTTATCGCCGACTCGAATTCAAAAGCATTGAACTCTACGTTTTTCGTGAAAATCGAATTACTTATCAACATTATCGAGTTATCATTAAACGAAGCAACGAGCGGAAAAGATATCGAGTGCGCGAGAATTTCTCTATCTCGCGGTATACGTATTTCCGCGACACCCGATTGTTGTACCAGCCATGTATAAACAACAAATAGCAACGGGAGGTTCACACGTGAGGCGCTAGGCGGCGCCAGGCGGCTCGCGTGCGTCCGCCCCTCCCGTCGCTCCGAACTGTCAAATCGACGAGCGTTGTTTGTATACGAGATCGATCTCGGGGGTTCGGCGTCGATCGCAACCCGAGGATCTCGATCGTGGAACAGCCGAATTAGCCAGGTCAGATTACGATAGCGGTGATCGCGTCCTCCCCCCGCCCCCCAGTTCCTCTGCGCGATGCCGCCCTCGGGGGTGAGAAGTGCTTGCATGGGACGACGACCGGCCCGCCGCATCACCGTGCCTGCGTCACCGTGATCCCCGGGACTTGTGTTAACCCTCGCTCCTTTTTTCTCTCTCTCTCTTCTCTCTCTCTCTTTCACTTTCCTCGAGAAATCTCCTCTACCTCCCTCTCTCTCCTCACCTGTCCTACCTGTTCTTATAGCCGAGCGAATATGATATCCTTAGTCGCCGCCGGCGATCGACCGTCCGGGCTGAAAAATCAGCCCCCTGGCTGAATCGCTCGCGCTCTTCCTCTCCCTCCTCGAAGGAGGGTTAACGTATCGTCTTTTTCGCGAGTTCTCCGCGTTCGGGCCGCGCAAGGGCCGCGAGGGAGACCTGCTGCCCTCTTGTTTCCCTTAACCTATATTAAAGGATCAATGAGTGAACGCCACCGTTGTGCACGTTCGCGCGAACGCACGTCTGCTGCTCGTCGGATCGCGCGCGCGAGACGGTGAGAGAGAGAGAGAGAAAAGCGTTGGGGCGAGAGCGAAGCAATCCGCGTCACGCCGCGAACGATCTCGCGGGCGGCGCGATTTCGGCAAGTGCGAGAAAGAGAGAGAGAGAGAGGGAGCGCGCGCGCGGTGTTCGGCGGGCCCGAACATTGTTGTCGATACTCCCCTGAAAATCTATCTCCTGGACAGGTGATAACGAAGTCTTAACGATCTCACGATTGCAGATGATGAGTCGTACGATGGACGAGAAGGAGGAACTGGTAAAGAAGGCCTTATTTAGTTTCGTTAGGAAGCAGGTGCCCACTGCACAGTTGAGGTACATAGACACACACACACAGACCTCTTTTCTTTTTCTCGTGTCCGGGAAAGCGGTGAGAAGAGCTCCGAGAACTCTGTTAATCTCTTTGACATCCTAGTCCTAGTTTATAATAAGTATTTTGAGCTTTAAGCCTTGAAAAATTGACCAGTCACACGGTTAATTATTCCCTTCACATTCGATCTCAAGCGGGGTCTGCAATGAGAATTTAAGGCATATGACTTAAGAAACTCATAATTGGTTTATCTTCGTTAATTCGACTGTGATGCGTCAATTTCTCAAGGCTTACAGCTTAAAGCATCTATGGTAGACCAGGACTTGGAGAACCGCTGCGAGATGAGAATATCAATGTAACCAATGATGGACCACTCTTTATTATTCATTCACACGGTCAATCTTGCCTTTCAGCTTAATAGACGACATTGTGCTCAGCTATGTAGTGAGTATGGTGGAAGAGAGCGCGCTGGAGGAGAATCTGGACGTGGACGGACTGTGCGAGATGGTGTCAGCCTGCCTGCCAGAGTTCTCCACCATCGAGAAGGAGGCCGTGTCGAAGTGGCTGCTGGACGTGGAGAGTAAATTGAGACAGGGTAGCAAGGAGAATGAGAGTTGTCAGCCGCACGATCCTCTGAGTCACATCAGCTTGACCGCTCTCTTGCCGGCCGGTGCGCAGAGAATGCGAGTCCATCATCTGTCGGAGACCAGCGACGCCGGCAGCGACTCAAGCGGGGAGTACTTCTCGGAGGTAAAGAGAACGCTTGACGACCGAGTCGACGCACCACCGGTCGCCTCCCTCGCTAACGACAATTCCCCGTTGTCGTCCCAGGAGTCCTCTTGGCACCAGGTGGCCCTGCTGCAAGAGATGTTTCCGGGCGCGAGCCCCGCCGAGGCCAGGCACTGCTTAGCGGTCGCCGGCGGCGACATAGCGAAAGCCGCGCAGCTTGCGCTGCATCGTCAGGAGGCCGGCCAGAGTATCGTGAGCAACCTTACGTTTCTAACGGTGAGTCGTCGTCGTCCTCCTCCGTTTTCCCAATAATATTCCTTCCGTTGTTTCGCGCCGAGTCAACGTGTATTGAACGACGGTCTCGATTTTTGTTTCCAGCCGAACGGCCGCAACAAGGCCAGGGTGAACGACGAGGAGCTCAAGTCCCGCATCATAGCGCGGTACAGTTACGTCGACAGGGACGACGACTGCCGCGAGCATCGTCCGGTCGCGCCGAAAACCGAGCCGAAGAAGCTGGTGCGCTACCTCGACAATAAGATCGTGAGCGTGAAGGGCGAACGTTACACGGAAGTGCGACGGGGCGGCGAGGACGAGGACGGTAACGAAGGCGGCAGGAAGAGGGGCCACTGCCGTCCGTAACCAGTCCCTCTGCCTCCACCCCCCGATCCACCCCCCTGGAGGCACTTGATTTTCGATTGAAAACCTTCGAACCTATTAGATATTTTCCATCTCACTTATATAAGGGACAAAAAACGCATAGGCGAGATATTCGAATTTCAACAGCAACATCAACAGGCATTACCACATTCTCCCCCTTACTTGACGTCTGATTTCACGTTTTGACGCAGCCTGCGCGCAACTCCCCCCCCCCCCCCNAATCTCTTCTATCACGTAGTCGTTAATTTCTTCATTATTCGCGACACGGCAGGTTAGTGATAGAGTTTTGTACGTTATCCGTGTTAATGTATGTGTGTGCGCGGTTAAACGTTCAACGGACGTCCGGCGATTCATTTTCCCGACATGGATTGTCCGATCGAGCGTACAATGGCCGTCGAGTTAGTCCAGATGGTCTGCGTTCGCAATTGGAACGCAGGTGGGATCGGAACGCAAATCGAGCGGCTAATGTCGCGTTATATATTGTCATTGATTGAATATTTATCGCAGACGCAGAATAGCTTATCAGAAGACTCGAAGGAAACTTTTCTTTTTCTAGTGTGTTTTAGTACGACCAACATCGATCGATTGTTTTTACGATGTTAAGGCACCTTGTCGAACGTGCTGCTCTTTTGTTAGAAATATTTATCCGAGTCGTTATTAATTTGACATTATCGAGATTCTACAAAAGAATTACGCGCACTTGGTTTCAGTGTATATTTTGAACGGTTCTTTTCTCTTCGGCGCGGTTCGTGTTGAACGCAACCGACGCAGGTCCGAGGAGGGAAATCCCGCCGATCAATTCCGAAAACCAGGGACGCGTCGACCGCATTTCGGGGAAACGGAGTGTTCGAACTTGTCTTGAAACCGAGCGTACATATACACTTGACTTTAGGAAGGACGTTTGTTTTTGAGTTGTTATGTAAAAATATTTTGCATAAATGTTTTATTATTTAAACAAGCTGGCTATTGTAAACTCGGCATTTGACTTAATATCCATTCCTCTTACTCTACACCCGATAATAGTCATATATAATTGTATCTCCGCGTCAGGTTTATTTATTTTATACATATACAAAACTTATAAATGAAAGAATACTCTATCTCCCTTTTTTTTTCTTTCATTATATGTATAGCGCTGAATAGAATTACTCGGTAGCATCCTTACTTTGTAAATGAAGAGCGCTTTTAATCGCCGATCATCATCTTGTATACTTTCAGAGAGTCGAAGTTGCTTCACCTGTATGTAATAATGCGGATTTTGCAAAGGATATTTTTTATTTTTTCTCTTTTTTTGCGCCTGCATTAAATAGCGGTGAGTGAGCACTAGCGAATGAGAAGTGATTTATGAGGATATATTTGAAAATGTATTTAGTCATATATCTATATATATATCTATATCTATATATATATATATATATATATATAGAGAGAGAGAGAGAGAGAGAGAGAGAGAGCAGCATTGTCATCTAACAAACTACACTTTTTTCAACCGCACTACAGTGAACTGTACTATATACTAGATACGATAAAAACGAGAATTTTTATCCGCACATCTATTCAGAAATTCAAAAATAATTGTTCCACCAATGACCGTAAGAGTCGATATATATTACCTTTGTAATGTAAGACGCCGGAAAGAGAGAAAGGGGGAGAGAGAGAGAGAGAGAGAGAGAGAGAGAAAGCATTGCCGCGAAATAACAAACGAACAGGTAGAAACACGAGAGAAAGAGAGCGATCACCGTTTGTCGAATAATCAAAAAAAAAAAAACAACCGGGAAACAAATATAGATTGTAAAAATATGAGGCGGCAAATGCAGCCCGCATATTTGTATGTCGGATGAGAGCATACAAGTGCCGTGACATCGCCAGAGAGAGAGAGAGAGAGAGAGACGATTGCAAAAAATTGTAGATTTCAAGTAATATATTGTAGTATACGTACTTAGAGGACGAACGCGGAAATACCCATTAGATTCTTTAGGCGGGATAAAGTCTGCTTACAAGTGCGCGCGCCATACGATTCACCAGTATTACTACTCTTATTGCTGCCACCGCAGAGTTCGGAAATCTGTAGCGCAAACTTAACTCATTAAAGCGTTTAGAGAGAGAGAGAGAGAGAGACCATATATGTATAGAGAGGATAAGGTCGATACTTATTTCAGAATCCATATCTCAACGATGCTCACGTTCGAACCGTGGAATTGTGATTACTCCGAACGCTATGTTACTACGTCCAGTCCGGCGCGATTCGAACCAAAATGTCTGTTCGCTCCGTATACGTATATATGTATACATATAGTTTATACATTATGTATATATATATATATACATATATGTGTACATATATCGAAAATTTCCCGTTTCTTTAATGTTATAAATATAGTTTTCTAACAATCGCACTTTTATCGTCGAGGGAGCGGCACCACCCTTTGGAAAGAGGACAATGTGTAAAGTATTAAGGGACAGTTTGTAAAATAATTTACTCGACAGCTGCGTAAGTTCGAGCACTCGCGATTTCACACCGTTTCCTGCGTTTCCTCGATTCCCCTTTATCCCGTTGTTTCGAAATTTGCATGTTACAACCCGCAACCCGTCGTCAGTTTTTCGGCGATAATTGAACTCATTTAACGTATGGGTGTAACACAATAATACAGATACAAATAGTCTTGTAGCGGGCCGAGGGCCGAGGGCATAGATCATTATAGATTCCACGGGTCATGCTGCTATTGATAATCGTGACACTCACTGTGTGGATTTGACGCGTTTGTGCTGAAAAACTAAAGGTACTCCACTGGCGGGACAGAAAGTCGAGGAGACGTGGGCGAGATAGAATAGCCGATGAAAAATGGAAGACAGAAGTGGAAGAACGAATCACGTGGATTACGCTTTAGTTTCACACGGATCCCCCCTCCTTGTGCGCCTTTCTTCTTCTGTGCAGCGTATCAGCACATTCGGCAGGCACCATCCATTCTCAGCTCGTTAACTTGTGTGATGTGAAAGTTGTGCGAAAGTAAGCCATAATGATTGTAATTATAATTGTATACTTGCCTTTTAATATATATATATATATATATATATATATATNCAATTAAAAGTACTGACAACATGAATTCTTTCTTTGTCAATCGGTTCATCACCAGCGACCAGCAATACATATAAAACCACGCGAATATACTTGCTTAGAAATTATAGACGACACACGGTGAACGAAGTGAAATAACGCAATACCCCCACGTCCGTGATAAGATTTATTTTATTATCGAAGATTTCGAACGGTCTTTCCCCGCAGAATGAATTCTTTTTTTCTTTTGTGTGTGTGTGTGCGCGCGCGCTCGCTTGCGCGCGTGTGTGCATACGCGTGTAAACTTAAATATGAAAATTAATCTAAGTATACATCTCTCTCGCAGCGTTTTGGATTTGACATATATTCATTAAGCGCCATTCTGTGATGTCGAAGTAGAAATCTTCATCTTCGTTATTCGGCAATTTTCCGCGTTATTTTCCGGAGAGTAATCTTCTCAAACATATAATATTCATTTAAACGTAACACACATACACGCCTGACGGTGAACCAATGACTTACCGATTATTATTATTATTTACCGTACCGATAATACATCTCGAGATTCCTCCATCAACGAATCAAATGTTATACAACATACGACGTAATTATGTGTGCCGCACTAAAAAAAATTAGCGTATAAGATTCGAACAGAAATCATACATATTACATACACACACACACAGACACACACACACATATATATATCTAACTCTAAGCTCATCGAATAAAAAGAAGATGAAGGAGGAGAGGGGTTTTTCAACTCGTCGATAACGGAAACAACTTACAAAGGCTCGATAGAGATCCGAAGAAATAAATAGCATCCTTTCAGTTACTCGTCTGGTCATCCTGGCATCATCATCATCGTCGGTCAACACTGAGCACACAGGAAAAGACACATACACACTCTCTCTTACAACGCTGCTAATTCTATTTTCACGTTTCTCGCGGGAAAAATGTTAATTGTCTGATCGACACTCTGCTTTCCGCGGCACTAAACACGAGAGATAGATCTAGCCTGGATCTACTTACGCCCAATACACACGTTGGATACACACACACACACACACACACATGGTATGTATCTCTTTCTCTCTAATGGACTAATCACACGATAAATTACCTAAAAACAATTCGTCGTTACAAATTTGTGTTAAACAATTCGGTGGACCCTGACGAACTCGGCGATGGTTGAGTCTGAGAATTGTGTTTGTGTGTATATATATATATGTGTGTCTCGCTAGGATGAATTATGAAGTGATTGTATACGGAAAAGGTAATTTCACCGGCACGACGAATCGTTAGTTACTACAAGGACAACAAGACAGATCTGTAAAAAAATAATTTTGTAGCAAAACCGTTGTTGTTACATCGATAAAATTTCGTTGGCGCAACTAGATCACTTTGCTGCCTATATAAAAGATGTCCGAAAAAAATATACACACACTGAACGATCACAAAGTGAGTGTTCATCGGCGAATTTTCACTTTCAATGATGTAAAAGAATCTACGGATACAAGTGATCTTTCTTCCAGTCAACGTCTGTCTTTAAACTAACCGGGCACTGCGGATAAGCTGTTAAAGCGTGTATACATTTTTCTGGGACGTCCTTATATATAAGCAGCAAACAGTAATGAACACTCTTGACAAATCTTCTCGCTGTCCGTATTATTTTCGTTGTCCCTATAACTAACTAACTAATCAGCTGCGCCAGCAGGATCTTCCCCTCCGTGCGGGAGTCGCGAAGAGTCGGTGTTTAGCAAAATCGAGGCGCGCGCGCGCATGTGGAAAAGAGCGTTCCCGCGGATCCATCCTTCGGTTATCGTCGGTGAGTGGCAGCCGCGCGCCAAAGAGAGTCCTTGGGAATAAAAAAGAAAGAAGAGGGGTAAAAAGAGAGTGTCCGAGGAGGAGGGGCTGTATTTTACTTCTTCTTTTTCCGCGGTTTGTCCTGAGGCGCCGGTAGATTCTCCTGCTTCCGCTTGGACGTCGGCTTCGCGCCTATGCTGCCGCCCTTCTTCCTCCTCTCCTGCCTCTCCCGTTCCTCCAGCTCCTGATTCTCCCGCTCGATCAGGGTGATGAGGGTGTTGCAGCGACGCTGGAGCTCGAGGGCGGTGCGCGACTTGACGAACCAGTCGAAGCGGAACTGGGGCGCCGACCTGACCGTAGCGCGCAGCTCCTCGTACACGTTCTCCTTGTCGAAGCCGAGTTTGTGCAGCATGCAGACGAGGAAGCGGTCCTCCTCCTCCGTGTAATTCTTCCCCTTGTTCGTGCCGTAGGCTATCCTGAGTTGGTGGAAGGGCGCGCGGTACCGCGCCATCTTCGCGTCCAGGGCCTTCTTGATGCCGGCGCGCCTCTGTATCTTCGCCTCGCCCCGCTCGATCTGCGCCATCACGCGGTCGATGTCCTGGAGCTCGTGGCAGCGCTCCCAGAAGACGGCCGAGTACTCCATCACCTCCTCCGGGGTTTTCCCCTCGACCTCCTTCGCGATGTTCTCGATGTCGTCGCGGCCGTACTTCTCGTTCGCCTTGATGAACTGATTGAAGTCCCGCTTCGTCCAGTTGGTGAAGCCCTGGAGGAGCAGCTTCTCCTTCTCGGCGACCTCGTCGTCGGTGAGCGGCTGGGCGTCGTCGATCTTGCGCTGCTCCTCCTTCTGGATCCGCGCGGCGTCCGAACCGAGCTCCGGGTTCTTCGGCACCTTGTAGCCCACCGTTTGCCGGAAATAGTAGATCTCCTGGTCGAGCAGCTCGAAGAGACGCGGCGGGAAGAATTGGAAGTCCTGGACGATCGGCTGCTTCGGCGGCCTCGGGGCCTTCGGCGCCTTCGGCTCCGAGACGCGGAGCGCCTCGCGGAAGTACGCGTCGACCGCGTAATTGGCCTTGCGCTCGCGCTTGGGCGGCTCTATCCAGTTGCCGAGGCCGAGTATCTTCTGCTTCTCGCGGTAATCCTCGCCCTCGAACTGGTAGACCGAGTCCGTGGGCGCGTCGACGGTGAAGTTGCGGAGGGACGACTCGCCGAGACTCTCGAGCTTCTGCTTCATCTCCTCCGTCTTCGCCTCGCCCTTCTGCAGTATCGTGTCGATGTCCTCGTCGGTGATGGCGCTGTCCTTCGAGGCGAACACCTCGTTCGCACCGTGCCTGATCATGTTCAGCATCTCGTCCTTGTTCAGGGCGGTCTGCTTCGCGTCGACCAGCCGTCCCTGCTGGATCACCAGTTTGTCCAGCCGCAGCTTCACCTCCGCCCGCTCCACGATCTTCTCTTCCACCGTGTTCTCCGTGATGAACCTGAAGACGCGCACCTGCTTCTGCTGGCCGATACGGTGGGCGCGATCCATCGCCTGCAGGTCCATCTGCGGGTTCCAGTCGGAGTCGTATATGATGACGACGTCGGCGGTGGCGAGATTGATGCCGAGTCCGCCGGCGCGGGTCGACAGCATGAAGATGAACTTCTCGCTGCCGGGCGCGTTGTACTCGTTGATCTGCCGCTGCCGGTCCTCGTGGGCGGTGTTGCCGTCCAATCGGCAGTACTGGAAACCGCGCCAGTGGCAGTAGTCCTCGAGGATGTCCAGCATCCTGGTCATCTGGCTGAACACCAGCACGCGGGACTCCTGCTGCTGCAGCTTCGGCAGCAGCTTGTCGAGTATCACCATTTTCCCACAGTTGTAGACCAGGTGCTCGTCTGTGGTGTACGGCGGCCCGGGCTCCGCCCCGTCGAACAGGTACGGATGGTTGCAGCACTTGCGCAGCTGCATCAGGATGTTCTGCAGTCTCATCTTCTCGATCTTGCCGGCGCCGTTCACGATGTCGATGTCCTTCATCAGCACCTTCGTGTACCACTCCCTCTGCATCTTGCTCAGACCGATGTAAACCTTGATCTCCTTCTTCGGCTTCAGTCCTTTCTCCACCTCCGACTTGAGACGCCTGAGCAGGAACGGCCTCAGCACCGCGTGCAGCCTCTCGACCAGGGAGTTGTCGCCCAAGAAGCTGTTCGTGTTGAACCAGGAGTCGAAGTCGTCCGAACTGTTGAACACGTCCGGCAGTAGGAAGTTCAGGAGGGACCACAGCTCATGGAGGTTGTTCTGCAGCGGCGTGCCGGTCAGCAGCAGCCGATTCGCCGTTTTGAACTCTCTCAGTATCTCCGACAGCTTGGACTTCTCGTTCTTGATCCTGTGCGCCTCGTCTATTACCATGTAGCGCCAGTTGAACTTCTTGAACACCGACTTCTCCTTTATCACCATCTCGTAGGACGTCACGCACACGTCCCACTCGCCCGGCATCATCACGTCCCTGATGAAGGTGTTCCTGGTCTCCGCGTCGCCGATCAGGCAGACCGCCCTCAGCGTGGGACACCACTTCTTGAACTCGTTCATCCAGTTGGCCAGCGTTGACTTCGGCACGATCACGATGTGAGGACCGGGAATGTTTCGGAAGTGCTTCATGTAGCCCAGCAGAGAGATGGTCTGCAGCGTCTTGCCGAGGCCCATCTCGTCCGCCAGGATGCCGTTTATACCGTTCTCGTAGAGCGATATCATCCAGTTCAGCCCGCGTATCTGGTAGTCCCGCAGCTCGCCCGACTTGATGTAGTGCGGCGACGACTCGAAGCGCGTGGTGGGCGCCACGCTGGCGTTGCTCTCCGCCAGCAGCTCTTCGTCCTCCTCCTGCTCGGTCTTGCGGTGTCTGTGATCGCCCGGGTCCGACTTCGGATTCTCCGGCTGCTTCCTCGGCCTGCCGGCTTTGATCTTCAGCGGACTGCCGGCCTTGTCCTTCTGATTGTTCGTCATGAAGTGCGAGAATATCTCGGTCTGCTTCAACAGATAATCGAAACGCTTACTGCGGTCCGTCTCCAGCTTCGTTTCGAAATCCCCGCCCCTCGACGACGTCGTCTCCGCCGAGGAGCCGTTCGAGTTGTCACCCGTATCACCGGTGTCCGCGTTCTCGTCCGGCTTCGACATCCTCATGGATATTTCGCACACGCTCTTCCCTAAAACCGAGCCGACTTCACCGACCTCACCGACCGATCGCGTCTTTTTACGGTAATTCAGCGTTAATTATCGGTAATTATCGTCCCGCTTGTCGCCAAGAACACATCTCACGCGCCGCATCAAACACCGCTCCGTACCGCCATATTGCAAAGGATGGCGCTAGACGTTGCGGCCTGTTCCCTTTAGCCGCGTTGCTCAACTGTTCCGATAAGTTGCGATGAAATTACACGGCGCGTGATAGAAGTAACCAATCAGCGCCACTCCGTTCTTTTCTGTCACGCAAGTTTTACACGCCGATTGATTGCCCTTTTGACGCACTCTCTGTTCCGCAGTTCTATCACGCATCTTTAAATTCCATTCTTACAGCCTGTTGAATTTCGCCCATGTTTTATTACAACGGAAAGTACGTCTGACCAGACCTTGAATCATACTGTTTGAGAAATAGAAATACGGCCGACTCCATCGTTTAGTCATATCACGATCTCAGTTTCTCGTTAAGTATAGTGGCGGCTCGTAGCGGAGACTCTGGTACTAAATTACAGAAATAACGGGTCTAATAATTCCGTAAACCCGTTATTTCTGTTCGGAATTTCTGTTTAGAAATAACGAGTTCACGGAATTATTAGACCCGTTATTTCTGTAATTTAGTACCAGAGTCTCCGCTACGAGCCGCCACTATACTTAACGAGAAACTGAGATCGTGATATGACTAAACGATGGAGTCGGCCGTATTTCTATTTCTTCTTTTATAATTTGTAAACAACAGTGTTTTTTCGTTGCGGACATACATGATTATATACGGCCATATATGGGCAAATTTCATACATGATTTTCCTTTTCCCGGAGTTTTACTTCCAGTGAGCAAAAATATCCGAAAGACATAAAGACGTTCGAAAGACACCTACAGGATTTAAGACGTCTTTTAGACATCTTACAGCGTCTGTCGGAGTTATACGCTCACTTAATTTATTTATACAGGATTCTTCAGATTTATTCAAATAACGTCGTTCAGCTAGGCCGCGCTTACTCCGTTCCTCATTGGCCGTGTTCCACATAGGAGTCCACCCGAGTAGAGTTTGGTAGCGCAGACCAAGTGGGGAACGCTTACCGATCTCGTCTCACGACTTTCTTCCTCACTCGCGAAGTGCGTCATTTTCAGTAACGGTTCATCCATGAGGACGAAGCGACAGCGCCGGGCAATTGTCTTTTGTTATCTTACGGTGTCAGGCCGGAAATTCCCTGGCTCGTCGTCGCGCGATAGATATTCGTCAGGTATAGAAAGATAGAAAGAAAAGTGAAAATTTCGCCCTTCGATGATGTTGCGCTTCAGCGTAAGGTGCGCTCATGTGGCTGCGAAGAGAGGGTTGATCCCCGGAATTAACTCCTGCAAATCCATCCCTCACAGGTAACAAATGGAAAAGGGGGTGACAAGGAGTGGTTTTTCGCTTATTTCTTCCACGGGCATTTTCCCGCTCGGCGGAAGTGGAATGTGCGTCGCGTGAGAAAATGCCTGGCTTGACTTTCCGCGATGATTTCGTTCAAATCGCGTTTCAAGTCGAAACATCTCAGAACGAATGTCCAAGAAATGTCTCAAAGATCTGATCTAAGAGACGTTCTATTTTTTTTTTTTATATATCTTTCGGACGTTTTTAAAAGATCTTTTAAAAATTTGTCCTACCTAGGATACCACTTGAGTCAATAATCGAACGAAATTCGGATCAAGTAGAAGTCTGTGAACCCGACGTTCCTGTGCAAACAATGCCGATTAAGAGCGCAAATTGATGTATCGCGATAATATATCCGTCATTTCATGGACGTTTCGGTCTTAACGTTTCAAGGCCCTTCTCGGTGGAAGCAGTGGGTGTTAATTGAGAAGTAATGCGTGTCAATTATCAATACTTTTGAACGGGAAAAGACAAAGCAAGAACAAGCGAGAGATGATGTCAAGGTAATATATATAAGAAAACAAGTTTGCCGTCCAGTTATATCTCAGGGTCAGCAACTTATTATTAACCACACAAGAGCAATTATTGCGCAAATCGAATAAAGAACACGGATCAAGATAATATCTGAAAGTATAAATCGATTATCTCTTCTCGCTAAGAATGTCAATGACAAAATTAACTTGTTTATGTTATTTTATATTACTGTTTTTCTTCACACGTGTCATTACCAACTACTTGAACCTGAAGTACGTCTTAAGGAATTATAATATAATGTATAATATGTGCATCACAATAATGTCCTTTTATGCTAATAATATTTTTACAGCACACTTTATCCGAGGGATGTCCTGTGGATGTCTTTAGAGGACGTCCCTTGGAGGTTTTTGTTGTATGGAATAGGTAGTAGCTTACTTCTTCTTTTTTTACTTTTTTTCCTTTCTTCGTTACTTCATTTGCCGAACATTGCCGAATATTGTAAAGAGATATTTCTCGTAAATAAATAGATAAATAAATAACACCAAAATACTCAGCTTCGCGATGCATTCGTTTCGTAATTGTGAATACGATAAAAGGCAGGCGCCTTATTCCCGCATCGCTTGTTATCCATGTGTAAGTAATGATGAAATTCTTAATGAATAAATTATCGCAATACGATAGTTTATGCTTTTAACTGATGTTGATTGCACTAAAATATCCGTGTATGGGCTCTTATTTATCTGAATTTCGTTGAATATTGATTGAATATTAGCAGGGTTATTCAGTTTTTTTTTTTTATACTACTTTGATACGATCGCGATCAGCAACTATCTTCTTTTTAGCGTCCCCCTTCTTTCAATTTAATCTGTCTTGCGCGTCTATCTGCTATAATATCTTTAAACTTTTTAAATTGAGAACGCGAACGTCTTTTCGGTTCAAATCTAACCACCAAGTGAGGAAAAAGATGAATTTTATCAACAATATTTTTAATTTTATCACCATTTTTCGTTATAATTTTTCTTAATTCGATTCTTCGTTGTATTCTCGGTACAGAAAAATAGCACCTTCATGGTGGAAGGATGCACTGATTGTCCCGAAAGCGTCAATATATGGTAAAATCTTGCGACGTCATTCGTTATTGCTAGTGATCGGAACAATTGTCTGAATCTTTACGCTTTCTCTTTGCAGTTAGAGTATAGAGTCACGCTCGGTACTTTCGTGCTGGTGTACTCTCACTGTTCTACTTTAGAATTTCCCAAACTGTTTAGGATAGATTGGATTAATAAATAAAGCGACAAATTTAGTGTCTGAACCAAAGGCAACTCTTACGAATATATATCAATAACATGTAATATTTTCATCTTCCTGTATTGAAATAAAGGGACCGAAAGTCCTCAAGTTAAAAATCGAGATAGTAGAGGAATTCATAAGTAAATGAAAGCGTTATATCGGGCACGACGATTGAATTAAAATAATATATTCGGGAATGAGAGATTCAAATCTCTTACGTTTGCAATTTCTTTTCGAGTTTCTCCGAAAAAGATTGGCAATTGGAAATTAAAATCAAGCCATTCGCTGGCGACTCAACTATCGATATCGTTTCAGTCGTTTTGCGTGGATTGCGAATTAAGCTGACGAAATCGTATTTCTCGGGACTATATCGGACTATTATTCGTTTATTCGCAGAAGACCCATTTCGAATTATTGTGCGATGACCCGGTGAAAGTAGAAACTTGAATATTGACTAGAATATTGCAGTAACAACGCCGCAATACTTTAAGTTCACAGATGATCGACGGTTGCAACGCACGCGATCTACGAGATTAATGACGCTTGATAATTTTTCTAAAGTTTTTTCTCTATTTAAAAATCAGGAAGCTGGTCCGATTTCGTCGGTAATGTAAATTTAAACGGACTACCTATCTAAGCGAAATTTCGTTTGATTCTACCGCTTTCTTTTTCTCGGTGTGCACTTTCCTTCAAATTTCATCAATTTCGTTGCATCCAAACAAATTTCATCATTGGCCTGCTCGAAAACGAAAGATAATTTTCTTACAAAGAAATGATTTCTCTCATTTTACATTTATTTATCGTGACCAAATAATATTTTATTCGGCCAAAAGATATTATTTCATAAACAATAGCGTTCTTTCTGCCGAATAACGGAGTTTTCTCGAATGGGACAATAAAATTTGCACTTGAACAGATAACATTTCGTATATATTGTTTCCGTGAAACGGAATCTCAGTCAGATAAATGGAAATACCGAATCCAGGGAAAGCCTTTTTCTCGACGTGCGTGTTGTATCATCATTTGCAGGACTAACTCGCGGTTGCACACCGCCGGAATCCGACTGTTCTGCAACGACGCGATCGTATCCGAATGTCCTCACGCGACGCAAAGTGTCGCATCCCCGCGTGTTAAATCGTACGACGAGGTGCCGGGCCCGCGGCCGATACCGATCCTCGGCAACGCTTGGCGACTGTTGCCGCTGATCGGCCAGTACCAGATTTCGGACGTCGCGCGTATCTCGCAGATGTTTTACGACGAGTACGGCAAGATCGTGCGACTGGGCGGACTGATGGGTCGGCCGGACCTGCTCTTCGTCTACGACGCCGACGAAATCGAAAAGGTGTATCGGCAGGAGGGACCCACGCCTTTCAGGCCCGCTATGCCCTGCCTGGTGCACTACAAGAGCGTCGTGCGCAAGGACTTCTTCGGCGAGCTACCCGGGGTCGTCGGTGTGTGAGTATTTTCCCGTGACGTTGCTCGACATTTCCCCGACGAATGCGGATTGATCTGAAGTCGAAGAAAGAAGAGAAAAAGAAGGAAGTTAAGGAGGGAAGTAGCAAGCTGAATCGAAACTTTTACGGTAGCTTTTTTTAATTTTAATCCTTCCAGGCCCAATGGGCATAATAATGTCCATTAACTTTGGGCCCTCTCCAAACTCTGTCCGTTCAAATCATATTATATCAGCTGGGAATTATAATCACGTCTGAAAATAAACCGAGATTTTTCGAGGATGTAATTATACCGACACGTCCTTCGTCCGTTGATCCAATTACGCGATTACTTCGAAACTGATTCCCGTGCGCTGATCGTTTCTTTTACGCCAGACACGGCGAGCCTTGGAAGGAGTTTCGTACGCGCATTCAAAAGCCCGTCCTTCAGCCGCAGACCGTAAGGAAATATATAACGCCTATCGAAGTGGTTACAGGGGATTTCATTAAAAGGTGAGCGCCGACGCGACACGTCAAAGAGAACGTTTCGTAATCATCGTGAGATACTTAGCGGTCTATTCTAAAAGTTAATCGGAGAGAAAGTTTTAATACGAGAAAGTCAAGATTGTAGGGACCCTCGAGTTGCAAAATTCACGCTACGAGCGTACGTGTGCAGGATCGGATTATCGGAATATATATTATGGTTAATAATTCCAAGTTTTGCGTGTTGTTTGCAAGACAGTGAAGGACCTTTTCATTCACCTCAATCCGTTCTGCGTCCTCACGAAATTTGCAAATGTTGTCCTGAAACATTCTGTATATTTATATAATAACCATCAATCAATCGACTCTAGTCGCCTGAGGCTATGAAACCACCGCGATCTTGACATTACTGTATTAGCACTTTCGCATTGCAGTTAACCTTCGGAATACGCCACTCAAATATTTGACGATGGTTTGTTTGAGAATGCCAGCCAGGTATGCGACGTGAGATTCTTACTGATCACACGGCATTGCCGGTATGTTGCAGAATGGAGGAAATCAAAGCGGACGACGGAGAATTGCCGGCCGATTTCGACAACGAGATACATAAATGGGCTCTTGAATGTTAGTACTTGTTTCATGTAAAACACCACGTACACAATCTGAGAGAAAAAAAATACCTAAAAATAAAATATATTTGTACATTGGACTATAATAAGAGATAAAAAAATTTGTTACACACACACACACACACACACATATAAAAATGCTTCAAAGGACTTATTTTTATTAAAAAAGGAGGTGTTTACAATTGTTTACGAATTGTATGTTTTGATGTTTCACGCGTGCAGGTATAGGTCGGGTCGCGCTGGACGTTCGACTCGGATGTTTAGGCGGCACTTTGCCGCCGGATTCTGAACCACAGAAGATCATCGACGTCGCTAAGTTCGCGCTGAGGAATGTGGCTGCGCTCGAGCTCAAAGCTCCTTATTGGAGATACATTCCGACGCCCCTCTGGAGCCGTTATGTGCGCAACATGAATTACTTTGTCGAGTATGTTTACCGAAAAGAAATGAGACGCTAGACTTCTTTGTAAGAAGATAGACTCATTGAAGAGGAGCAGTAAGAAAAGTGAGAAGTATCAATGGACGTTCCAATTTTCTAATACACGTTCGAAGCACGCGATTGTATCAATGTATTTACGTTGGACTTTCCTCCATTCTTATCGAATTCTCTCAATTCTTGACGAGACACGAGATCGGGAAGTGAAACAAGTGAATATCTCGTTTAGAGTTTAAACATGTGAAAGCGCGTTCTTCGTCCCTATATTCGGTATTTAGATCATTAAGCGCGCAATTTCATCTAATCACGGCGTTGGAAAGCGATGAGGAACCGAACGAATGGTTTAAAATTCAAATCGTTATTTCCAATTTAAATTCGAAACTTTGAACTCTCCTTTCGCAGACATTGGATATATTTGAAGTTTCGCGGGGATAAATTTTTATCACGATTTGCCTCGTGCTGCATATCATAAATAATATGTCATTCTTGAAACATAATTACCATACCCATTCTTGAATATGAACATAAATAATTTTCTAAATTTAGATATCTAATCTTAGGATATGCATGAAATACATCGACGCTGCGATACTTCGACTTAAGAACAAGAAAGCTGTGGACGAGAGCGACCTGTCGCTGGTGGAGAGAATTTTAGCCAAGGAAACGAACCCTAAGATGGCTTATATCTTCGCCCTCGACTTGATACTGGTCGGCATTGATACGGCAAGTTGCGCACAGTTATATAAATTATATCTCCTAAATTCTCTAATTACACAACTATACTCGCGATAACTAACGGTTTAAAATTCATCGGCGATCGATTCACGCAGCTCGACTAATATCAATTGTCACTGCCTGGTTAACTGGCTGAAATTTTTCGACTTTTGGTTACGGCCACATAATGACTGCAAATTAGTGAAAGTATGAAAGTGCGTCGTCTCGAGCGAATGCACTTTTGTTAGGCAACCGAGATGTGTATGCGGGCGTGCGTGCCGTGTAAATGTTTGAAGAGTACTGCCATTACAAAATCGAGCCGACATAATGTGTGCGTGTGTGTGCGTGTGTGTGTGTGTGCCTGCGTTTGCGGTCATAACGATCGTCGAGATTGCACGTCGAACAAATTGAAGTGCGTTGAATCGATATACGATCATTATTCTTTTCACTTTTCCAATTGAAATGAGACATATCGCGTTTCCTATGAAACGAATTGCGTGATGAAGTGAATTTTATATAACGTATATTGCAGATATCGATGGCGGTGTGCTCGATATTGTACCAACTAGCGACTAGACCGGAAGAGCAGGAGAAGATATATCGGGAATTGCTGCAAATATTGCCAGATCCCTCCGTCCCTCTTACAACGAGACATTTGGAACAAGCTGTCTACATGAAGGCTTTCATCCGCGAAGTATTCAGGTAATACTAATGAGTATTCAAGTCACAGTAATGGCAGATATTCACGCAAATTGGATATTCTAGTAGTTAAAAAAACCATCAATGTGTATTTGTATGCACATCAGCTTAGACTAGTAATAGATAATTACATCGTTTAATACATTTTTATATATTTTTAATATTATTTTATATATTTAATATATACATTTTAATATATACGTATATTTTAATATATATATATATTAAAATTTATTACCTAAAGTATCGCCACTCAATTTATTTTATTATATATATATATATATATATATATATANTGTTAAATTTTATGTTGCAGAGTTTATTCCACTGTTATTGGAAACGGCAGGACGTTACAGAACGACACAGTCATTTGTGGCTACAAAATCCCCAAAGGCGTACGTTTCTTTCTCAGCATAATATTTTTCGCCGCTTACGACACACCCGTTTACATAATAACCGTCTCAATATGCTCAGCACGCAAAATTGGCAAGTGAAACTACTTGCAAATGAGACGCTGTTTTTAACATCTCAGTCTTAACGTTATATCTCTTACATTTGCTTGTAGTTAAAATTTGTCGCGGTACTTGTCTAATTCTAACTCTCGTATTTTGCTCTCAAACAAACTCGATCTTCTAAATAACGTTCCCTTTCGTCTCTTCTGAAGTTATTTTTACGCAAAATATTTGACACGCAACACAGAATCTAATTTAACAATAATTTAACAATAATGATACGTGACTCGACTTAATGTAAATTAATTTTTATATGCGTCTATCGGGTGATCAATAATAATTACATGCATAATCTTAGGTTCAAGTTGTGTTTCCTACGCTTGTCACCGGAAATATGGAAGAATACGTGGCAGACGCGAAGATATTCAAACCTGCGAGGTGGCTGAAAGAAGCCAGTAACGAAAAATTACATCCGTTCGCATCACTGCCATACGGTTATGGGGCACGAATGTGCTTGGGCAGAAGATTCGCGGATCTCGAAATGCAGGTTTTGCTGGCGAAGGTGCGTACTTGTTTTAAGAAACGTCACTTATCTATCCGGCCTCCTTATAAATTATAAATTTTATAATTTTATAATTTGCTAATTTATTTAAATATTCATGTAAATAATACAAACTTATAAATATATTTATGATATATAAATTTATTTTACCTATAAAATGATGAATTACCTTACGAAATGTTAATTAAAGATTGGAATAGTGGACATCGCGATTGTTATAAGAGTAATAATGTTGTTGTTGCAGCTTCTCAGATTGTATAAGCTTGAGTACCACCATAAGCCCCTGAAGTATAAGGTCACGTTTATGTACGCACCTGACGGGGAACTCAAGTTTAAATTAATAAAAAGATAGTCCTTCAATAAAATATGTATATGATGCCGCAGAGTAAAGTAGAGCTTAAGCGATTCATTGGAGCAAAGATACATCTGCGAGACACCAGATTGATATTTTGTCAAATATTTTAATTTACGATAATTACCTTCTCTTCTTTTTAAAATAAGCCCGTACTTATCTTCACTCATTTTATTATTTTAATAGACACAGTTTGTATACACACACGCGCGCGCGCGCAAATTCTGCGTTATAATTGAAATATTCCAGCAAACACCAACTAACAAAATATCGATGTTATAATTTCTCACTCAATGATATAATTATTACATAAATTAATGTTAATGTAATGTAACACGCGCATTATATTACATTAACATTCTTGCACGAGAAATTGTAACACTGATATTATGTTACTTAATGTTAGTTAATTTAAAAAAAAATTAAAATTATGTCGGTAAGTTATTGTTTGCTGGTTATTTTTATATTTCTCGGAAAAGAATAAAAGGCTTGTGTATTACAGATATATGTAAGTGTCCAGTTATAAAAGAGACGTGTTATCAAATATTTTCAAAAGTATCAAAATATATTAGAATTTGTTAAAAGTACTAGAATTTCCAGTAATTGTGATTTATTTTTATCCGACTAACAACTCTGTTCGAAAAAAGGCACATTACGTCTCGAATATATCGAAGCGTTGAAGTCTCTTCACAGTTTAATTATGACTGCGTTCCGATAAAAAAGCAATCGATGTTTGAAAAATATCAATGTTCGCTTATTCAGGATGCGTCATACGAGCTTGTCGGATGTGCTAATTGGTTGTCGGATAGAGAATTTCTAGAGTCCCTAATATTTTCTCCAAAATATAATAATCGAAATACTTAAAAGATTGGAATCGATTCCAAACAATAAATAATCCATGATAGGTGCCCCGAACTAAATTTTAAAAGCTATCGAAGTAGGAATCGGTCTAATCTTAAAGCATATCGAAAAGGTAATCGATTCTCTAACGAGATCAGAGTCGAATATCGATACCCACTTCGATAGCTATATCGATAAGCCGAGAGAGTTAACCTGAAATTGACAAACATAAACAGCAGACTATTGCAGACAGCAATTCTAGTATTCTGCTGGATCAAAATCGAATTATGTGAGAAGTGTGAAGGAATAGATAAAACAACAAGTTTGAGGTATTTTCGAGGAAGTTCCGAGGAAGGTCGAGAGACAACAATAGCGCACGATGAATCAGGTGAAGCAAGAAAACTTATCGAATGTACCGGTAATTATTCCTATCGAGCTGGATTCTTCGATGGCGATAAAGTTAAGTATGAGCACGAAAATGAGCAGGGGGAAATCGCTGATGACTCGCGCTGATATATGGCACCAAGTCAGGATCATCAGAGGCAAGCACTACGACAAAGAGCTCGTTCTGAAGAGTATCCTGAAGACCGTGGAGCCGGCTGATTTTATACCGGTGAAGTATCAAATATGCGGGGAGGACGCGTTCTTCATAGTGAGAAATTGCGGTCCCGCCCTTGAGAAGTTATGCAAAACTAGCCTGATCATCAAAAACGTCAAAGGCGACGCGCTGATTCTCATAATTACCCTGGGATACGCTTCCACGCGTGATCTGAAGGTTGACATACGGCCCTTCCTGCGGGCCGCTCTGAACAAAAGGTACAGTCCGAACGAGAAGATGCTGAATCTCGAGAACTTTCATACGGATCCGAACATAGCCGAGACCGCCTACTGCCCGTTGTCCCAGCTGAGAATCTCCAATCACGTTCTGAATCTGGCTAAAACCGCCGTAGCGACCTTCGAGCGCCTGAATTTGCAGCATAACGAGCTGTTCAACATATCGGCTATAGAGAATTCGAACTTGACGGCCATCAAGTATCTGGATCTTAGGCATAACAATCTGTTGAACATGTGCGCTTTGGCCCCCTTGAGGAAACTGACCGTCACGAAGCTCTGGCTGGACGGTAATCCCCTCTGCGAGAACTACTCGACCATCAGGCAGTACATAGATTCCGCGAAGAAATATTGCCCGCAGCTACGGGAGCTCGATGGGGTGTGTATCGTGTCGAGGATGCCCCTCATATTCAAGGACTACTTCGGGGACGACAGGAAGCGGCAGCTCGTGCGGAAGTTCGCACTTCACTTCTTCAATCTGTACGACCAGCCCGACAGGTCGGTCCTGAGGGGGCTCTACCACAAGGACGCGGTTTACTCAATGAGCTTCACCGTACCCAACACCGTCGCCGCCAAGACGAACCTTCAGCAATACACGGCGCAGAACAGAAACTTGATGAAGCGGACTCCGAAGAAGATCACGACCTTCTACCAAGGTCAAGAGGAGATTCTAGCGGGTCACGCCAAGCTGCCCAGGAGCTATCACGACAGGAGCTCCTTCAAGTACGACGTTCTGTACGACGACGAGAAATATCTGGTGATGTGCATCTCCGGGCTGTTCAAGAAGCTGAGCTTAGGTATAAACGTGCTCTCGTTCAGCCGAACGTTTGTGTTGTCGGCCGACGCGGATCACGAGTATCACATCCTGAACGATCAGTACCACATCGACATGGCGCCCGAGAAGATCACGCCCGACAAGATCAAGGCCAAGGCCTCGTACGACATCACGCCGATCTGCTTCAGCCCGAGCGAAAAGTCCGTGCTGGCGATTCGGATGGAGCAGATCACCACGTTGAACAGGGAGTACAGTGAGAACTACCTGTCGGACGCCGGGTGGGACTTGAGGCAGGCGTTGACGAACTTCATGAAGGACTACAAGTCCCTCTCGATACCGGAGCACGCGTTCTACAAGTAGATCTCAGGCGTTACCGCGCCTCGGTCCCTTTTCTGTAAATACCTTCTATGTAAATTGTAAATGGTAGGAATTGAAGTCGACTTGTACTGATCGAGAGATCAGATATCTGAAATGTAAAGAGAAACGTTCATTTACTGGCGGATTTACTGATAACATATTGTACCGCTGTACGTATTTTCTCACCGACAAGGGAAGGCCGACTGCCTCAGCTGCTTCAGTTTTCGATTCTCTGTGCAGAAATGTTGCGGGCGAAGTCAATCAACATATTCTGCAAGTTACAGCCTCTGTCTTAGCGTTAAGAAAACATTTTGGCCATGCGTAGCGTTACCAAAGTCAGGCCAAGGTTGGTCTAATTTTTTTTCTAACGGGAACCTCTATTTTTTTTTATTATATTACCTTGTTCTACCGATTAATTTGAGCATCTTTTGTCCGAGACCTTTTTTTCCAGCGACCGCGAAATTTGCGTTAATTCGCGATCGTGCTGTTAATCAATGCGATTTCATCTTCCACGACGACGCGATATTTGCGCACGCCGATAGCATCTGGACGTCGGGTGACGTCTATAAGGTGATATTACTCGCATGGCATTTAAAAGCGGCGGCCTCCGGGATGGACGGGAACGACGCTCGGTGATTTCATCCAAAGGTTATGCACTCAAGGACCGCGCAGTTGCGTCGCGCGCGCGTACGTTGATGTGAATGAAACGTGAATTTGCGAAGGTATCGCCGACATTTTTCCGTTCTTACTCTTTCCGAGCACACGCACACGGCGTCGTCGGCGTGAAGAAGAGGAGAATAAGACCTTCGGGACTTGGTGTGCGCTCGATCGAGCAAATCACGAACGCGGATCTGTCGTTACGACTCTTGCTGTCGAGTCCCTTCGCGCTCCGCGATTATTTTCCCCGTCATTTCTGTTTGTTTCTTTTTTTTTTTTCATTTCCAATCGGACTCATGTCTGCAGGACATTTCTATTTCCGTTACAATTTACATTGGAAACTTACTTCTTATAAGTTTGTATAATATTTCATGTAACACCGTATATTTATAGAGGATATAAGATTATTATATTATATATATTAGATTAAATTATTATATTATATATAAGAGGTATTAAGAAGAAAAATGGCCGGTCTCATTGTAAATTACAATTATTGTCGACGTATCAGCCATATTTCTTCTTCGCTCTAACAAAGAACTATAAATAGTTGTACGCAAATGAAGTCATTAACAATAAAATTATAGCTGCATTTTTTAAAAGAGAATAGAGGTTTCCTGGCTGCAGTTATTTCCATTGTGTAATTATAGTAATAAGCACGAAATATTTTTCTCAGTTGACTGTCGTTGATATGCAAATAATAATTGTTTCGCAAAGTCGGTTAAAATAGAATGCGCGAGGTAAGCTCGGCGAGATCGTCGATAATTTATCCGTGACAATTTAGATAACACGATATGTAACGACAATAACCTGACCTGAAATACATGAAAATCATAATTTCGCGATCGCGATTTTTACACACGATGTTAAAGCAGGTCCCGAACGTAACACGCGCTCTCAAATTGCGTCATTCTCGCGGGAGAAAAATGCGGTAATAACACGGCGGTTAAATAAACAATCATGGCATAGTTCACGATGCGTTCGATCGTATCTCTCGCTCCCTCCCCCATTGCGCAACACTCGTCACACTTCCGGATCGTCAAGGACCGAGAACACCTCCATTCGCGTGCGAATGAAAGAAAAGAAAACACTTAACAATAATACGGTTACGCGATTGTCGGACGCGCCGATCGGCGCTCAAGTCGGCGGTTCTCAACGTGTATCACAGATAATCGGGATATTTTCCTGCGCTGAGAGAAAGATGTCTAAGAAATAAAAGATATCTACTCGGTGAATACAATAATAACGTATTTATTTAAATCTAAGTATGTCCTTTTAAATGAAACAAACAATAGCCTTTATGTGAAATTACAGATTTAAGAAATTGCGTATTTTCTCCCTCGTTTGAAAGAAAAGTTTTTCTCGGTGTAAAAATATGTTTATTAGTATAAGTAAACATATTATTAGTACTCCGGAATAAGTATTTTTTATTTTTCATTCTTTTCTTTTCGGTATATAAGACGAAACGTTGAATGTGAATATCGACTCAGTGGAAAAAGTTTCTCATTTCTCAGATATAAATTAAAAAAAGCGGAGTTCATGTAGTCTCTCGAAGTATCTCGGTAATTTTTTCGAATGAAGCCAACAGTAATATTGTCTCGGTATTTGTCTTTAAACATTCACAGAGATCTCTTCATTTTTCTTAACATTCTACGAGTCGGAATTGAATACCGGCCTGAGACTTGCGCCGACCTGACATCTTCGAAAAGGCCATTCAGGCTCTTTCGAACAACGGTGTTTACGAAGAGCCGGCGAGCTCAGGAAGAGCCCATCGGCGAAGAAAAGTTGAGCAACTTTGGACTAGACGGTTACTAACAATTACGGGAGTCGGGGGTACATACAACGCATAGGTAGCGACATAATAAAATGATTGTTGCCTACTGTGAGACTCTCTCGGCGGCCTCCCACGCGTCGGAAGAGCTGTCGCCTCCGTAAAAATAGGAAACCGCGCGCTTCTTCCAGAACCAATTATCCCTTGCACCCAATTAGAAACTTCCTTCGATAGTCCGACGCTTCCTGTATCTCGGGAGACGAGAATATCGACACAAGACACGACATCGGCGCGACTTTTAGCCGCTTTTCTTCGCGACAAATAGCTATATACTAATAATCGCGTGATCCGCCGTTCGAAAGTGAAACGGAGTCAACCTTTTCCTTGTATTTTTCGCAAAGGCTCTTGTAGGTCCTTTTTTACTTAAATTAAAAGCGATATTTTTCTATTCGTCGTTACCGTTTGCCTCGCGACGCCCGCGAGGCAAACGGCTCTTTCGAGAGGAGCGAATGCGTCGGATGTGTCAAAATGTGGGTCAGGGTACTCGCGGGCGAAAGAGGAACAATGATGACGAAGAAGATGGCCCATTGAGACATCTGGCCCGCGCCGCTCATAAGAGTCTCATACGAAGAAGAATACGTACCGACCGGCGCGATGTAACGTATTCAAAGATGACCGTAGCCGATAACCCGTTAGAGAAAGTCATATCATCGCGGAGGTACTATGCAAATTTCGTCGCTCGGTCGCTCCCCCCTCGAAGAGGACGGGCGAAAATGAAGAGAGAGAGGAAGAGAGACGGCAACGAGTTGCGCTCGCGGGATCCTCTCGCGCGATTGCAATGCGGCTCTAATTGAGAGCGACACGTCCCGCAAAAAAGGGGGGAATTAATGGAAAATCGAATTGGAGCGCGCGATGCGCGTTGTGAAGTGCGAGAAACGCGCTCACGATTAAATAATACGATATCCAGGTGGTGCTTCTCGCTCGCTCGGCGATGCTAACGAGCGGAGAAAAGCGTGTAAGTACGCACGGTTTCACGCACGACGGTGACCCGACGAAGGAAATCGAACTGGCACGACGACCGGATGACCTCCCCCCCCCCCCCNCGCGCGTGAGACGCGCGCGATCGCTTCCCGCGTCGAAATTTCGGCCCCGAACGAAACTTGAGTTTTCATATTACACTGAGAAAACGATTTTGTTTCTGAATGCAATCAATTTGACTTAAACGGATTTATCAGTCAAAATAGTCCAAACAGATCAATTTTTGATTCAACTATAATCGTTTTCTCCAGGCCGGAGTTTATAATCGGATCTTGTATCGAAGACCGTCCTAAATTTGTTCAGAAAGCTTCGTAAGAAAATAAATTTGCGGACCGGCTATTTTAAGAGCGCCGAAGTGCCGCTCTGGAGTATCGTTCGAATTATCGTGGAGGATCGAAGGGATCGGATTACGATTAGAAAGCGCCGCGACAGAGGGAGAAAAAGAGAGAGAAAGAGAGAACAATTTGTTTAATCGAGCAATTAATCAGAGGCTTACGCAAGCCTTATCACGGACAACGCGGATGTTTTATAATTACATCGCATTTCCTATAACTTCCCATATCTGCTTCATGCATAATGCATGCTGTAAAAAATTTTTATACGAGAAGCTTGATATCTTCGTATCAAGAGAGACGAAATATCCGATTCTTTCGTTGTAAATCACCCGCCGCGGGATCGAGCCGCGCGCGGTTACCACGACGGTTGAATTGTTGCGGCGCGCTATGATGAAAAAATACTCTCGGCGAAAATGAAACTCCGGCAGTATTCCGTCCCTCCTCAGGATATCCTTGCGCCATATTCAAGGACAGTAGCGAGTTCGTAACGCGAGTTCGGTCTAGCGATTTCGCGATCGCGACACTCCTGAGAGAAGTCTTTATGTTGTCTCTATTATGAGTTATGGTATTAAAAAAAGCAGAGAAAGAGAGAGACGACCTTGGAGCTGGAAGTATGAACGAAGGTTCATAGAAATAAAATCCTTTTTACGGTGGATAAAATCCGTTGCGTAGAGAAATCCGTCGAATGACGGAACGCGAGCCGCCTTCTCCCTGGTTCTAAACGAAATTATCGCGAAGTGACGAAATCGCCCGAAAGGGTCTCCCCGGTAACGTTCACAGACCGGACTGATTCCCACGAATGACGTTATAATGGCTTTTACGAAAGCGGAAAAATCCGTTCTTTCGGCTTTCGGGAATGAGCGGCGCCGAATGCGCCGCTTTATCGGAGAGAAATACGCGCGAACTCGCAGAGAAAAATACTCGCGCGTACTTAGTTCAGGTATTTCTACATAATACATAAATATGCGTATGCAAGAAAGCACTAGTGAATAAATTAATAATCTAAATCAAATCAGTCGGTCGGTCAAAATTATTCATTCACGATTTATAGTGAGAATTTAAAGAAGCGAGCGCTTGATTATCGATACTTCGTCGACGTTATTGTTCACGCGTGGAAAGAATTATTCGCAATCATCGTCATTCGGCTCTCATTGTGCGAGTCGATCGATCTTGGGCAAATATACGCGAGTAAAATCGATCCAGCCAGATAGATGCGCGGAGGAACGACGTTGCGTCGCTGGCTCTCTCGCGAAAGGAAACCGTCGAAGACGAACGCTCGCTCCGGTGATCTCTTCTTGAGCGGACGAACGGAACCAGAGTCCGATCGAGAGCAATTGCGCAAGACGGATTTTCGCAACAACAGACTCGTTCCGCATTCATGCGAACGTTCGTGCCACGGAGGAGCAGCGATTTGCGCGGAGCGAAAATGCATTTGCACGATTTGCGCGTCTGTATGCGCGTTCGCGCATGGGATTTCGCGCGAATGATTAATTAAAAAAGGGCAAGCTTGCGTTATATTTTCCCGTTAATGAGTGCACGCGCGCCTGCTCATTTCCCCGCAATTAAGTGCTAAAAGAGACAGGCTGAAAGAGAGAAAGAGAGAGAGAGAGAGAAGGCGAAGGCTGCTCTTCCTGCCCGCCTTCGAATTACCTAATCATCCAAATTTGTAAATACACGTTAAGTGAGAAAAAAGTATCTACAAAACAAGAATATATATTTTCGTGAGATTTTTCAGAATTCATTCGACGTAACACCGTTTTCGCCGAAACGTTCCTCCCTTCGGAGCTTTCGAATTTTCGCCTAGCCGGAATTCACCCCGCTCTCCCCTTCCCCCGGCAAATTTGGAGCGCCCGCGACGATCTGCCTTCAATCTTTTAATCTCCTCGATTCCCGACGCTGTCTCGCTGCCTTATACTCGTTTCTCTCTTAAAGACTGCTTCGTCTGAACGCTTCGCGATCGTGTAAGGATTTACTTTCGTGGCATTGTTTTCCACGGGGACTAATTAGCCCGTGCTTCTCTCTCCCACCCTGGCCTCAAGCCGCCTGCAGATCTCGTCGCGAAAATCTCTCACGGGAGGTTGCGCATATATGTTACCTTCTCAGTTTCTCCGTTTTTCTCTCTCTTGCTCTCTCTCTCTCTCTCTCTCTCTCTCTCTCGCTCTTCCCCTTTGATCATCTTCGCTGAGATTGAATATGAGCAACACGGGGAAGATGTGTATACAAATATGACGAAATCACCGTAAAGTTGATGACACGCGCAAACATGAGATCTATCTTTCTCTCTC